AATGGCAGATAGCTAGAACAGGTGTAAATAACAGTAATTTTGAATGAGTTGTCAGCGATTTTATCCATACCTTTTTGGTTATTTATGCAAAATCTAGGTCTCGGCGGGAAATTGGGGAATCCCCATGGGAGCATACCCCACTCCCATGGGAGGGACTGGAAATGCTAGGTACTCCCATGGGAGTGGGGTGCACTGGGGTTTGGGACTAGGTCAAGTCTAGTCCCACGGGACTTGAAGAGGTCTAAGACTGACAAACTCTCGTGCTTGTTAACCTACTCTGGGAACCAATATGTTGGCCCTGGGAACCTCAAAAGCATTCCTAGGGGCTGTTTATCCCCTAGGAAATACTCTTGAGATCCTGGGGCTGTTTCTAATTCTAGGAAAACGAGATCTACCCCTGGGATCTTCGCCTTACGTTCCTGACTGAATACGGAACTGGCTCTGGGAATACATTGACCAGATCTGGGAGCTGTGGAGCCCCTGGGAGCTTACTTTAGGGTCCTAGAGTCACTATCTTGCCTTCCGAGATCGCCGACAGCCCTCACAAAAAACCTTCACCGGACCTGCGCACAATTCTGCGTCATTGGGTCACTCCTAGAGGGCCAAATTATAGCCCCAGGAATCAAAAAAATCGTCAACAGGAACGCGACTTTGATTCCCCGAGGTGGGGATACCAGACCCCAGAAGCTACATCGGGTTTCCTGGGGGCTATGTGGCTCCTAGAAGCTGCTTCTTTGCTCCCAGAAATGTTATAGGAGCCCCTGGGAGTAAGATAACTCCCAGGGTCAAGAGATGAGCTCCTAGCGCTGATCGAATCGTCAATAGGAGTGTGAGAAGTTTCTTGATAGTAACAGTGGATAGTCTTACGAGCCGCGAATAAAACCCGCGTAGTTGACTCTACGTTCACACTGGCCTACGGTTTCTAAATATTACGTATCGATGGCTTCAAATGGCGTTGGCTCTGAATATTCGACGTTGAGTATCAGTTATGCAACACAGATCCATCGCCGAGCGGAATTCAATAACTCATAGGATATTCATCCTACAGGATTTCATCAATCAATCATAGATAGTTCATAGCGATTTCCAGATCTCCAGAGCTCCCCCAAATCACGAAGCATAATTTGGATCACCCTGTAGGAATAGTTGAAGTGGATATGAACGTTCCTCGATCAATCTATCCAGTTCATGGGCTATGGCAAGGCTTGTTTGCAACCCCGCCATCCTCATTTCTTGGTTTGAGTAGGGGGGAAACGGCATTTCCAAATGGTATGTAAACTGTAAATAATCATGTACCTAGTAACAGATGTGGGCCCACCCCCGCACTCTATTTCTTGTGGACAAGTCTCTAGAGTTGCATATCTCTAAGGAGCCAACAGTAAGCCGGGAAACTATCCCATATTGTTTGATTTTGCTACAGTACGTTAAGTTACTTAGTTCCTCATCATAAATGTTGAGGGCTGGGAATGGACCGACCGATTGCATATCAACGTCTATAAATTTTCCACCTTGAGTATATATATTGAATCCACTCCCAGCGGAAAAAACAGAAAACCACACTAGAACTGGCTGCCTTCACATCAGTTTATAATAATGCATTGCAAAGATCTCTCACCTCGGGCTAGACATGGTTCGTATGTCCCTGTGGAATGAATACGCCTTGCTTACAGCAATCAGATTGGAAACGTGCGGAGGACTATTGCTTGGCCTTTGAATCACAATTCTTTTTGAAAAGGTGGAGAGAAGGTTATCGTATGACGAAGGCGATGATGATGTCCCGCGTTCAGATGTCGTCTCACGCCTTTGATCTTAAGATCGCGCATTACAAAGATGTTTCGTGCCAGGCTAAAGGCTTCCGACGCCAAGTCAAGAATGGGCTTTTAACGGCCAAAAAGATGGAAGAGAAAAGGCAAACTGTTTACAGTCTCTATGCTGATGCTATGAATGACCTCGAGAGATGGACCGGTAAGGGTCCTAAACTGTTAGTAACGCAACATTGGGAAACTAACTTTTTGCAGAGTACCGGTTCCCACTATATTGGACATGAGCACTTGAGCATAGACTACAGTGAACGATGGAGCCGCCATACAGTATTTTTAAAAGACCTACGCACGGCAGCGCGGTATGATCAAACAGCAAAGAAAAGAGAATCATCAAGCATCCCGTGCCATTCGCTTCCTACTCCAACAAGTATTCTGATTTGATAAAAACATGTTTTGCTTCTGTCTATTTACACTCTCCTGTTCTTCAAAAATCGAGTAATCAACACGTAAGCGGTGGAGGATCAACTAAATGTAGAGCACCTCTCCCCCCCCTCCCGCCCCAGCAATGAAGGATTTCGGTTGAGTGATCACCATGCGTTTTGAGCTACAGTATACTTGTCTCCACTTGCTTATAATCTACAGGTTGTGGGTAATGGAATCAGAGAATTGATGATAAGTCCGGCCTATGTTGGTTTGTCGACACATCTTGACAGCTAGAGCAACCGCGACACGATTTCTATCTGCAGTATTCTCCTGACTGATACGTACCAATTGTCTGTTAGGTGAGGCCACAGTGGGACTTTTCCGGAGAGGTAAAGACAGGCAATGTGTTCTCTGCAGTGCTGATGGAAACGGTACACGATGCTGGTGAGGAATACAAGATTCTAGAAAGTGTGTCAACGGTTTACTTTTATGATGCTCCTCATAAAAATAGTGTCAGCACCAAACACGGAAAACCACTAAATTGAGTGGATCCAAAAGATTCTTCAAGACCCGAGTAGCTATTAATGACCTGAAATTTATGATATATGGATGCTTTTCACCTCCGGGAGGCGTCGTGAACTCCAGTGACTAATCGTTGAGCCGTCCACTATTGAGCGTTTACTCACCAGTACACCAATCCACTTTGGAAACATAGTGAGTCTGGTATTCAAAACTCGCAGGATCAAACCAGGTCTTAAATCCTGATATGTAGGCTCTTCCCATTCTATCAAGCAAGGCAACCCTGAAAAGCCACCGCCGACCACATCACTCAGCATAGAAAGAAGAAAAGTATGTTTTATCTGATAAAACCACGTCCTCTGTTGGTAAAGCGTCCACTGGCTGGAAGCTTCGAGAACAGCGGGTCCTCAACCAGAAAATGAAGACTGTTCTCGATAGAACAACTAGTATTGGATCACCACTTTCCTGCTTTATAGACAAGCATGCTAAAAGCCGACGGCACCACATTCAATCAATATCAATAGTTGCCACAGTCATACTGTATATATACACCGAAAGAATATGATGATTGGTAACGGAAAGTCATCCTGCTGAAAGAAGTTTAATATTGATTTTGCATTGTCTCCTTCACTCAAGAGAATCCCAAGGAAGCACCGGGTGGTATTGATGTGGGTTCTATATATCCATATTGATTGAATTAACCCGGTCCTACCATTCAACCAACCTGTTACATTCCCTCGGACAACGATCTTGGGACATCCATAGTTTCAATACCAACAAGCCATCTTTGAACCGTCTCGGGTGCTTGTTCTTCGAAGACCAAAGGATGCTTCGCCATATAATCTTTCACGATGCTCAGCGATTGCAGAACTTGGGACTTTTCAAGATGCGCTGCCAATCCAGTGTAGCTTGCTTCCATATGACTGTGGCTCTGGCTTATCCTAAATGACAAGCTTGGCCATCGCTGCTGATTATTTGGCTGGGTAATGTGCTGGTGTAAGCCTTGGTGATCTGTTGGCCGACCACGGACTAGCGCTCCGGATGCATCGCCGGTCAAAACTGACGATTCGATCCTCGCTACGCTTGCAGAGCCATTTGCAGGCGGTATCGGTCCAGGAGTGAAGGTAGGGACTTGGTTGCTCGAGCACAAGTCGGACTCCGTATATTGGTTGCAGGGCTCGGTACTGTATTTTGTAGTTCTCGGGTCAGACGTGAAATAGACAATATCAAATGAATGAGAATCCAAACCTCTCTCTCCCAGGCTTAGTTGGAGATACCAAGCTGGTATCGGCCTTTAGTTGGGTGGGCTTAAGCTCGCTGCTTCTCTTTGGACGTTGGCTACTTCGGCGCATTTCACCTTTCTGACGTTTGCTAGACTTGGTTCGTACAACCTTATCAACCTTCCTGGCTTTGGAACCATCGTTCTTGGGTCGAGGTTGGATGACGCAATATTTGGGGCGCAAGGGTGGAGGAGAGGGAGAGAGCGCGGGAGTTGCCCAACAGGGTGATGGAACAGGTACGTGTAACCCGTAAATAAAGTCCCGGGATTGAAAGCCAGCCCCAAAAGACCTGTTGCCAACGGCTGAGTGGTATGATGAAAGGCATTGCGGTGAGGTGTATAAGTATGGGTAACTCATCTGACCAAATGCGAACTGGTCCCCGGTGTCCATGTTGATCCGGAGTGGAGAATCTTGAAAGGGCTCGTGATTCATTCCAAGCATATAAGGAGATAACTACCTCAGCACATTTCTCAACAGTGAACGGTATATTCAACAATGATTAAGAATGAAAGAGATAGTTCCAGATCGCCGGGGAGTAGGATGGATCTCTATTAACGAGAATTGGGGAAAGGATTGGCGCTTCTTTCTCGCTCTCAGGGCATTGCACTAGCGAAATGCTCTAACCACACAACATATTATGTGACCATGCTCTCATTCCTATTGGAAGATAGCGTAAAGGCACCAAACTTTGATCTTGCCGGAAATAGTTCGTCCGAGCAAGCCGCAACTGGCGGCAAAGTCGGGTTCTGAATCATAGCCGGTTGCATGATCTGGTCTTAATGGCTGAGCCTTGCTCGCAGGGCCCCGCGGCAACTGGATGATCAGCCCGTGTTTCCAGGTCGAGTGCATAGCAATAATGCCAAGCTATACGTAGACATTACTAGAGGTAATCTAGCACTTCGGCCCATGGTCGATCCATTGCCCCTCATATTCTGACTTCTCTTCATCTTCTTATTCTAGGGTATTTATCAGGATCACACTCTTTGGTATTCCACGAAAAGACTCAACTTCCAGAATGACCTTTAAATGGCTGAAAGGCAGCTCCGAGGGTGTGTCAGCCCAAAATGGACCGGATTCAGATGAAAGCCTGACAGTGATGAATGGGCGTATTCTGCCAGACCTGCATAGAAATGCTTTGGTACCAAGCTTTCATACTAGCCCTTCTTTTCTAGATAACCTTATGGCTAATAAAATGTCAAGGCCCAACCAACGTCGGCTCCGATGCACGACAGTCAGGACCAGGTAAGTCTACCCTAAAGCCAGCCCGTACGTTCTTGTACCTTCCAACGACTGTTACTGACCATTTCTCTTTTTCGCATGAAGCGACTATCCCATGATAGACATATTCCGTCTAGTCGGCTTCTTCCCAACCCCGATGAACGGAGACAACAGGGTACCTATGGCACGCCTTCTCAGTACGTGGCTTGAGTATTGACTTGCATTACTATAGCCACCATCGACTGCCGCCGCGGACCTCAAGGTATCGGTCATGAAAACCAACGAACGTATACCTTCAATGACTGCACATTCGATAACACAAGCATGGTAATTATTGGAAGCGCAAGCTCTAAGAACGAAACTGTGGTCCTCCGTGATGCTAAAAGTGGCCGAGGCTTTTTTGCCAATGGAGACACGGATAAAGAAACCTTCTTGAGGGAATTCTGTGGAAAGAAGTAGTTTTAGTGGAAGCCTAGGATATTATGCCGCTATTTTCTCTTTGATTTTATATGGATCAAGTAGACATGCAAAGCAGGTCGAAGCTACCGTTCAATACCTCCCAGCAAGCCTTAACTCCCCTTTGTATTCTGTGCTATTCCGCAAGGGGATGATCAAAACAGACCGAATATACTGGTTCTTATTCTATACCTCCCAAAGTCTTTTTAAGCGGGGAGTCCAAAGGAGGTAGCCGTGGGATAGTGGGTTTGGAAAGGGAGAATATTGGGGTTCTCTGGTATTCTCGACGACAAACGACTGCTGACATGCAGGTACGCAAAGAGAATTGGGGGCGCAGCTTGAGTATTGAACCGAGGAATGGACTTGGTGGCTACTGAATAGCCTACATGCAGTCTGGCAGAAGGATGCGCTCAAATTGCTTGAACTTGGTGCGAAGACTGACCATGCGAATCCTTCCCCACGACGTGGACTGCATTTGCCTATCAGACAGAGCCCTAGAGCCGAGTCAAGCTTTGAAGATTTATCACCAGTTGTACCTCCTTCTGAATTGATGACAGACCCTCACTTGCATCACGATACTCTTCATGAACGACCACTAATGTGATTGAAACTTCAACCGCTGTAGCTTCGGCTGAGGTTTAGAGACAGTATTCTAACCACAACGGATAACGGTAGAGTAGAGTATGCGGCGGTTTGATCATACGGGTGATGTCTATCACGTTCAAACAACAAAGCGGGAGAGCTGTCTGGTGCGGTCGCAGGGCTTCTGGCTGGCGTCCGACTAGCCCTTGGAACCAGACCAGGTCTTCCACCCTGTGGTATTGAAGAATTTTCTTACTCCAACAACACAAGGCCGACCCTTCTTGCCGATATTAGCTTTATGCAGTATTCTGGTTGAACAACCTCAAACAATCATGCACGAGGATCGGCCAACGAAGAGACGGATGGGAAAGGCCAGGAGCTCGGTGGGCCTGAGGATTGTCGTTTTTGGAACTGTTATTATTCAACGCAAGTTTGAGTCCCTTGTTAGCTGAAAGATTCTTGGATATCAAGGCATTTCGGTGGCTAGACCTTCCCGTCTCAAGCCCGAAGAGCTTCCGTTGGGATGGCTCGAGAGGATTCGGTGAGATTTAACTTACTGGCAAGGGGAGCAAGAGGATCAGGATTTGTAACACGGACACGCACTTTGTTGATCAAAGAGGACGGGGGATTGGTGATGGAAAGAGAAAAGCAGGGCTGGAATACTCAGAAGTGTGAGGGTGCGGTGAAGAGCAGACAAACCAAGGGTTACTTACCTAAAACAGACAGTTAGTGTTAAGTTTCTCCTTCTCCCAAGCTTTCTGCCTCGCATTCCCAGGATCCAGCAACAGCATGCACTGCATCAAACTGGGGTCTCCTTTGAATATGAGGAGCCTTAGCTTAACGGAAAGCAGCATTCGACACTTCCCAGCAACGACTGCGCACATAGCATCCACAAAGCGGCTCCGGGGCAACTGAAGACCCCTGGAAGATCAACCTCACTGAGCTGTACGACAAGTGACAAAGAGCATGACTCAACTGTTGATGTATGTGAGTGTCCAGAACATTCCTACTAATCGAAGATTTCTCCAGGCTCAGAAGTGCCATCTCCTTCCCGTTTCTCTGAATTTCATTTTCGCGAAGCCTCTTTCCTCCTTCCATCCTCCCACATCTATCGATGTGCTACAGGTTCACTTCCGCATTCCCGAACCCTGTCGACCTTACTTTTTGGAGACGAAGAGTTGGCTTCCTGGCCAGGTGCTGTCTCAAGCAAGCACGAGGGGAACTTTCCAACCTTTGGTATACGAGATGGCCGGTGGTACAAGAAGGAAAACACGCAGCTCGGTCTATTGAGCCTCAGAGTGCTGTATTATAGTGGAAGCCTGTTGCTAATGGCGATGGGGTTCGCGCAGGTCCTGCTTTGAACGGTTCGGTCCGACAGAATGTTCCATACGAACGAGAACGTACGGATGATGGATCCGGGCCACAAATACACCCCTATCGTCATATGGTAATAGATTCTTGGGGATGTAGAGTGTACGTGAGGCCTCAATCGTACCTCTGCAAGCCCCAAACGAAGGCTGTCATGACCAAACCGTGATCAGTGGAAGCACAACACCGAGCATATTTTGTCCGGACAAAATGGTACCAATCCTATATCCGGAGCAAGGCAGAAGCACCAAATGAGGAAATAAACGGATATTGGAAGCAGTGCCTTGGAATCCACTTCAAGGAAGTAAGAGCAATGATGTCCCGGACCCAGGGAGGACGGTACTGAACCTATTGGATGTGTAATGGCATGCTCCCTAATACCCAAAAGAGAGTGAAATATGCATGGAAATAACAATTCGTACAAAATGGAATGTAATAAACAAGAGACTATTCGCAAGCTTCGGAGAGAACAGCTTCATTTGACTTGCTCATTGAGTGTATCTGAGCTAAGCCTTTCTATCCATCTACCAACATCAAGATACAACCTTCGATTTTGGAATAGGTGGTACTCCTCCGCATAAATCTGTATATAATTCAACAACTCGAGCGCTTGGTCTCTGATAATATGGTCTCGCATGGGGCCTGGAACAGTGATGCATTTGGTGAGGATGACATTGAGGCTTTCAAATGGAGCAAGCAATTGGAGCACGCTATTTGATACTATAGGGATCAGTGTTGCATCAACTCCGGTGATTTCTACCGTCCACTTATCAATTGTCTCAATTTCCAGGTTGTATGAGCGGAACTCCCCAGCGATCACGCCCAAAATTTTCAGTGCCTGTAAAACTTGAGTCTTTAAGGCTGACTGGAGAGCCTCAACAAGAACATGAGCAGAGCCAGTTTGGTGGTCTGGAAGGGTTTCAGAGGACCAAGAGCGTGAGCACTGCGTGACTGAACTGGGTCGCGGCACTGGCGTTGTTGTCACTTGACTGCAATAGTCTACTTAGCACTGCAGAAAAGACAAGTTCGAAAGTACAGCAATGCAAACCTTGTTTGATCATCTCTGGCTGGTAAGTTACCCGCGCCAGTTTCCTCAAATACCGCCCGGCCTGCACTTTTTGCTGTCCCCTGGGCGCGACTGAGGCTCAACTGTGTTCTTTGCTTTGAGTGTTTCCGGCCCCCTAAGTCCTGGTCCCTATTGTGCTTCTCCTTTTCCCCCGTCTCCCGTGGAGGTGATGTAGGTGTTGATTTATGCGACAGCGCAGGACTTTTTTCCCGATGAGTCACATCTGGCCGAGAAGGTTGATACATGCTGCCAGAACAAGGAATTAGCTTGCAGTATTCTACGCCCAAGAAGACTGTGGAGGCGGTTTACCTGCAAGCGGTTTGTTGAAGCTGACTGGAATATGAGACGAGGTTGTATCCTGCCTCCTGGCCAAAATGCAGGTGCGGAGGTCGGAAGGGGCGATCAGAAATCTAGGGCATGACACTGATTTTACACCTGGCTGGGAGCACGACACCACCAGAGGCACTCGTGGCCAGTAGAATCCTAGCAACCAGACTTGGAAGGGTTAGTGGATCAAATGATAGGCGATCTTGCCTCACATAGGTGCCCCGAACTGACCCGGACCGACCTCAAGTTCTTGGTCTGAACCTTCACTTTACCTACTGCCTACATTCTTGGCCCGCGGCAAACGGGTCATTGGCCTGGTAAGCCATTTATAGTGTGACTACGTGGTTTTTTTTTTCTCTTTTTTCCCCTTTTGCCTCCATTACGACTGGACTCCAGCATACGCAATGAACTAGACGCTGGAAGGCCGCTTCACGCTCCAGCCTCTGCCCCCTACTCCTCGTTATACCCGTAAAATTAGCAGAATCTGATGATCAAACCACTCATCCATTTGGGTTTAGTGGAGCATGACTTGGGCCATCATTGGCCACCTTGCCCTCGATAGCCAGAGGCCCCATGGATTTTGGCCTGAATCCTCTTACGTTAACGGTCAGGTTGACCGGCGCCAGTGGCTAGCACTTTTGCTGCAAGCCCGCAGCAATTTTACAAAACATACCATCACAAAAGTTAATACGGTGTGTCCGTGGGTTAGGCTAGTGTTAAAATACGACACAAATAGGCAGCTAGCCTTCTTTCATCTTCACTTTTTCCATTGCATTTCATTATCTCATCAGTTTCAACTCTATCCACTAGAAATATTCTGGCCCTGTGACTAGTATTTTACACCACGATCATCAGGTACTCGAAGGGAGAGTTACCTCTTCGAAATGATTCATCTTCGGATCAGGATGTGCCGGTAGCCGGGGAAGCGATGTTGCACACAAACCAGGGCAATAAAGTATGTTTCTGCCAAAGCAAGCACTGCTGATCATATAGAGCTACGTGCTAAGCCTTAACACTAGACTTGTTCCTCCGGCTTCGTAGCTAACCAGACCGGCGAGCATAAAACGAACTCAGGTATTTCCATAACCGACCGGCGGTTTACCCCTTCCCAAAACGTGTCTCCTGATCGCAAGGTTTACAGGCCACACTAGCATACATTCCATGTCAAATTTCATCCTCAACGGCGGATCAATCATGAATGGCGGAATCAAAAATACTCGGCACAAATATAGAGAACAGCCGAAGCAGAATGGCCGGACGCCGGCAGTCAGGAAATCTAAATCGCATGCCCAGGACGTCAGTACGGTATGATAACATTTTCTGCGATTATTGGCTTGACTTGTCAAGTTGCTCATACTTACCGCAGGTTCGAAATATACGGTATGGTGCAGAAATCTCGGCCTCCAATCCCCGGATAAGCAATGTCAATATTAGCCGAGGAGCAAAATTTGCGAACCGAGACATGAGTAGAGACGAGTTCATGGACTACTACTGCTGGGGAATTTTAGGGGTAATCCAGACCATTAAGCTCTGTAGAAGCTCCTACCTATTGGATACTCATGGATTTCAGTGGATGGGTCAAGTTAGGATTGCTCTGTTCCCTAGGGAGTTGTCTAGAGTGGTCCTGAATGGAACACGGAGCTTGGTGCAAGTTGGCTTGAGTACTTTCGATAGCGGGTCGAGGATCACAGGTAATATGAGTCGGTTATAGTGAAATGGACCTTGTGATTGACAGGTCAATGTTGCAGCTAAGAATGCTACGTACATGAAGCGAACCACCGCATGCTCCAAAGCCCGTAAACTGTACAATACAGATCTCCCATCAACAGGTGGCCTATATCCAGGGAACCTAGGTTGTCCTTCTATTTCAGCTCGTGGAAGCCATAATAAATGAATTGTGATCTGTGGGAGATGCCGGAAGAGGGACGTGCAGTTCGCAAGGGGCGAAGGATTCTGGCATTGGAGCCTTCCCTATGGGGTATGGTTCAGATTTCATACCCTCCTTAGTGTGCTAAACAAACACCGGTTATAAGGGAAATGGTTGGAATTTCGGTTCAATATGGCAATCCGCCAAATCGCAATCTGTATCCCTGGTATGAGTACGGATCGGGGTCCGCAGCGACCCTATCGTAGTCATCGCTCTTGCTAGGTACGACAGTGGCGTCTGCGGGCGAGAAGCAGGATTCTGGTTTTTGGCGTGGAGAGCTACTCCCATTTTCCAGCATGTCCGAGTCTAAAGGTACATGCAAGGGGATTTTCATTTTGACTAACTACCCTGATGGCTTTCTTTGGATACCCTCGAATGGTTCTAGCTTCAAGTTTATACCAGGGAAAGGTCAGTCCAACCGTACGAATCAGTGAAGTTACATGTATCCAATTTCTGGTTTGTCGGGCAGTTCATGTAAATGTGTGTGTAATAGGCGCAAATTTTGCCACTGCATCCTCGCCCCCATCCATTGCCATCACGTCGCGATACTGCATACGCTTCAGGACCGTCTCCTTTGCCCAATCGAATTTGATTTCAACCTCCAATTCATCAATAGACAGGGGTTTGACTCGGTCGTTGAAAGTGTAATTGATAGACCATACGTTGACCACATGAGACTGAGCAACATCCCCCTCCCCGGCCCTGGAAATTTCCATCCTTTTTTCCAAACCTGGAGGGTCACTGACAGTGGTGCATCCACTGTATGAGATCATGGTATGTGCCCAATTTGTCTTTGGCTGGGTGCTGTCCGTCTCCTCCTCGAGGGAGGGCTCCCTTGCATCCATGAAGGCAGTTGTGCCCTTTATATAGTTTTAGCATGTATCAGGCGGAACGGATAATTCAGTTTTCAGACCTTTGAGAGACCAAAACAATGAAAAAATCGCAAAATGTTCATGGCAAGTGAAGATTCGAATGGGGGCTGGCTAAAAGTCACTTCGATGCGTGCACGCACAACCAACATCAATTGGAAGCATGAGCATTAAGTAGGTTTCATGGGTATGGAAGTGAGGACGGTCTCTTTCGTACTCAGGGGTAGTACAAAAGCCAGTTGTGCTGACATCGCACATTGTCTATGGTTCAGGTATAAATCCTGCGGCATGGTCTGATCTATCCTCTTTCTAGATGTGTGTGTGATAATCCCTGCCGACTGAACCCCTGCCGACCCCAGCCCATCTGATTCTAGGCACTCACGACCAATCCCGCCTGTCATCATGACCCCAGTCACCGCAGAAAAACTGCTATCAGACTTATCAACGCAACTGGATATTTTCATTCGTTTTCTCAGTATCGACTTGACCTCAGTCATCCTAGAAGGAGTTTCGGACCAAGGATGCCTGCGGGCTGCAGAACTCATAGCAACGGGAACGAACACCTACATCTGGTTACAACGCATCCAGGAAATCCATCAATGGACCAACCTGGCTTTGTGGGAGCAAGATTGGCTTCAACGGACTGGACGCAATAAGCCTACACCATGCTCGGGGTCCCATCGACTAGGCACCATGACCACATTCATCCAGGAAGAGAAATTATCCGACAGTCACAACACCAGGAAAGCACTCCAGCATGGGCGCAGACTGATACGATTTGAATATGAACTTGGACCTGGAATTACGCTTCTTTTCATACCAGTCCTTCCAGCTTTCCGTTGTTTGACCTTAGCTGAAGAAGCTAGGACAGTGGTGATGCTGCGAGATGGCGACTTTGCACAGATCATGTACCAGGCGCAAGCTCTGGCTTGCCTGAGGTTCAATTATCAATGCATCCATGGAATTTATCCCGGTAAGCTAATACGGACCAGCTACCTATATTGTCTAACTAAACTGTTCCCAATAGCAATGTCCTGCCCACCACATGCAGATCCAGCATGCCATAGCGCGATTTCCTCTAGATCTTCATGAAAGCAAAAGCTTCACGTGCTGATGATGTATCCAGCCCCCACGGGTGCTCAGAAAACCCTTGCCAAACAAAGGATCCTCCAGCAGGCAGTGAAATTACCATCTTGACTGCGCCTCGCACGAACAGTACTTCATTTGATCGTAAATCGAAAGACCTTGGTGTTCTTCTTTCCTGTGCGAATTCGGTGCTCGTCAAGTGGTGGGAGATCGGATAGAGCTTCAAGGTTGTCACTCTATCCTCTATGGTATCTGAGAGGGCCCGGAAGACGGAAAGCCCATTTCGGCAAGGATGGGCGGCATTGATTCCCCAGTTTAGGCGATCCGACGAGTGGACGATGACCGGGCCCTGGTGGAGACGGAAGGCAGGCCTCCCGATCACTTCTTCGACCTTCTTTGTGAACTGCCATTATCTTTAGTTTTGTACAATGACCACTGAATTGAAGGACACACATCATTACCCTGGATTCCAAATCTCAGGAAGCTCTCGCATGCATCATGATCCCCTCTCCCATACATGACGGGCCCCGACGCTTCCTTTGGTCGTGTTCGAAGAGATTTCTTCACATCCGTGACCATAGACTGGAGTGGCAAGTCGGCTGGAAGTATGCTATATCCCATAACCTCCATGGTCGAGGACCCTCTGTTGTCGTCACAGAAAATGGCTTGGTTGGATGTCATGTCTGCGGAGTAATACAGTCTAGCCAAATGAGGCTTAGTTCGGTTTGGCGAAATTTGTAGGACTTGTTCCCACTATAAAAGAAAGAAATGATTATTTCTTATACCAATGTGTAGCCTGCGGGGAATATGCCCTTTTATATTGCTTCGACTTAGCGATTAGACAAATGCGTAGGTGCTTCTAGCCTTCAACGGGAAGACGGAACTATTAGGACGATGGGTAACATGTCATTCTCCGCGCGTACTCTCACACCAAAACGTATCTGTTGGGAGACCAAGGCCGAGGAGTTTGTTGGTCTTCTAATATACATTGTGACCATTCAGCTATGGCCATTAAGAATCCATCCACTGGACTCATTGCAAGGCTTACGGTTCCACTCTCAAAGTTCTGTCTATCTACAATTCGAGGATTACAATTCTTCCAGAAAGAATAATATGACGATTTAATGAACAGACTTAATGGACGGGGGCTTGTTAACTTCATCAGAAAGGATACAAAAGCGTACATAAGGATATGGCATTTAATACAGGAATGAATAGCTGTCGTCTAAAACACTAACCCATACAATGTTTCAAGCGGCTCAAGGCGAAGACATGCCTGTCCAGTATCGATGATCATGCTCAGAACAGGTATCTTTCCCCTCTTCCGAAGAGCCTCACATCCGATCCTGGAACGAAGTTAGATAATAACACCCGGAGAATAGCGTTTGGGTGGTGAGGCATACATCGGTATTCGAGAATAAACGCTCCTCTTGCAGAGAATATGCTGCGTGCCGATAACTTAGAAAATATTTCCAGCGTACGGTTTAGTAAAGACTCGACCTCTTGGTCTTCCTTTCCTCCCTGGAGCCCTGCAGCGCCTCCGATGAGAGTATATGCTGATTGTTCAGCATAGTAGCTTCCGAGACCTCGCATATACCAAGCATATGATTTGGACTGCATGCTCTCAGCCAAAAGATTGAACACTCGCAACGTAGCCTTTGCAAAAGCAATACACTTCAATGCAGATAATCTTGTTTCTGGTGTCGTCTCCCCATCTAGGTATCGCTGAAGATAAGGCAAAAAGAGAAGACGAAGCAGATAGTTGATATAGCAGTGCAGTATACCATAGCCGCCTTGATGAGAGATTGACTGCGAACCAGGTCCACCGAGCTTGGTGTTAAGCTCGCTGCAGGCTTTCTCCATACGGTCTAGCTCAGTCTCAAGGACAGCGAGGGTACACTCTGACATCAAACCACGCTCTGCGCTCACACAGATCGTGTCTGATATCTTCAACAGTTGAGAATTCAACATGGTAAACGTCGTCTCCATGGGAGATAATTCTGCGGCACCAGTTGATAGGCTTGAATGTTCAGGATACTCTTTGCAGATATCAGTTAGTAGCTGTATACCTTGGGTGAGTACCGGGTTGCGGTAGTAGTCGTGCATCTGAGCGTTGAGCATAAACAGGGCTTTCAGGCTAACCAGAATACATCGGTATTCCTCGCAAACCTTGGGCTGGACAACACACTGCTCGGTATCCACATGACATTTGGTAGATATTGCCGCACGGCAGGCCAGTTGCAGGTCACTGAATACATCCTCTCCACGGTGTGTGCGACCATAGATTATGAGTACCATCGCTTTCAGTGAACTCCGTGATATTTCAAATGGTGGGTCGTTGGTCAACAGACAGTGCCAGGCAGCTTCCTCGCACCGCATCGACAAATCATCAGAGAAACAGCCTCTTCCAGAATCTTCTTCCGCACGGCAGGCTAGTGCTAGAATTGCAAAAAGCAAGGATAGCCAGGATTGCGGTGCGACATTAAAATTGCGGCAGAATGCCTCATACTCAGCTTCGAAGCTGATGGCGTCGATGACACAACATAGCTAGCGTGATGTTAGTGAACATATCTCGGCAGTTTGATAGGCCAACTTTACCATGGAAATAGATGTAAAGTATCTTTCTATAAGGTGGTCAATCACTTCACGGTTTGGGAGGACGTCGAGGAGTTGCTCATATGAAGCGCACCCTGCCAGTGAAGATGGGCCAACAGCACTGTCGGAACTGCTGACATCTGGGCTTGGAGTTCTGCCCAGCTCCGACGGGGCAGTCAAACAGCTGGTTTTGGAAAGTGGTGTGGTAACTCCCTCTGACTCATCGTGGAATGCTCGTCTCGTATCTATAGCAGCAAGAGTGGAGGTGTAGGATGACGGACTACTGTAAGACTCTTCATGGAGAGGGCTCTCAGCCGGTTGGACTGGGGCCTTCTCTAGTACTGCATTCCAGGATGACTCGGCGGGAATATCGGACTGACATAGAGGTGTATGCGGTATTGTGGGTTTCGTGTGAACTGGTTTTGCAAACTCACACGTACTTTCAATTCCACGAAGAGTACATGATACACACGGAGGTCCTTTGCCAGTGCAGCGGATTTTCTTGGCGCGGCATGGCAGGCAGGCAGATCTGGCCCTTGCCAGGTGCTTCTCGCTGCGCGAGCCAAGCTCAAACGTACATGCTCCATTTCCACGTAGAACGCATTCCTCACACGGCAGTCCTCCCCTGCAAAGTGTGCTGTTCGTGAGACACGGGCCGCATGCGTCACTTTCGATCCTTGCCTGCTGTGCAACAAGCTTCCTGCTAATTGCAGTGAGGACAAATTCACAAGACTCTTTCCCCCGTTCAAAACAGTTCTGACAAGGAGGTCCCCCAGCGCAGCGTTTCCTAGTAGTGCGACAAGTTTCGCATGCTGTACTAGTTCGAGCTGCCATAGTACACTGAGATTGCTGACTCCTCGAGCTCTTGGAATAGAAAGGTCATTCAATGAATAAAAATGAAGGTTCTTGTAATGCTGGTCTGGCGATTGGTAACTTTATAATTGACAGGAGACGTCGCGACTTTCAGACTTACCTTAGTGGAGTAGGATGGCTGACCTTGAACCCAGTTATAGCCTCTCCGCTTCTTCCGTCCAACATGATCGTTGGTTAATCCGTCATCTAGAGTACGTTCTAGAGATGGTGTATACTCACCCTTCTGTCGAACCGGGCAACCTATTATTATGTTGTAATAATATCTTGCCGAAAGAGGAGAGTATCTGCTTTGTAGCTGAATTTCTATAAACGCCGAAAAAGGCATGATAAGTAGAGATCTATCCCGACAGAGTGTAAGGTCTCGATTACCATCTCGAAAGTGTTCTAAATAAGGCTGGAAATCAATGGCCAGGTTGTTGCAAACGAGTAGTAAAAGGAATGATATTGCGTCACATTGATAGGTGACTTCGAGCCCGGTAGCCCAAGTTCATAGCCAAAAGAAAAAAAAAACCTAATGCGCACAATCACTCAAGTGGCTCGAAAGAGTTCCTAGACATCCGTTCCGAAACAGTATTTACCAGACCCTGGGTCATGACAATGACAACCAACAACAGTCGAGACCCACAAATGGCGATGCTGAGGATCAGGCGCCGGAAATACTTCCAATTTCCAATCAAAGCTGCTTTACAAATTTGGCGTAGTAATTGGACCTTGACTCGTAGCGTGTACTGGCTATCCGGATGCTCAGCCTGCCAAATCATTGTTCGACCAGGTGTCGTCATCTCCAGCACAGTGAATGGAACCAAAGCGGAAGTATTGCCATAGACGACAGGGCATATAGGCAGTCGTCCTTTTTGAGTTTTGCTGCCAACTCGAAGGCCTTCGATTCCGGATAGTGGCTTCCACTCTGAATTCCTCCAATGCCGCAGTGTGTGATAAACCATGCACCAAAAATACCCTCCGTGGTCGAGAAGAAATGCGCACCCGAATATGGAGCTTTTCATCTCGTCGAGGAGGAGTTCTAGCTTCCACCCCGTTGCTCCTATTGTCACAGCTTTTTCATCTTGCTCCCGGATGTGCAACATATCCCAGGGCTGGTTAATTGATTAGTAATTTTCCTCAACACGGAAAGCGAAGCTCACTTCTAATTTCAAGACCATCAGGTATGTAATTGCTGCAGAGAGGCATATCTCCATTTTGAGCCCAGAATAATTCAAGTCAGATGCCAATAGATATCCTCGCCTCTTGGAACGTAATCTTCCCCAGGGAATGGAAAGCATTTATATCCTTGCGCGTCATGGTATGGAATATAAAGACACAAATCAATTGGCAGCCTTCTCCTTATGCGGCACCACGAGCCGTCAGTATCGCCTTTTTCTCAAATAAAAATCAGGGCCGGTATCACAAGGTATATGGTAAGGATTTTCCTGGTGCAACATCGTCTAAACTTACGCTGCTTTTTCATTGTTTCCGGGTATTGCTATTTAGGGAGCGGAGATTAAAAAGTGCAGAGATAAAGTAATCGACAATGAAAAATGCCTTTCTCGAAAAAAAAAACGAGTATAAGAATCTTGATAACCAAAGCAGTATATCTTGAATATGAAGCACGAATGCAGTCCATTTTTTCTAATACGATCAGTCTATTTCCGTCCACTCAAAATTCTGAACTCTGGTTATGCGAATAATTTTAACCCGGAACAAAGAGAAATGCTTCTCCTTGGATCATGAGTTGCGAGTAATGGACAGTGAATAGACTTTAAGGTTTGTTTCTAAGACTCGATCAAGAAATTCTAGATACAAATTGGTGAGAGAGTGTCCTCACATCTCTTCTAGCCATGCCAACGCCCACGATTTCAGATTACGCGCTGGGATGAATGCTCTGCCCTGAAGCATCCCGAGGTTTAGGTCAACCTTCTCGTATGATATTCCTGATATCGATTAGCAAGATCCAACCTCAGCACAAAAAAAAATACTTACACCCGAGGATTCATTCCATGTCGATCTTCAGGGCCCCAGATGATTGTAATCAAGCCTCTGATAAAAATACCGCATCTGCGAGAAGGACCTGCGGCGTGACCGTAACCCAGTCGTCGTAGTTTCCAACAATGCTTGAATAGAAGTCATCCCAATCAGACTGAGCATTTCTATCTAGAGCTAGAAGCAGTGTTGATTTAAGCTCCGGCTTGGCCGCAATAATTTGTTTCGCCAAAGACATGCAATCTTCGAGGTCTGTATCTTCAAAAGCCTTGGAGACCGATTCGACATCTTCGAACAATGACTCCTTGACAAGTTTGAAAATATGCTTTGCCTTAGCTGATGGGTCATCGGGCAGCGTAGGTTCTTCATTTGTCTTGAGGTGATCCATCGTATAGTTCTTAACGTGAATCAAGGCAAGTCTGCCACGTGAAGTATGGTTAAGTATAGTTGAAAGAGAGGAAAAATGTTGCCTGGTAGGTGGGAAATATTGGTCCGGCCATGGTTTATATATTTTCTGGCTATGTCCCATTCATGCATCCAGACAGACAGATAACTATTAATGGCGGCAAACAGAAATGGCTAAAGAAATCTATGCAGAGTCTCTGTTACATGTTACGGTAATTGCACTATCCAGCGATAAGGGGCCTATCCGTGATTTTCCATATTCGAGACCGGTTACTTGGAACCTTGCATTAGATCGCAGGGATTCCGTACATGTTCGTACTAATTGAAGGACGGTGATTGAAAGATTAACTAGCAGATTGTATTGAAGGCGTCTCATACCCCAGGGGCTAGTATTAGCGTGTTGCAAGGCGGGTTTCCCGAAACGACCAGATTTACCACACAAAAGAATACGGAGGAGCGGGTAGCCGTTGAATCAGTTGAATGAACTCTGATTTGTACTTGAGATATCTATGTGCAATTGGTTGGTTTCTCTGGGTCCTGCTGTTGAATGCTGCAGACCTCCGGACTTTTGCTTGTGTCACGACACTAGGATTGTACTTCAAGTTCTCGAATACAAAGATAAAAGAAAGTAATGTGTACCAGGATAATATTCCTACCATCAGAAGTAAACCAGCCTCATGTTTAATCGCCGCGGGTAATTTTAAGGACCAGCCGGTTGTAGGTCGGTGGACTCTAGTTTCGCCACATTCTTGACTGCCATCACCGGGTCTTCATTGCACTGCAAGAAATACTCTTGCAGTGTAGCAGGTGACAAGGCCAAATGAGAGACGACATCGGAAAATTGACTGGCCAGCTGATCAAGCGTTGTATTCGGGAACTTTGCATCGGCATCATCATTACCAAAAAAGAAAGAGAAGTAGTCGTGTATGGTCGGTGCATCAGGGTTTCGGAACTCGAATTGCTTGTCTATCCGTCCAGGTCGAGTCAGAGCCGGATCAAGTGTTGGTTTAGCATTCGTGGTGGCAACGAGTATATGGCCGTTGTGCGCTCCGATGCCATCTAAAGCATTCAGAACAGTTGCCAGCGTTATTCCTTTCTGACGAGATGCATCTTTTTCTTCGTTCACTGTATTTCCACGCTGATCAATCCTGGTGGTGTCTATATCTTCAAGTACCACCATACAGCGTGCAGGAGGGGCCGGTAGTGTGCGGAACAATTCTTGTAGGCCATAATCATCAACAGTGGCGAGGTTGAATATATATATCGGAAGCTCAAAGTGGGTGGCAATCACCTTGCAGCAGCTGCTCTTACCAGTCCCCGGTGGGCCATGGAAGAGATAGCCTCGTCGATGCGGGATGCCACGTTTCCGATAAAAATCGGTAACGGCTTTGCTGAGGAATTTTTCAATATCTTCGATCATTTCTCGCTTCATTTCTTTATCCTGTGCTAGGCTGTCCAGGCTCCGAGGAATCTCGTCGCACATGTTTTGCCAGCCCGCATCCCGCTTATCTTGGCGTGCACAGAACACGGCCAATTGTCCGCGGCGGCAGTCAACATTGAATTTTTGGATATCCACCAGAAGATTTTCAAAAACAGCCTTGTTCCAGGACATGTAATAAATAGTGATATTCTCGGCATTTCTCGAGAAGGGATCCAGAGCATTCCGGTGCGGGTCACGGTAGAAGGCAAACCAACATTTCTGATACCGAAAGAAATGAAAGCGCTCTTGTCCCGGAGTGATGCGAAGCTTCTCTATCTTTCCTCGATATGCTGGGATTTCTGTCTCCACATACTTAAGAGAGTCGTCGTTGGAATCCCAAAGAAATCCGAATGCCTCCGTAATTCCAACGATAACCGAGCTTGAGCAGCTGCGAAACCTGACACTAGATACCCATCTCATAACTTGAGGGTATAGATTATTCCGGTGTCTAATTTCCGCGGAGGCGACAAATAGTGAAATAATGGGTTCCAGAGCTCTCGAAAGTGACGGCAGTAAGAATGTCGAAATGATCGGAAGGGCAACCAACGGCAGAACAGAAGACAATATGTTAACGCCCAGTGCGGCCGAGATTAACCGGATAAGCCATGAAAGCCCTGGTGCAAAGGTATCAAGGAGAGAATGAAGTGCCTCATCAGGTTGTTCGGACATTTTAGGTGGGAAAGCAAGAATCTCTGAGGGGTTTGGTATTTGGAGTGGAGATGAACACCGATAATCTGTTGATGATCTGTGATGTATTTCTTCGTTGTGTACAATGGCATAGGAACAGTATTTTGGGCAGCTAGTATTTATATTATATCCCGAATGGGGGCTGAAACTTCGTCTTTACTTTGGCGGTTGAGGTGGGACGCCTGGTTTCTTGACTCCTGTTGTATCGTATACACTGCGTCTGCAAAGCTTAGCCTGGTTTAAGATTACTACTAATTTAAATGAACATACCTGTATTAAATTGATCTTCGTCAGGAGGAATCACGGTTGGTATTTGCACTTCGACTAGCTCTCAATTGGAATAGAGTAGCGTAAATTTGGATGTGCTCGAGGAAGAAATACGATAATCAAGCCTTCTTCTTTAGGTGCAGAGCCCTACTTGCTGTGGGATTGAGGTGTAGATTTAAATCCTTGCGAGTAAGACAAATTACTAGCGATTCTGTATACATTCACGGTGCATAGACTATCATGGTCGAAAAGTGGTTTTGAATTTGAGCATAATTGCCTTGTGCTAGTCGCTTTCCCCTTGTGTAGGTTGGTCTATATTCAATTGGTTTTGGCCGACAGACAAGCCTGTCTATATGCATGATTCTCGGTGAAGAAGTCTGCCAAAATAAACGTTGCGAGCCAAGACCGCTAGCATGACGTCATGAACTTGGTTCTGATATGGAAGGTGTGGTGTGGTGCATTGTATGAACAGTATCGTTGAGGTAGAACAATCAATTTAAAGCCAGACAATGCAGAAACCAAAAAGCCCCAGGTTCCAATGTACCTATCCGAGATACTCGTTTGAAATCGCCCGTGGAAAACTCGACTAGCCATTGCTCAATTGTGCTGTCGGGGCTCTGGATAATATCAGATTGTTCCAAAACCGCGTTTTGTAAATAGTCTGGACTCATACACAATATCAAATCTATTGCATATCATAAAACAGGTCGCATGGGATCCAGAATGCTCATGAAAGGCCAATGAAGTATGCGTGACTCGATCGAGTTAAATGACCCTGAAGCTTTCGTTCTCACGAATTCGACATAAAGGTGCTTGGAAAAGCATACCCAGATTACTGCTGAGAATGTAGTACGTCGACTGTGTAGTCAGTATCAGATAAAATCAACCGACCTGGGTTATTTCACATTTAATGAAAGGGTGTTTGTTTTTGCACGCCGCCTTGAGCCTAGAAAGAGCCATCATGTAGTGGTCAGTGGCGTCATGCAAGGTAACGACTATTGATAGTTAGCACTGCTTTGACTGCATAAAAGTTATATTGACTGTGTGAAAATTCTTGGAACGTTTATATCTCCATTATGAGATTGAGGGAAGCTGTTTGCGGCTCTGGGGCTAGCTTGGGTCTATATCATTGTGGCAGTGGTTGTGGCTGAAGCGAATATAAGGCAAGATGGACTTTGAAGGGACGCCATGTGAACGCCGGCACTGAAGAGAGGATGGAGCGTTGACTCCTGGTCATTTCACTCCAGTACGAAGCCCGTCAGTGTTATGCATTTCTTCGTTTCCCTTATCGCGCGCAAGATATTTTCAGGAGCCATCGAGCCCTGTCTGGCGCACTATGGCCACGTAAATCAGTTCGCCCATAACAACTTACAAACTTCACACATATGTTGACAGTTACCAAGGTAAATTTTGATGATACGGTCAATTCAAGATTTGAAGCCATATTGACACACGGGTTTATCGGATGCCGCCAGTGTAGGGGTAACTGAAACCCTTGATATGGCAATCCGTTTTTGGGATCCCAAATTTCCTTCCCTAAAAGGGGATAGCTCAATCCCCGCCCGGGTAGGTACAGTGGTGTAACAAAAGTATTTGACCTCCTGTACTTCGGGGCCCGCCTTCAATACCGCCTACTCTGTTAGTACGTACTCTAACTCGCGTTTTAACGCGCTATAACATGTACGCTATATTTCAACGCGTTAAGGATGGCTTAGATATTGAGATATTTAAGTATCTGTTGGAAATTATGTCTGACAGGGTAGCTAATGTTATTAAGTATAAGGATTTGCATACTAGCTATCAAATTGAATTGAATTTATGAGGTTTCTGCCTCGCAGTATTAGGAAAGTGGGTCCTAGGCCTAAGTATTCGAGGTCAAATACTTTTGTTACACCACTGTATGAGTCACTTGTAGCTGGTATGATGTATTAGTCGTATTTTTGCGGAGTTGCGTGGGCCACAGTCCAATAATGCGTATGTAGATACAGGTCTAACCCGAGTGCATGAGTGCGTATCAGGATGACAGAACAATTTTTTCTAAATAGTTACTCCAGCAAATTCTGTCCGATCACAGGACGTCCGTACGCGCTCGCACTGAGGGAACCAACCTTGAGGTGATTGATTGGCTGAACTAACGGACCACTGCCGAGAGGGTCTATATCCATATCACTCCCGACATTAATACAATGCGTACCCGAGTTGATCAGGTTTACCGTACGGAACGTAGATTGTATTCGGAGTACTACTGATTTAGTCCAGACTAGTGGTAAAATACCAAATTTCCAGATTGGCTGAATCCAAATACGGTGAGATGACCAATCATATCTTTTCCTAGCCTTCCCGATGTCAGTCAGGAGTTGTATCTCATTTGCAGGTCACTTGCGCCTGTCACTAGACTTTTTCTAGCCGTAGCGTGTGGAGTAAGATTTCCTCAAATGGGCAACTTTCGCGGGGTGGGTCGACGGTCGGGTCGTCGGCTGAAACCAACCTTGTATGTGTCTACCAACGTCCCCATCATGCCCGTGCCAATGGCTGGGCAACGGATTTCAATACATCGGACACAACGTAGGTCGTAATATCTAAAAGGGCCAGGTGCTTACATAAACGTACACTGCCGGCAGATACATGGGAGGTGAACGCCTTTTGACCAATCATTGAGTTCATGCCAACCGTCCTCCCACTACCACTAGAAATTGGTTAATCACATTTGCACGCCGCTGCAGAAATCCTAGTCATTCCGAACTAGTTAAGCACATGCCTTGCGATATATCCCATTGCCCAATCAAATGCGCCATATAATTGCACAGCTACCTTCATTGGTAGACGGATCTTCTGTGCCGTCAATCACGCACCCGCAATAGCCGCCGGCATTCGACGAAGCTGGAAAGTATGTATGCACTGGCGCTCCAAATTCCCCAGATCATGTGATTGTTAAATCGCCCAAGCCCTGCGCCCGACGCTGCGACCCCATAATCCTTTCATATTTCACTGACCCGTTCAGGCTGCATACCTTGTACCGATCAACGCAGAAGTTCCAGCCTCATGGGCCTGACTGATAGCAAAATGGCAGCTCAAGCTGTGTTTGGAGCTTGCTCTGAAGCTGAGAAATCCGGCAAAAATGATATCAAAGCTATGCTGACCGACCCAAAGGTGTGTTTTGATCCATTCACCACGACCCGAGGTAGAGCTAATAACAGTGTAATATCAAAAAGATTCTTTCTTTACTCCACGGTCTTTGGTCTGGCTTACCTGATACGGCCAAGGAAAAGATTGATCCCGAACACGAAACGAAAAGAAAGAATAGCGGCAAACTAAAAGTCGACCGTCCCAAAAAAATTCGGAAACTCACAAAGTCTATCCATACTGAGTTCAAACTTGACAAGGAATTTATGAATAAAGTATTAGTTTGGAACAACAACCCGTTGTCATTTTTCCACGAAGGTGAAAGTCGGCTTGAAATGACAGAGTCCCCTTTCGATGGGATGAACGCCTATATGGAAAAATTGAGCAACCGTACTGGGATGGATAAAATACGCCTACGACTTCTCAAAGTGATGTATTATCGCCTGTCTGGGTGTGTTGGGTGGACTCAAATGTGCCAGAGACGTACACGGATGGCGCAGATAACAACTAACCCCGATATGTCGGGATGGGTTAACGATGGAAAGCGGATTGACAAACTGTGTCGAGACATTGGCAGTGTCAGACAAACCGAGCGCTTCGACCAGTACTTCCATCTGGGAAATCTTTTTTATTCACTCCAAGACGTTGCCGATTATTGGTAATCATTTTACGCTGTTATTGTATCTTCCATGCTGATATCCTTGCAGTATCATAGAGCTACCTTTGACGCGTCATCCTCGGCCACAAGAAGTTGCACGACTCAAAAACCGCAGCAGTATTTTGAATACCGAAGACAGGAGCAGTCTCGATATCTTGGCACATAAACTCACGGAGACTATATGGACAGTCTTACAGAACGCAGAGTCTGACTTGGGTTCGTTCTGTCTTTTCCCGAGCTGTTTGAAGCCGCATGCTAACGGGCAAGCACTGAATAGATATTGAGAGACACTCAATGGGAGACTTTCTTCGGCAAGGCTCTCAACAATCTAGCCATTGCACCTCTTCATCACAGCAAGGTGGAACGACTGGGAGAACCGTTTGCGATGCAGAATATTCACGACTCTCAGCCGCAAACACAACAAATGACGGGGAACACGCCACAGTCGACGAGAACCTCGAGTCTCTACTACAGACTCCTGCCGTTGGATCAATGTCACATGAAGGAAATCAATCCGAGCCTCATCCTACGTCCCAGTTCGGAGCACCTTGGTCAACAGACTCAAGAGAGATTCGTCCGGCCCATGGGCATGTCTCACTTCGACCTTCCCTTATCTCGGACTTCACAGGTAGGACATCGGGATCTATAGAAAATGGTTCTCCGGTACTTCTCAACTACACATCACTTTCTCCTACGTTAGTTTCGGATTTTCAATCATCCCTTCAAGGTGCACACCCCGAACCATGCCTTCCTGCGTCGATTTGTCCTACCTCCATCTCAGATTTCAGTACATGCATTCCGCAGGGAACACAAAATCTGTCCCATGGCGCAATGTCATTCTATCCTTCAGCTTTCTCGGATTTTACCACCGCTTCTAGGACGACAGAAAATCTCCAGCCTGGGTTGTTCTCAGAACCGTCCATCGACCCAACACTGTCAGACGAATTCACCATGATATCTCAAGACCTGCACACACACGTTGTCGAGCCATGTTACCACGATATCAATACGGTTGCTGGAAATTCACCCGTAGCCTATAATGAGTTATCCACGGCCTTTACAAACGGGGCACCTCCACAACCCGTCTCTGTACTTCAGTGAAGCTGTCTTTGAACCGTTACAGAAATATGCGGTCGGTTATGGAAAGTCTTTCTCGTGTTTGCTATGTGAATGTCCGAATGTTTGAACCAATACTTATTCCTCTTTCAGTCCCGGTACGACCACGATCAGACAATCCAAAGTTGTAGTCAGTAGTTGTGTCTCTGTTAATCGCAAGAAGTCCCCAAAATGCAGTTTTTGTCCGGCAATTTCAACATCCTGGAAAGGGAAAAATATAGTGTCAAACCCCTTCTCCTTCTCGATGCTCACTGTTCCTGATAATCGCAGAAGAGCGTAACCGTTACCCTGAAAATGTTTATTAGCTATTTTTACTCACGATAAGAATATCGTAGCAATACCTCTTTATGCAAATTCATTTGTTCAAGAAAAGGCGTCCATTTTGTAAAGCGACCATTGTCCACGCATCTTAGAATATCACCAGCAGCGTCTTTCTTCTCAACTTTGGCGACTTCGGCATCCTTAAACCACCGGGCAACCGAGCGTAACTCGTCAAAACTTTTTGGGTCGATAGAAGAAGGAGACATCAGGAATCTGTCAAGTCGATTCGCCGGACTGAGGGGTTTGGGCCTCTTCAACAGAGGCTTAAGGGTCAGATTTTGTTGTATAGTGTCTTCTGATAGAGAGTAGATGTAACTCACTCCAACCTAAGTTTGTTTGCCGCGGTATCGTGGCCGGCGTGCCGGTATATTGAAACGAAAAACTTCGGGAAAGGTGAGGTAAATAGAGGGGTCGGGAAAATGCCCCCCAGACAAACAAAACAAATACCTTACCACGTGATCACAGCCATCTGTTGGCGCGCAGTGGGTTCTCGGAATTATGGATATTCCGCATCGCTATCTCTTAGTGTTGTGATACGAGGCTGGTGCAGATCAGGAACAAAGCCCCATCGTAATTGATCCTTGAGGTCTCTATACAAAGCCAAAAGTTGATTTGGGATCAACTCGGCTACTCTGTTACGGAAAGACAGAGCCGCACTTCTGGTTAGGGTGGGATTTTACCTAGCGATTGCAAGATAGAACGGCTTGTTCATGCCCTATGAACCGTTTTGCAGAGCATTTTCATGGATACTAGACTTGGTTATAGCTCTTAGACCCAGTGGTTTATTCTCTTTATGGTGGCTAAGCGTTTAACTGCTCTCCTTGCAGATACCAGTGCATTATCTTAACTACATCGGCATGAGGGGCGGTTGACTGAAGAGTCTGGCTGAGCCACGCAGACAAGTCGCATGCCCTGCCGCGTTGATGTGCGTTGAGGTCATTCTATTCCTAGTTTGAGGAGGCAGCTCAGCTCAAGGCGATTTGCTTTGTGGATGACCTGTCGGCCTCGGCCCCCTTTTACAGCTAGAGACGACGCGCTTGCAGTCATGTTGCAGTGATTTTGACAACGTATCTCAATGTTCGATGACGTGAGCTTACCAGATTAACGTAATTCCCGTACGAGCCGCCCACCCCGAGAGAGCCGCCCACCCATCGAAAAACGCGTCAATAATGCAACTGAGATAATTTCAACCACCCACCATGCCACCCATGCGCAATCAGAATCGCCAAAAGTTAGCACAGCAGGAGGGTCCCCTATTATTAGCTATTAGAGCTATAGAAAAGGGCGAAATAAAGTCAATTCGTGAGGCTGCGCGCATCTTTAATGTCCCCCGCTCCACTCTCCGCGGACGCGTCAACGGCCAGACGTTTCGCCCTGATACGCGCGCAAATAACCATATATTGACCGTACAAGAGGAGGAATCCCTTGTCAAGTGGATATTTGACCTTGACTATCGCGGGCAGGCCCCTCAGCAATGTATGGTGCGAGAAATGGCCGATATACTGCTCGCCGAGCGCGTATCGAAGGCATCATCAAAGCGACCAGCGCAAGTCGGCAAAAATTGGGTAACCGGCTTCGTTCGACGCCAACCAAAGCTCCAAAGCCGCTTTTCACGCAAATATAACTACCAGCGAGCCCAAAACGAAGATCCAGAGGTTATTCGAGCGTGGTTTGACAAGGTCCACCAGACGATTTGCCGGTACGGCATCACCGACGCCGATATCTACAATTTTGATGAGACTGGCTTCGCGATAGGCGTTACAGCGACTAGTAAAGTCGTCACTCGGTCGGAATACTACGGCAAGCGAGCCGTTGCAGAGCCAGGGAACCGCGAGTGGGTGACGGCGATCGAATGTATTGGCTCCGGATTCGCGCTTGATCCATATATCATCTTTAAAGGCCGTGTTTTCATCCAAGGATGGTTCGAATACCTTCCGAAGGGCTGGCGGCTTGACAAAAGTGAAAATGGATGGACTACAAACGAGATTGGGCTACGTTGGCTATCGGAATCGTTCATTCCGCAGACAAAAAGCCGTCGTCAAGGTCGGTGGCTACTTTTGATACTAGACGGCCATAGTAGCCATTTGACACCCCGATTCCATAAATTATGCGCGGAAAATGATATCATTGCAATCTGTATGCCTGCACATTCGTCTCATATACTACAGCCGCTTGATATTGGCTGTTTTGCGCCGCTGAAGCGATCGTACGGTCGGATCGTTGATCGATGGATGCGCGCGGGTGTTGATTTTGTCGACAAGCTTGAATTCCTATCAAACTATCCCGAAGCCCGATCGGATGCATTCACCTTTGAAACCATCCAGAATAGCTTTAGGGCAGCTGGTTTACTACCATATAACCCTACCGAGGTGCTTGACAAAGTCAATATTCGCATCCGCACCCCTACCCCCCCTAGTAGTAGGGGGAGCAGCGTTCTACATAGACTGCGGCATATCCTCTCCATTGGATATTGGGTCACATACCATATCCACAAATTGAGGATAATGGATATTGCTTCAATACCATATCCTCAATGGGGATATCCATGGATATCCACTTGGATATGAGGATATTTTGCGGATATCCGCACTAGCATAAATCATCTACTTGGAGGTAGTCATGTGCCTCTTATACAGCTTACCAATTTATTTTTCAGAACAAAAGATATACATGTTCGGTCATGACCATAATTCCGACCTTGTTTATCCTATTCGGCAATGAAATAATAAGAAATAGTCTTGTATTGAGCAACATATATCGCCTTTATCATTACTTACAGTATTAATCTCACTTTTAAATGTATTAGAGGATATAGGTGAGTTTTTGTTATTCTATAGTACTTTACCGTAGAAATATATATTTACTCTATATAGTAGTAGAGAATACTTTAGCTGAACTCAGTAGATACGATTGAAATCGCTGTTTATCTGTTGAATCTAATAAGCTCGATATGAAAAAAATGGTTTGATCTACCTTTAAAAGTGTATTAACTTCTTAAAGTGTAATTTGTATAACATTATGAAGAAATCTTGGTCGGAAGCTCTGATATTATAGACTTCTGATTTATTTTCCCTGAAATCAATGCCTGAGGATAATTGAGGATATATAGCGGATATCCGCACAGATATCCACGGATATCCACGGATATCCTCAATTGTCCTCAAATATCCGCACTAGTGATTAGTAACAGCCAATCATCGCCATTGAAAGTTCAAGATATGTGGAAAACGCGCCCGTGAGTCGTGACTTTGTTTGCTATACCCCTGATACTCCCAGCTAGTCTTACATGTACGTTTCTCTCTCTCTTTTTCTCTTAATGCCTATTCCTAGGTAACCCGTGATCAAGTACAATATGTCTTACTCACAGGCATCTCAGTCCCAGTACTCCTTCTACGCCGATTCAGATCTAGGTCTGAATCCCGACATACTTCATTCCGATGACATATCCGCTCTTATTAGCAGCCAGACTGTATTGACATCTGTGTCGCAAGTTTCATCTCTAACTGCACCTCTCTCGCTTCCTCGTGTTGGCCCCCCTCTTCAGCAGTACTGGGTCCTCTATTCCTCTAAGCCTAGTCGGGAGATGGATGAATCCCGGAAGAGCTTTGTAACTTGGTGGCTAAACACAGAGTTTGGATCAAAGCCAGATATACAAGACTCTATCCGTTGGGATGGAAAAAAGACGTCTAATATATGGGATAACTTCAATCAAGTTGCACATGAAAAGACTGGCAAGCCAAAAGTTATGTGTACAACATGTCTCTGTACCCTTGTTCATCCAAGATTCCGCCGTGCTGGTTCATCGCCAATGAATGCACATATCAAGGCAGGCTCCTGTACTCGGAAGCCTGTCCAGAAGATTGATCAGATGCTCAAACAAATGGTATGTTTTTCATCTATAACCTGGACTCTCAATATCTCTCTTACTTATCTTTATATACTATCCTAAAGCCGACTTTCCCACAAAACCCATCCTTCTCCCAGGAGCGTCTAGCAAAAGCGATACTAGACTTTATCTCTACCGCTCACCTACCTTTCCGAATCATTGAGCATACCCAATTCAAGGATCTAGTAGAGGTTATCCAACAAGCCCCGAGCAAGGTCAATATCCCATCTGCGCGAAGTATGCGGCGTTATCTCGACTCCACAGTCAAAAGCAGCCAAAAAGAGATTCTTAGAAGGCTTCCAGATAGGAGTCGCCTTTCAATAGCCCTTGATTGCTGGACGTCGCCATTCCAGCAAGCATTTATGGCTGTCACAGGTTATTTCCTTGATCAAGATTGGAATTACTGTGAAGTTCTTCTTGGATTTGAGCATCTTCACGGATCACATACGGGTGAGAATCTAAGTAAGACCGTGATTCAGCTTCTGACTGATCATGAAATCACCGACCGCGTATTATCCGTGACCACAGATAATGCAACTAATAATAACACCCTGATGATGAATATCCAAGAGACAATTCAGTCACAAAGCCGATCGGATACGTTGATCTTCCGAGTTCCATGTATTGCGCATGTGATCCAGTTAAGCTTGAATGAGCTTCTTGGGAAGCTGAAAGTGACGCCACCGAATAAAGAGATTGAGCTGGAGTGGTCTGATGAACGAACCCATTCATTTCAGACTAAACAATCTAGCTCAACTAGACAAATTGCGGATACTCTAAAAAAGGTGAATTACTTCTCATCCTTAGTCTTTTAATTCATACTAATAAAAAGTCTAAGATCCGAGGTCTTGCTGTGTTTATTAATGCAAGCCCACAACGCCGGGAGGCATTTATGGCCCTGCAAACTAAGGAGCCTCGTTTGATCCCTATCCAAGATGTCCAAACCCGATGGAACTCAACCTTTATGATGCTTAACCGTGCTAAAAGGCTACAACCATTTTATGATCAGTATTGTACACATCATCAATATCTCCACTTCAAACTTGATCAAGAAGAGTGGCGACAGATTGAATATCTTCTTCTTCTTACCAAGCCTTTCTTTGACTTCACTACTATGCTATCAAAGACTAGGGATGTTACTACACATAACATCTATAGTATTTATAACAAGCTTTTCTCTCACCTTGATGAAGCTGAGAGAAAATTGAAGAATAAAGGGGTTATCTGGAAGAAGAGTATGCTCCAGGCTCTTCAGACTGCAAAGAAGAAGCTATCAAAGTATTACACTGCTACTGATCATGAATCGTACGGTGAAATATATGCACTTGCAACGATCCTTTGCCCATCAAAAAAGCTTCGATATTTTGCATCAACAGACTGGCAAGGTGAAATTGACTACGTCAAACACTACCATGGAGTCCTTAAGCGAGAGTTTCATCGATATAAAGATATGCTTCATCATGATTCAGATACTATGGTCGTGCAAGATGCCACTGGAGAGGCCCGAGATGACGACTATTATGATCTTGATACCGCTTGCGCTTCTCAGAACCAGCCACAGGATAAGCTCTCAAAGCCTGAAGATGATGAGATTGCGAGGTATCTTGCCCGCGGGATTGAGAGACAAAAGCCCCGAGCATTCTGGAAAGAGCATGAGAACGAGTTTCCTATTCTTGCAAGAATGGCACGGGATATTCTTTCTATCCCAGCTAGTGGTGCAGGCGTTGAGCGATTATTCAATTGCGCTCGCGATATCTGCCACTATCGTCGTGGCCAATTGAAACCAAGTACGATCCGAGGATTGATGCTTCATCAGCTCGCCACTAAATTTGAAGTTGAGCAGAAGGAGTTTGAGGTTATAAAGGAGCATCTTTCCGCCGGAGAAGCTGTATTGTTAGATCAAGCTCGGAAACCAATACCCCAGCTTGAAACTGTCGAGCCTATTAGTGATAATGAAGAGGAGGAACAAGAGCTAGGCATTGAGGATACACAACGGATAGAAAGCTACGATGAGAACTCAGAAGACGGGAAGACTGATAATCGAAGTAAGCAACTACAGCTTAAACGATCAAGGAAACGATTATCCGAGGCTTCCGATGACGATGACGATGGCCTTCCAGAAATGCTAATAGATGAGGGCATACAAGGACGGTCGGGGCGGATTCGGAAGCAACCAAGATTACCTGATGGATTTCAGTTTGATCTCAGATAGTCTGCGTAACATGAATATGCTACAATTTTGTTTACCAAATTAAAATCTTCAATAATGATTACACTATGAGTACTTGAAAAATACAATAGAATCCGCATAAATAATGCACGCTCAAAAAGGCCATGAGTCTTGGCATGTTTGGCCTGTTTTATATCCATTGGATATCCTCAAATATCCGGAGGATATTGGGTTGCATACCATATCCACAAAATTGAGGATTGCGGATATTAGGTGACATACTATATCCGCAATCTGCGGAGAGGATATGTGGATATCCGTGGATATTGAGGATGTTGCCGTAGCCTATGTATTGCTATTGGCTGAATTAACTGTATTGCTGTTGGCTGAATTGACTGTATTGCTGTTGGCTGAATTGACTGTATTGCCGTTGGCTGAATTGGCTGAATTGACTGCGTTGCCACTGGCTGAATTGACTGCACTGGCTGACGGCGTATCACTGGCTGACGGCGTATCACTGGCTGACGGCGTATCACTGGCTGACGGCGTATCACTGGCTCAATACTCCGGCGATATATCGGACTAACGGATCCGACTTGGGACCGAAATCCAATGGATTCGCTGTCACTTCGCTGGCCACTCGCTTCCGAATCGGCTGGAAACTGGCTCAGTTCTTCGACACCCTGACCTCTCTCCACGGAGCTATACTGGACGTCTTCCATGGGCTCCGTACATAATGCTTGCACGGGGGTCTCCGCTGACTGATTCAAAACATGGGACAAAACCATGGGATCCGATGCTGGAAATGGCCCATTCCTGTCACTCTCACGTTCACTGGCCGTTTCACTGGCTATTTCACTGGCCATTTCACTAGCTGTCTCACTAGCCGTTTCGCTCATCACTTCTTCATTGACTTGCCAGTTCTGATCACACTGATCACACCGCTGCTCCGTAGTATCACAATACTGCCGTACGTGGCCATCCAAATACTCATCCAATATCACCCGTCGGCAACATCCTTGATATATATATCGGTTCAGTCGGTCTTGCTCGACATCCGCCTTCACTGGGTCTTCGTGGATGGGATCCCACGTTGGCCGTTCAAACCCGTCGGGTTGGATGATAATGGCCTCACTGCGTAGCCCGTCTCGGCCAGCTCGTCCGCTTTCTTGCGCGTAATCCAATAAACTCCGGGGAAGTCCAATATGAATGATACTCCGAATATTGGGGATATCCACGCCCATTCCTAGCGCACTAGTCGCCACTACTACCCCCGTAGCGTTGGCCTGAAAGCGGGCAAGTACGCCCTTGCGGTCTAACGTGCGGCTGTGATATGCTTCACTGTCAATCAGCTGGGCCAGTTGCTCCACCGTCTTGGTGGTCGGCCCGTAGATCACGACTCGGCCTGTCTGCACACGCGCGCGCGTGATACGGTCTCTGATAAAGCTGATCACGTCGGGGCTCTCGATCCAATCGTAGCTGTTACGATATCGATTCGACAGCGTGGGCTGCCAGATCCGATATGCCACGTTTGTCCGATTCGTCCGTGCTCGAAACATATGGGCCTTCTCTCGCGTCGTCCGTAATCGCTGTAAAAGCTGATCCTCCGCGGTGGGTGGCAGCGTAGCGGTCAAGTATATCATCTGAGCCTGAGCCACGATCAAACGGCCTAGCTGGGCCATGGCGGGCCGGAAATTGGCCTGATCATTGAGCACCACGTGGCATTCGTCTATCACGATCCGATCAAGCCGATGGCCGAGACGCTGTCGGTTCAAAAACGTCATAAAATCCTCTGTAATAGCCGATTCGGGTGTCACGAGTACGATGGATGCCTGATCGGCCGGCCGACGGCTCTCCCACTCTACGCACGAGATGCCGAGTCGCTGGCACCGCTGGACCATGTCTCCGCGTAATGCGATTAGCGGCACGACCACCACCGTGACCCCACGGGGGCTGATCCACGCGGGTAGCATGAATAGCAAGCTTTTGCCACCCCCTGTCGGCATCACCGCCACTACCGGACTCTGGCCCTGCTGAATAGCTTCCAACGCCGGTGCTTGCACCCCCGAAGCCGCACCGCGCGATTCCCCATCATTCGTTGCATTTCGGACTCCATAGCCGCCTGGGTCAGTTGCCATCGACGTTCTATACGGCCAATTTCGGCTTCTTTCTGCCATAGCGAAAACTGGCCTAGTCCTAATGCGCTCTCGGCACCCCCGTCATCCGTGGACACAAACCCTAAAAACCGATGCCAATCGGTGCTGCTGAGCCGAAACATCTCTCGCCGGTGGGCCGTCGTACCGGGCTGTTCGGTGATCCCACGGCCGTAAATCATGCCGGCCACGTGGGATGAATGGGCCGCTTGCAAATCGGCAATATGGCCCATCCATTGCTCCGCATTCATGCTCTCTTCGTCATCCTCTTGGGATGCCTCAGCTCGTACATCCTGACGCGTGTTATTCGGGAATACGCTAGATGGCCGCATAAACCGACGGCTAATGCCAATAGCAATATCACGATACGCGTTCAAATTGATGGCGTGCCCGTTAAGTCCAATGGTGGTTTCACGCTTCAGCACTTCACGGAGTCGTTCGGATGACCAATCCCGGCCAGTACTGGGGTCGGGGGACCATAAAAACGCCTGTCTCTGATGACTGATTGGAATTAGCATCGAAACGTGATATAACGGATCAGTGGCCAATGGACCTAATATAACGTGATATATACTAGATCGCTGACCAGTAGACCAAGTAAAACGGTGATATATAACGCTTTAGTGGCCAGTTGCCCAATAAATCCTATATATAATGGGCCAGATGACTTACACTTCAATTTCGGAATGGCCCATCCTCCGCACCTTCTCCACGTACGCCTCCAGTCTCTCGACAAACGGCAGTACTAGCCACAAATACCAGACCACTAATTCACCGACTTCTCGGGGTAAATACCGATGAATCACCTTGGTGTCATTCGATGCGTAAAACCCTTTGTGATACTGCGTCACAAATGCCACTAGCCCATCCTCGATGAAAATATTGCGATGGCCGCCGCTATTCGTATTATAATATCGAATACTTAATAGCTCTGGGGCACGTGCTGGCTGGCCCCCACTGACATGAACGGCAATAGCAAGCTTCTCCCGAAAATGGGCCACCCGTTGAAGATACACGTCAATCGCCGTCATTCGTAGCCGGCCTGTATTGCTTTCAATAAAACGATGCCGTAGCGGTCCGTTTCGCACCTGATTCATTATCCATTCACTGCCAGCCACGGGCCACGGCGTACGGGTGTCATTCAAAAAACTCCATCCCTGGGCCGTCTCTGTGGGATCATCGCAGATATCCCGCCACGGAATCGCGGGAACTGACCCAGTCTCCGTGCTCAATAATAGCTCGTCACGGAGTATTTGCCGTGTCGAACTAATCAGCCCGTGGACGAAACCCCGGAAGTCCCCCATGGAAAAGTTGTATTGCTGATACAATAGCTGGTCTTGATTTATCCAGCCAACGTGGCCTGTTGTCGTGCTATTATAATGGATCTTCAAGCCGTAAGTACGGAGATCCAACAGCCATTGCATCGGGCTATTCGTTCCACGGACCATAAATTGACTGACCATCTCAGCCACCCACTCACGAAATGACCGCTGGCCCTGCTGAGCCTGGCTGAATTGGACAAAATGGGATGACTGGGTCGATACTGGAACTGGGCCAGTCTCGAAATTGTAAAAGTCATCGTCGGATATCGGCGTCGGCGGCGTCAAAAACGCAAATTCAGGTGAATCCAGTGGACTTTCGGTATCCCATTCACCTGCCATTTGATGCTCTGTAAGCTAAGACAGCATTATCTCCGCTGTCGGATCTAGCTTTAACGCCTTGTGGACCACTATGAACCGTGCGATCTTAATAAGCTTCGATAAAATGGGTGGATAGCTCTGCGCGGTACGCTAGCTAGCCTCGCCCTGACCAAGCACTGCCGTGGCACAAATCAGCGCACTTTCGTAGTCTTCCACCTTGGTCCGATGGTTCAGAAGCTCAATACAAAATTCTAGACACGCAGTGTCAATAGGCGCCAGTTGAAATAGCGAATTGCTATTGATGCGTCGATTCGCTATTGATTCGCTAGCGATTCGCTGACTATTATCATCTAAACCGGCCCTGTCGGAACTAGCACTGACTGGACTAGCTGGACTAGCTAGACTGGCTGGACTGGCTGGCGCGCTAAATCCTGGCTGGGCTAGTTTCCAAAGCGAATTCCACGCTAAACGCTGCCGTTTCGAAAACCGGTAATATGGACTGGCCTATTCGTGCGACGCCTGCGTACGTACGAAAAACATCAAGATTTGCTGCCACGGAATCGTATGTCTCTCGATGTTCTCGGCATCTATGTACGCTTGCAATGGCTGATGCGGCAATCGGTCCCGCTCCGTACGGACGGCCTCGGTGCGAATGGAATGGCTAGTTTTTGTACAAATCAACTAGCTGATTCGGGCTACTGTAGCCATCGAATCCCAAATAGCGGAAGCAGCTAATTCGGTCGGATCGGCCGATTCGGTATCGGGTGCTATGACGCTGTCTCGCAAGTCTTGGGGGTTGATTCCACGTAGATACACGGCCCACTGGGTCCGTCGAAGCCATGGATTCGCGTCGTCACGCTGACTAGCCTCGATCAACTGGGGCTGTTCTTGTTTTTCGATGAATGCTTGTTCGATCTGATCCAAAACCTGATCACTGAGTACGGTCGGTGCCGATTCGGCCTCGGGGACTAGACCTCTGCATAGCCCACAAATGGGCCCATACCCCCGGCCCAAAGCCCAGCCCACAGTGGGCTATGGGCCTAATATTCAAAGCCCAACCCAACCCACAGCCCATTAATGGGGGCCCATAAGGCCCCCATCAAAGCCCATTTCTACGCACAAATACAGTCTTGGCATGCATAAAGTAGCTGATTAATAGCTGTATTTTACGCAAGTTCCAGCCTGTATATTCAGTATCATTATATTATCACCATCAGAAGTACAACATTGTAGGAATTGAGTAGATATTATACTGAATTCAACATCATGATGCCAGATTTCATACAAAGTCACCCAAAAAGGATCCAATTTGACTATGAATTCATACTATTATAGCGTACTGAGTATCAGCATGAAGAGATATATATATTATCTAGATCAAACTAGGTGCATCTTTCTGTTGAAGTATAAAACCAAGTATCAAATTCATATTTTGTAGGTTTACATGATTGAATTTTATACTGACAGATAGCCCATCTCTCCTTCTTTATTTCTGCTTTTATAGATATGTGATTTTATAGCTCATCTCGAGGCAATAGAGGTTTAAAAATATATCTTGAGCCATCGGGTGAAATTTTTTGGATTATAATATTGCGAAATGGACCGGGAAATGGGCTGGGAATGGGCTATCTATGGGCTTTGGATGGGCTGAGCCCACTTAATATGCACGATGTAGTCAATCATATACGAGTATCATAATCATACGTTTCAATTCTGACTAGCACTATGATGAATCCTCTGTTTGTTGCATCAATTTGCTGTTTAATGCTACTATCAAGATTCAAGAAATGGCCTTTTGTAATGTATGACCTTGAAGCTATCCCCCTGAAAGCCTATATCCTTCCTACTATACATTTCTTACTATACATCTTCATCATTGAATCAATCTTCATTATTGAATCGTCAACTGATCATGTCGCAAAGCCAGCAAACCGAGTTTGGATCATCTCAGTTCGACCCATTTGAGCCTGACCTCGATACTATATCATTTACTACCTCTCATCAGGCATCCAGCAGCTACCACCGTAGTGGTTCATCGTTTCTTCAGCCGTCTGTTCCTTCGTCAATTGCCTTAGAAGCAGAACACTTTCAGTGCTTTCAACGAGTCGGTCCTGGTAGAATAGGCACTTATTTTCTTTTCGACGCCATGAATCACAGCAATTGGGTTGATTGGTGGTTACAGACCGACTATGGATCTACCAACACGATGATTCCATGGGACTCCCAGCATGGTGCTGCTTCGGAGACCTGGAAACAGTATGAACAAGTGGCGCATGTAGTTTCTGGGAGCCCGAAGGTGATGTGCAAGCGTTGCGGTCTTATCCTTGAGCATCCTTATGGCACTAAGAAACAAACTAGCAACGGTAAGAGTACTGAAAAGGTCAACCGTCATGGTACAACGACTATCACTCGTCATCTGGAAACTGCAGCTTGTAAAAAAGCTACAGGGGTACGGAAGCAAAAGGGGGTAATGAGAGGGTTTATTCAATCGGTATATACAGTCCTATCGTTTTTTCATACTACTTACTTATATCAATATCAATATAGGGTCATACCGAAGCGGAAGCATCTTTCTCGCAAGAAGACTGGAACGATCAACTCCTACAATTCATTACCATCAATCGACTCCCATTCCGACTTGTCGAAAACCCATCCTTTCGTCTCTTGATTTCGCAATCACAGTTAGCCCCAAGCCCTTTGGATATACCATGCGCTACTACAATTCAACGTAGGCTATCTCTTCGTGTCAAAGAGCGGCAAAAGAATATACTTAGGTTGCTACCGGAGCATGCAAGGATCTCAATTGCATTGGATTGTTGGACATCTCCATTTGGGCAAGCATTTATAGCCATTACTGGCTATTTTATCGATGCTGACTGGGTCTACCGCGAGGTGCTACTCGGTTTCAAACCCCTTCATGGAACACATTCCGGTGTGAACCTAAGTACAACTGTCATGCAGACGGTTACTCAGCATGAAATTGAGGACCGGATATTTGGATTGACCACTGATAATGCGTCGAATAATAAGACTCTGGTTGATACACTACAGCAATCTTTGCTACAACAATCTTTATCTAATGCACGGGATATCAACATCATCCGCATCCCCTGTCTTGCGCATGTGATCCAATTGAGTTTGAACCAGCTACTTGACCGTCTCAACGCAGTCCCTCAGAATGAGACTACAGAGACCAAATGGACTGAGCAACAAGTTACTCTCGCAAGGGCGAATACAAAAAAACGGGATATCTCGCATACTTTGAAAAGAATACGAGCACTTGCTGTATACATCCGCGCTAGTCCTCAGCGCCGAGATTCATTTATCGCACTTCAACCTTCAGGGCAAGGGATTATGCTTCTCCAAGATGTGAAGACTCGGTGGAATTCAACATATCTTATGCTCCGGCGAGCCAAGAGACTCCGTATCTTTATCATACAATTCTGTGATCAGTTCAATGAGCAAGACTTCGCACTAGATGATGATCAATGGCGTCAGATTGACTATCTTCTTTGTCTTACAAAGCCATTCTTTGATTACACACTTGCTCTCTCAAAGACACGAGATGTAACATCACATCTTGTCTTTGAGATCTATAATTTGCTTTTTGAGCATATTGAACGATCAAAAAGACAATTGAAACGAAAGCGGGTTGTATGGAAGCAGCAGATGCTTGCTTCACTCGATGCTAGCTGGTCAAAATTACGCGACTACTACAAGGAGACTGATAAAATGCGAGGGCATATCTATGCAGTTTGTACAATGCTGTCGCCGGATAATAGATTCCAATTCTTTCTTTCTGATGACTGGTCCGACGCTAAAGAGCTACGGGATCAGTATCGAGTAGCATTCCAGGATGCACTTACTCCGATCCAGGAACGTCTTGCTAGTGCTAAGGGCCCGCAAGAGTCTTCTACATCGACACCAAGATCAGTTCTTCACAATCTTGTTCGAAGCCAGAAATCTATCCCCAAGTCAAATCCGGTTGTTGATGAAATAACGCAGTATCTTGATGGCAGTAGGTTGATTCCTTCCGATCACTTATCTAATAGATACTAATGTTGATATAGATGTAACTGATTCGGAGCCGCTCTCATTCTGGAAAGAGAATGAATCTCGTTTCCCAGCTATCGCTTCACTTGCGCGGGATTATCTTGCAATCCCAGCAACAGGCGCTGGTGTGGAACGTCTGTTTAATACTGCACGCGATATCTGCCATTATCGCCGCGGCTCTTTGAAATCGGGCACCATCGAAGAGCTAATGCTATACCTCTGTACATCCAAGTTTGACCTTGATGTACAGGAAGCGGAGGAATTGAAGCAGTTCTTTACCTCTAATGAGATCGACGCATTGATGGAAGAGAAGGATGAGACGCCGGATGATGTTGAGATTGATGAGATTAGTGATACTGAAGAACAGGGTGATCTATCTGGGGATTTGATAGATATTGATAACTACAGTCTTGACGGAGATGATGATGATGCTGCTGCACCACAATTACCGAGTACTCATACTCAGCAGCGTACATCAGGGAGGAAGAGGATGCGAGTTGAGGATGATATGTATGAGCATTATTAATATAATTCAACCACCTAGCATCTATCACTTAATATCTTCTCAATCAATCATATAAGCTTATAAGAAGAAGAAGATGGTTCAAGTACGGCTTAGACAGTAATTAGAATACCCAAAAAAACCAGGGAAAAATGCATTACTTATACAGCTGCGATAAATTGGTATGTTTGTATTGTTTGGTGAATAATGGGGGCCCATTATGGGCCGAAATGGGCCCTGTGGGCTTTCACTCTGGGCCCATAACCCACCGATGGGCTCGAAGGATGGGCCCAAAGCCCAACCCATTCGTGGGTTGGGTTGGGTTGGGCTATGGGCTTTGTGGGCTATGCAGAGGTCTAATCAGAGACCTGCCCAACGAGCTTTTGCTGTGGATTGTGTCGTATTTGGACGGTAGTGCATTATTTGCCCTCGCAAAATCATGCAAAGACCTCGATTTTAGACTGCAGCCCAGCATCTGGAAATACAATATCAAATTTCAGAACAGCAATCTGTTGCACCTGGCCGTCAAATACGACAACGTTGGTCTTGCGGAGGTTTTGCTCCGGCACAACGCCAACATCAATGCATTTTACCGAGGCAAAACTCCTTTAATGAGGGCGCTGAAATTCTCTTCCGCTGCTGTGCGCGACCTCTTGCTCAATTGTCGAGATCTAGACATCAACATTCAAAATCAAGCGCGGGAGAGCGCCCTGTGGTATGCCATCCACTACGGAACTTTTTCCACCGTCAAGCGCGTTCTAGAACAACCCAACGTCCAGGTGGACATCAAGCACAAATACGGCCGAACGGCGCTCCACCTAGCAGTCTTCGCAGGCCGAATAGGGCTCGTGCATCTGCTACTTTCTAGAGGCAGCGACCCTGATCTACAGGATGATTCGGGCCACTCGCCATGGGACTGGGCATGTCGCTTCAATAGACCCGTGATGGAAATGATTTTTTCAAACGATCCGATGGCCGAGGTGTTTCTTGGTACCCAATCATCACAGGAGGCTGAGCTACCTCTTCACCATGCAGTATCCTATGGGTCGGTAGATGTTGTCAAACGGCTTCTCGGACAAAAGGGCCTGAGTTTGGACATCCAGAACCGGAATGGTTATACGCCGCTCCACCTCGCCATTCGAAACAAGCGCCTGGAAATGGTCAATTTGCTCCTAAGTCACCCCCGTGCCAACGTGAACTGCAAAGACAAAAATGGCAATACGCCACTTTGGCTGTCGACTTACTCGTCATGCGACGAGATAACCGAAAGGCTGTTGGCCGAGAAAGACATCAACGTCAATTTTGTTGGAGGCCGCGGGAGATTCGAGACGCTGTCTACATCTCTCCACCACGCCGCGGCCAGGTTGGATACCGTGCTCCTACGACGGCTGCTTGCGGTGCCAGGGATCAGTCTGAATCTCTGTGTTGGAGGCCACTCTCCATTCTCCGTGGCCGCATATCACGGACGCATGAGCACGGTTGCTTGTCTGTTAAGTGTGCAGGGCGTGGAGATCAATGGAATGGATGTAATAGATCCGCCCATTTGTCGAGCGGTTGCACATGGCCATCTCGATGTGGTAAGACTCTTGGTGCAGCAAGACGCACGTCTTAACATCAATGAAAGCACGATCGCAACTCACGACACTGCTCTCTGCATTGCCGCCGCTTGTGGTGAATTGGAGATGGTTCAGGCACTACTAAGCCATAATCGGATTGATGTGAACCTCAGGAATCAATGTTCTGAGGATCCATTGATGTTGGCGGTCAGGGGCGGGCATTCCTCGATTGTTAATGCACTTGTGGTCAATCCGAGACTGACATACTTCAGTTTGGCAAAATCCCTGCATCTAACAAGGAACGATTGCATCCAGAGGGCCATTGGAAGCAGAATGGAAGATGCCAACACTCCGCAAAGATTGCTGAAGCGGTCTCCGGGGAGAAGGTTTGGTGGTCTGGAAGAGCTGGCGACATCTACTTCGGGTAGCTGTCGTGATGCAATGCGGGACGGCCGAGTTAATCGACACTTTCTCCGCTAGCTACACTGCCCACATTGTCACTGGATCCGTAGTTTTTTGTTTATAATATATTGGGGTAATAAAAGCGATACTAGAACATGCGGGATTATTCGCAGAACATTCCACGAAGGCTATGCTATTCCAGATGTAAGCTACTTTCCATGCGGTAATTATCTCTCAATTACAATGTTGTCATATTATTGCCAATTTGGAAAAGTAAGACCTAGGGCGATCATGAATATGCAACCCTTCACCCTTCTCTTGCGTAATCCAAGAACCCTGGTACATGTAGATTGAGTCTGGACGGGTGGTTCCAATCATCAAGTACGCAAGTCAGTCGACCCCGAGATGATTCCAGTGCCTGCTCAAAAAAGCGCAGCCGAGACAGCTGCTTGTCGTGGCGCAGCTGAAGTCCATCCCTCTCTTTAGTCAGGTGTCTGCTAGCCTCCTTCAAGATCCGATTGCTCTGCTCTAGGTTCTGGCCATCGATGTGTTTGGACACGCACGAATCCCATAGGCGTCGATAGAGCCCGACAAGTCGAGCCGCGGGAAAGGAGATTTGGGATCGTCGCGTTCGAGGTCTTCTAGCACTTTTAAAATAGGTCGAAAAGGCTCGATCGCCCACGTATGTCTTATTTCTGCTTCCTGTTGCGAGGGGAGAGCTGTAATGGTCAGCAAGAGCATTCGAAGCTGAGCCGCCATACTTACCAGTGGAGAGACATGATCAGAAGCCTCCCGCGAATTCTCTTTTTCAGAAATGATTGGCAATGCACTGGGCTGTTGTTCTCCTTCTTTTCCCTGGTCTGGCGTGCTGTTAGGGGTATCCATCTTGATCGCACGGGAACGAGTATCTGGGCAATAGCATGTCCACTAATTCTTGGAGGCTTTTATAGACTAGAAGACATCGGTGGCTAGGTACTCGGTCTCATTTTCACCATGAAAGTCAATCAGCGTAGTCAGCTTTTCAATCTCAGCACTCTGTTAGCAGTCCGTTTAATGATGGTGCTGGTAATCAGACTCGTGGTGTTGATGGTTGGTGAAAATGCCTCATATTAGCGGCTTACTGGTGATGAACGGTCCAAAAGATATATATTCAATCACAACGCATTTTCCACAATCGTTGAGCTCAGAAACCCCAAACGTAAATAGAGTAAATCTAGAGGACAGAAAAAGAAAATCGAAAAAAGGATATCTATCTCAACCATGATCACAGGTTCAAAAGTTGACTCCCGTCAGCAAGGACGGCCAAGCTTCAACGGGTTGACGGGTTGAAGTACCCGTGCCCACGCGACCGCGGCCTGACGCTTTCCGCAGCCTAGAGGGACAGAACCATACACAGCGCAGACAATCAACACTCGAGCGAGGCCAGAAAAATTCCATGTTTTAGACGAGAATGATTGCCTCAGTATTAGGACCGTAGATTCAACAGTGAGCCAACGTTTCTTAACCGACTCACTTTGACTCCTTCTCAACATGACTCTAGCATTTCTTTTCTCCATGGGCATCTGACATGACACCAAAAATTTCGCTGCAAATAGTTGCGGTAGAACAAAGGCTTGAATTGCAACAGACCTCACTTAGGATAGTGTCGTGTTCTTGAACGTTTGGTCCATAATAGAGCACGTATGCGACGGGAGCCGAGAAACCTATAAATTCACCCTCTCCCCCCAGCAATTTTTTCTACAACACTGTCACTTGCTGCGCAAAGTCGAGCAGGCCTTCGGTTCGAGGCACCTGATAAGTTCTTCCCTTTGACCTACTGGATTTCCACTGTACTGACGTCTATAGATACAATGTGGACGGACAAGCTGCAAAGTTCTTGTGAGAGACGAGAAATTATCACCCCCAAGTCTACAATGCATCCATGCCAGGCGACCAATCTACAAGATCGTCAAAGTATCTATGCGAACATTTTGTCCACCAAATTAGTGGATTCACCGTGCCCCCTCTGAATGAATTGATGCAAAAAACCGAATTCATACAGTCGTAGATCTCAGCGCGACTCGTCCGAAACTGGACTGACTTCACAGACGATGCGAAAGAACTGGAACCGTGCATTCTGGCCAATATACACCAGCGTAGAAACCGTGTAACACTTTCCCGTGTCTTTTTTGACCTTCAGTACCTGTGAGTCATCTGCCCGATGCACAAGCTAATAATGGACAAGAAATCGTTGACAGCGCACCAGAGTGAGTCGAAACCAGCACTCTGTCAGTGCTCCGAGCAGGGTCATGGCTTACACGCCATTTCTGGCCCTGTCACTTCAAACCATGCAACATGTCCTATGTCAAATACCGCAGACTAAGGCCGCGGGCCAATAGCAGGATGCATAAGCTCCAGATGTTCGTTGCCCACGATGTGGTGAGTGGAATATCGCGCCTCCTGCTGCGCCGGTTTCGATTTTTGCCAAGTCTGTGCCCGAAAATACAAACACCACTGACATCTCCATGCCCTCGTAGGAGCAGCTCATCGCCAACCGCTCAAGGTCTCGTGGCGAGTTACCTATTCCCGCCGACTCAGATGAGACCAAGGGGGCGGGCGACCATCGCGTCTTTCCCCTTCTCACCGCCTTCACACACGACTTGAGTGCCTCAGCCTCTCGTCGCGTATGGGAAGCGGTCTCCATTTACGACTGTATAAGTTCTGGTCGCACGTGAATTCGGCGCTCGCCTTTGCTCTCTTGTGAACTTGCCCGGTGCATTCAGCGCGGTTTCTTGAAGCGACAGCCGGAGAGTGCGACGAACCTGGATACAACATGGCATATTGGTAACTGCATTGCAGGACAGAATTGGCAGTGATCTAGTTGGTAAGCTGGTATGATGACGATCCTAATTGACCATCTGTCTCAACCCTACACTCGGGGAATTCTTCATGAAAGACGTAAAGCACGACACCTCGTCCAACTGGATCAACACTTGCTGACTCGGGTCTCACCACAAGAAGACACCCTCAGATTCCCATCACTCGAATGCAAGCGAGCAAATCTCTTATCTACTCGAACTCCCCTGCACCAACACCATCGCATGCTCTGTTTCTTCCTTATGACTACCGGTGGCATCGACGAGTCTCTCCCTCGACCTTCTAGTCGATTTGGTTCATCAGGTCATGCGTTGTTATGTCTACCTAATTCAAGACCCAATGGAGCGCGTAGTAGCGTCTGTTTCTCGTCATTTGAACACCCTCATAGGATAGCCTACTTGCCGGCTTGGATCCCCGGAGTCCAGTGGGTGACCATCGTTGTCCTCTGATGGCGTCTAGCGTCTTTCGAGCCTGAAAATCTGAAGACACCGGGAGGAGCCGATGTGTAGTCTTGCTAGAGCCGTATTTTCGTACACGGCGAGGTTGTTCTTCGAGTCTGCTTGCAAAGAGAATGTAAGGCGAGTCCCGTCATCTCTAGCCGAATCAACTAACAATAGCCATGCCAGCTTCGAATCGATGGACGAAACCGAGGACGGCCAAACGAAAGAGAGGACCCATGGCCCAAGAACCCCGTCTGATAGAGTCCCTTGATCCCTCTTCCTCTCCGCGTTGCTCAGCTTATCGACATATTCGAGCGAGCGGGAACCACTCGGACATACACGGAGCTGCATGCTATCAGGATTGTTTGCTTTTCCCTGTTAGACAGAAGCTTGGTGATTTCATTCCTAAGCCTGTGTTTTTCTATCCAAGCCCGAGCACTACGTGCAAAGCCCATACACCTTGAATGTCAGAGCAGCTGGAGGTCAGTCAAGCCATCCAGTATCCTTTGTCCATTGAGAACCTGTCTAACATAACGCAATTGGAGGGGAAGCAGGTCTTGCCAGCAAATCGACTTCTCTACCTCCCGAGCTCACTGTGCTCTGACCATCTATGATGTATTTCTCCGCGCCCAAGGCGATATCTGGCATATGACTGTTGAGCAATTCACCGTGAAGGTGGGTTTGATGTCTGTAACAGCATCACAAGAGCCCTCGGGTTGTAGGACCTCTGAATGTCCCGTACAGCCTATACGAATTATCTGCCCCAATAAGCGCTCATGTTACATTTGCTTGGGGAGGATTTGAGTGGATGCCTGCTAGGGTCACACGTGGGTGAGAACACCCCCGTACAAATTACCAGGTCCCGAGCGGTGATCGTGGAGAGTGTCTTTACCAGTTCTGATTTCAGATGGCTCGTTGGGCCCCGATCAGAAATCAATCATGCTATATCAGCAGCGGAGCATGATTTATCGCATGTAGTGGGGAATAAGCCTCACTGAAGGTAACGACCGTTTCTTCGTCGCTGTAGTGGACTTCTACGAGAGATTGGTTGGATTTACTGGCGGGATATTATTCACAAAGTTGCGACGGCTCCTACATGTAGAAGGAGCGGATCAGATATTCCCGAGCCAAAGCTACCAATGACATGTTAACCTCGAGAGAACGAAACTCTCACTCTCGTAGTCGCTCTATGATGTAGGCATTCTAGTGTAGAATAGGTTCGAGTGACTAGCAATAGTCATTTCAAGCAATTTTTTTCGCGACGCAAGAAACTGAGCCTATCGCATAATCATCTTGGATTGAATCCGTGATTCGGATTTACGAAATACATCACATGGCTCTACACTTCCTAGTTCTGATCTTGAGTGTACAGTATATTGTGTGATCAGAGTTGCACAATTCTTGAATTAGATCATCTCAATTGAGTTGGAAGCCGTAGTCAAGACGTGTCAAACAGGGATCAAAATTGCTTTGCAGGATCAAAAAAAAAAAGCAATTAAAGTTTCTATGATGTGGGGGACATGGCAAGAGACCGCGTTGCCTCTGTGAGACGGTGGCCACCCCCCTTCACCGCCCGACCATTCACCACATCAACATCAAACACCAACATCAAACATCAACATCAACATCAAACATCAACATCAAACATCAACATCAAACATCAACATCAAACATCAACATCAACATCAACATCAACATCAACATCAAACATCAACATCAAACACCAACATCAAACATCAATATCAACATCAACATCAACATCAACATCAAACATCAAACATCAACATCAAACACCAACATCAAACATCAACATCAACATCAACATCAACATCAAACACCAACATCAAACATCAACGCGCATCAACACATCAACTCTCAGCTCTCAACACATCAAAACACCAACACATCAACACTCTCACCAATTCTCACCAACATGTTTGCCCTACGCCTGAATGAAGGGTGTCAATTTCACTACGCGAAAGGACTATCGGACCGCAAACTATCAGTGCAGAACATTTGGGAACCTCCCCTTTGATAAAAATGACACTTTCGTTGTTATATAATGTTGGCCATTGAATTTGGGACGATCTATCTAGGGCTCATTCTATCTGTCCAATGATGATCCTTCGGAAAAAGAAACAGACTATGAGGAGGTTGGGCAGGTCTTTGCTTCTTCGAATACTGTTGAATATCGAATACTGGTCTCTAACACCACGAAGAGGTGCCTGCACATTGCTAGAGGGCTTGTTAACGCAGCAATCCCCTGCAGAGCACGTTTGTTGACGCAGAGACCATCCTGCGAGGCACACTTGTTGACGCAGAGCCCATCCTGCGAAGCACACTTGATCACGCAGAGCCCATCCTGCGAGGCACACTTGATCACGCAGAGCCCATCCTGCGAGGCACACTTGATCACGCAGAGCCCATCCTGCGAAGCACACTTGTTGACGCAGAGCCCATCCTGCGAGGCACACTTGATCACGCAGAGCCCATCCTGCGAAGCACACTTGTTGACGCAGAGCCCATCCTGCGAGGCACACTTGATCACGCAGAGCCCATCCTGCGAGGCACACTTGATCACGCAGAGCCCATCCTGCGAGGCACACTTGATCACGCAGAGCCCATCCTGCGGAGACTCTTGTTGTCGCAGATGTCCCTGCGGAGACTCTTGGTGTCGCAGATGTCCCTGCGAGGCGCTTTGTTGACGCAGGACCTAGGCTGCGGAGAACTTGGTAATGCAGCGGTCTCCTGCAGAGAACTTGTTAACGCAGCGGTCTCCTGCGGGTCTCACTTGTCATCACAGCGCCCCCCTGCGAGGTAGTCTTGTTGACGCAGCACCTCCCTGCGAGGATTATTGTTGACGCAGACCTATCCTGCGGGGTAGTCTTGTTTTCGCAGCACCCCCCTGCGAGGATTATTGTTGACGCAGACCTATCCTGCGAGGTAGTCTTGTTTTCGCAGCACCTCCCTGCGAGGATTATTGTTGACGCAGACCTATCCTGCGGGGTAGTCTTGGTTTCGCAGCACCTCCCTGCGAGGATTATTGTTGACGCAGACCTATCCTGCGGGGTAGTCTTGGTTTCGCAGCACCCCCCTGCGAGGATTGTTGTTTACGCAGACCTATCCTGCGGGGTAGTCTTGGTTTCGCAGCACCTCCCTGCGAGGATTATTGTTGACGCAGACCTATCCTGCGGGGTAGTCTTGGTTTCGCAGCACCCCCCTGCGAGGATTGTTGTTTACGCAGACCTATCCTGCGGGGTAGTCTTGTTTTCGCAGCACCTCCCTGCGAGGATTGTTGTTCACGCAGACCTATCCTGCGAAGCACATTCTTACATCGCTGGGCTCGTGGCAGCGACAGCCGTGGTCACGGAAGCTCTCGAGCCCGCAGGCAAGAGAGGGACACTCCGATGCATCAAAGTGTGAGGACTGAAGTCCTGAGTTTTTTTGGGCCGGGAATCCGGCCTCTTTTTATAATTTTTCGGTCAAGTTTCTACCAAGGAACCATTGCGCCGGGGGTAGCGAGAATCACTGTCCTTTGATTGGCGTTGGAACAAGTTGAACGACGTTGAAACGGTGTTTGGAGAATTGGTGGCCTACAGACTCAAGTTTTGACCCGGATTTATTCCTCTCAAAAACTTGCGTTGAGTATGGTAAATCACTTTCATCAACTGTTGAAAGAAAGCAACGCCGCAGAAATGTGATTCCTACATATTGTTGAGTTTGCAATTAAATCGCTCAACGCGGTGACACTCTACATCTGTCTGCGATTTGGCACCAGTGCGACCCTGCTTCCGCAGGATATGGTACTTTTTTCCTCGTAAAGACTCAACGCTTCGATGCACCTGGTATTCTTCATAATATGCGTCGGAGAGAGCTTTCCACGACAGCTCCGGATGGGCATCCAACCATGGAAGAAGGTTTTTCTCCTCCCATTCTGGCCAGCCGCATGCGTTACGTGGGGACATGGTTATGCTTGGGTAGTTGGCAGAAGTGGTCAGAACAGGTGAAGAAAATTGCAGAAAGTGAACTTGAAGATGTAGGGTTGTTGAGTTTAAAAGATTGAAGTGTGGCAGATAAAATCGACTTCTGTATGTTTATGAGATTTGACCCAAACAAGCTCTCATTTTTTGATGCAATGTGTTTCGTTGACAATCAATAACCCTCAATCTTTGATGCAATGTATATCGTTGAGAATCAACAACGTTGAACGCGGCCACAAGAGTCCGTTCTTGTTGACAATTTCCCGTTGTTTCACCAATTGTTGAATTCTATTGTCTGATCCGCCTCTTAGTGAGTCATTGTTAAAAACATGTGCAGATTCAGAAATAGATATCTACGGGTAGAAAGTAGGAATGAAAAATGCGTGCACTTGCGATCCCCTCCTCAATTGCGAGCAAGCAAACAGTCAATCCTGATCCCGTGATACAACATGCTATAAAACCCGAGCGCCTTCTCCTATCACAGAAAACCAGAACTAGGACCACTCCTCACCCCAGCGTAACTCAGACAGTATGGGCGGAATTCGAAAAGTCTCGCACACTCCTCGAAAACAGAACTTTCGAAGCCGATTGCAACGTGCATTGTCCTTGTCGTCTTCTGAGTCTGAGGATACTGGTAGTCCATCCAGATCCGCTACAGGCGATACCACAGAGGACGATTCATCCTTTCAGGAGGAACACGACTGTGTCGACCAGGACAATAGCACCTCGGCCGATGAGAGTGAGCAACAAGCTGTACGACAGCGGAAGTCTGTGTTTGGACACCAAATGGGCTTGGAACCACGCGGGCAGACTCAGCTTTCCGGAGATGGCAATTCGGTTGCTCTGGAATGCCTGACGGAGTAAGTACAATCCTATCAAGCACATAATCATGATTGGCCTGCTAACAACATCTAAACTAGATAACCGGATGCGGTCAGTTGTGGTCCATCTTGAGTGACAATGTAAAGCGCTAACTGTCTCCGCAGGTCTATTGAGCGCTCATCGCAGGGCCAAGCAACCTGGAATGAAACCATTCGCAACGATCTGGCCGATATTTTTGGTCGATTGGCACTCGTCGAAAGTGAGATCCAAAAGGGGACACGGCCCGGTTCAAACAAAGCTACAGAGGGCCAGAAGATCGGATGATCCCTGCGTCGGCAGCAGTGATGCGACTGGAGGTTTACTTGGATGCCGAACCATGTATATCAGACCAAGATCAGTCTGTATTGGTTTTGAGGTATGATCACCAGCTCAACCAACAGAATATCAACACGGTCATCATCGATGCTGGATAAGACGGTCACTGGACAAGGTCGATAGACTCACTGCCAAGCTGATGCCATGGCGAGCGATGTATCGTTCGTTGTTTCATTGGGGTCTTCGTATCTCGCCTATGCTTCCCTTAGCTGTGCAGACGGAAAACTATGACTGGTATATGAACTGTGCCGAGGTAGCTCTCCTGAATCGATGGGCTATAGTCGCGAGCCACTATATGTTGCCGAGTAGATTAAATATTTGATTAGTTCTATCATTGCAGCTGATTTGTATTGCCTGGCCCACTAAGCTTGTACTCGGTCTGTATGAATGAGGAAATTCCCGTGAAGGCTAAAAATACAGTAGTGCTCAAGAATCATACACCATGTAACAAACGATCAAAGATTGGTTGCGCCTATTGAGGTGCGACCCTTAGCGGTCGATACTCGCACAGTAGTGCCACATCTATCGACTTGCGATATCCCACTTAACGAGAAACTGCTATTTGTGGTTGAATAGTACGGCAAGCTTTGGCTGAACGCCGAGAGGAAATAATGACTATAATGCGCAATAGAAGCGTGGGTTTCTGCGCGAAACCCAGAGCCCAGATATTAGCAATATTTAGATCGGTCAATTAGAGTCCGTTTCCTTTACGACATGGGGAGACCACGTGAGTAACAAATCCGTAGGCCAGCGAAATAAGGTCTTTTCTCTCATCTAAAGCGTATCTGAGCGTCTCGGCCTTGAGCGGTGTGATGCTGAGTACTGTATCGACGCACAGGTGCTTGCGCGTGCTCAAGTTACGAAAGCACGCAGCCTCCCCTTGGGGGCGATTAACAGAATTTACAACACTCACGATTTGGCACGGGACCTATATAATCCGAAGATAGAAAAATGATTCTTCAAGAACTATCTCCTCGTCGACCACTTTGCAAAGGCCGTCTTCTGCAGGACATTGGGGACCTACTCGGACCAACGCACCTTAATTTTCAGACAAAAGGTTCATCTCAGTCGGTGGTAGGTAGTTCATGTTGAGTACCAAGCGGAACATTGTCATTGTTCGATTGGGAGATGCTGGGGAGCATATCGTGGCCAAGAGTACCCGCGCCGCCCTGATCGGGCCATTCTGCCTGGATCATTCCGGAGCCTGGCAAATAGGATGCCAGTCGTCTGTTCTGGAAGGCGTCGATCGTGCTCCAGAATCGAGTGGTCGCGGAAACCAGCTCTGCGTGTGCCTGATCCAACACTAGCTGTATATCATTCCACGGGACCTGATCTTGCAGTGCGGTGTTGGTGGATTCCAGCTGCTGTTGCAATTGGCAAATCTCCCGCTGAAGCTTCTGCTGCTCGGCTAATGCAGCATCCCTTGCCGTAACTGCGATTTGCAATTCCTAACTCTTCTGCGCTTTCTCGGTTTTGATCTGGTCCAGCAACTGAGAAAGATCGTGGTTCTCTCCATCTCTCTCCTCAAGTACCTCTTGAAACTCCTCCTCAATATTGCTCATCACCCGAAGACACTTTCTATGCGTTGCTTTGTCATTTTTTCTTTTGGGCTTCTTCGTAATCGAGGATGTGTAGCATAGTCAGTAAAGAGTACATTCAAATAAAAGGCGTGCCACCGGGGCGGTTCTGGGCATAGCGAAGTACGAGCAAACAAGGTGAGCATTGGCGTACCAAACTTCTGTGTGATCTAGTCACCGGCTTGCGGGAATTTCGTTCATCCTTGGATTTAGAGCCAGTAGAACAAACGGAATAAGACGAGGGTGCAACACGCCGCTGTGCTCCGTCAGACCTGCGGTCTGCGTCGCCCTGAGGAGGCTTGGGATTCTTTGCCATCTGCGAACTTTTCTTTCCCTAAATAAACAGTGGTTCAACGATGTGTAGAAAGGTTGAGAGAAGTATCAGCAGTGACCTTCCGAGAAGCCGGCATTATATAGGAATAGGGAGCGTAAGATCTGAAACAGAGTAGGGGTGCTCTCACTCCTACCAAGCAGCTGCGTCGGGACCAGGATCGCGAACTCAAAAGATTGAGGACTACTTTACATACCGGGCCCCATGGAGCGTTAGCGCGAGCGCACTAAATATCTGCCGTTCGATTGTAGGGGATGCGAGCAAATGGTCCGCACAAATCTGTACATTGATGCGGTATAACGCTGTTGAGGCATAATAGAGTCCAATCGGCCTCAAATAATATCCCATGTTGAGATTTGGACCCTTGCTCCTGATCTCTCAGGCGTGGATCTCATTGTCAGTACTGAAACTGCCATCATGGTCTACTCAGTGGACTCTATGAAGGAGGTCCATTTATGAGCTCGGTAAGATCATGTAAATATAGGGGACCGGTAATTCAACACCCCTTTGCGTAACTTAACGTAATTCACTACCGAGCTGGACACACTACCGACCTCAGTGCCAAGGGCAGACCGCCCTGTAATTCTGCCACACATTCTTACCTACTTGTGAACATCGGGATTCTCAAAACATGAACCCTCACTTTTGTTCCTGTCACGCCTGTCTACCAGAACGAAACACAATTTGTGATCTTTGATCTATTCACCATGCGCGGCGAAGTACGTGCTATCCTGTTGCTGTTCAATGTCAGCCGTGGTGATCGTTGATCGTTCAGCCCTCACCCGTTCTATCCCAATCTTGAACCGCAAAATGCACGATCTTATCTCGCGGTGTGGCACTCGATACTGCTGCATTCAAGACTAACCAAACCCCTTTTATGATGGACATTGGTGTGCTGATCGACTAGATCTGTCATCTTCACCTCGGCCAGGCTGGTACCCAGTTGGGTAACGCTGCGTGGGAGCTGTAAGTCTTACTGCTTTGTGATCTATTCGTCAATGGTTGACCGCTCAATGATGATGCAGTTACCTGCACGAACACGGCTTGTTGCCCGATGGTAAGAGAGATCCCGATGTCACCGAGGACATCAGCCAGAGCAGCTCTTATGAGACCCTTTTCACCGAGACCGGAAACGGCAAATACGTCCCTCGTTCTATCTTTGTCGACCTTGACCCTTCGGTGTGTAGCATGCGAACAGAGAATTGCAACATATTTGGACTAACATATTGCCGGTAATATAGCCTATCGACGAGATACGCACTGGTACCTACCGCCATCTGTTCCACCCCGAGCAACTGATAAGCGGAAAAGAGGACGCCGCCAACAACTGCATGACCCCCGATGCTGGAAGACATCTGATCAAACAAGCTGATATTTAATAGATGCTCGTGGCCACTATACCATCGGCAAGGCGCTCGTGGAGAGCATTGTTGACCGAATCCGCCGTGTGGTCGGTGTGTACCCCAATACTCTCTTGATTCTTGACCTCTAAGCTCATTTGATTACAGATAACTGCTCTTCCCTTCAGGGATTCTTGATATTTCGCTCTATCGGCGGTGGGACTGGCTCTGGGTTCGGTGCCCTGCTGCTGGAGCGGCTTTCTGCCGAGTACGGGAAGAAGTCGAAGCTAGAGTTTGCGGTCTACCCGTCTCCTCTCGTGGCAACGGCCGTGGTGGAACCATACAATGCTGTCTTATCCACTCATAGCTCTATTGTAAACTCCGAATGCAATTTTCTCGTTGACAACGAGGCTATTTTCGATATTTGTAAGCGCAACCTTGACATCCCTTGCCCTGGATATGATCACCTCAACCGTCTCATCGCCCAGGTTGTTAGCTCTGTCACGGCTAGCTTGCGTTTCAATGGTGCCCTCAACGTCGACTTAAACGAGTTTCAGACCAACCTCGTGCCGTTTCCACGTGTTCACTACCCTCTTATTTCATATGCTCCTGTCATCTCCAGGAAACGCAGTGGCCACGAGAGCTTCAAAGTCAAGGACCTCACCTTTCAGTGTACATGCTTCCGTATCTCTAAATGTCTTCATACTAAATTTTTTGTTAGGTTTTGAACCTAACAACCAGATGGTTGTTTGCAATCCTCACAATGGCAAGTACATGGCGGTAGCTCTTCTATACCGAGGCGATGTTATACCTTATGACTGCACCCAGGCTGTAGCTGAGGTCAAGGCCAAGGCGTCTTTCAACCTAGTTGAGTGGTGTCCAACCGGTTTCAAGCTCGGCATCAATTACCAGAAGCCTGTAAGTGTACTCGATAGCGAGCTTGCTTCCGTCGACCGCTCAGTCACTATGCTCTCTAACTCCACCTCTATCGCCGAGGCCTTTGGTCGTCTCGATCACAAGTTTGACCTTATGTACACCAAACGTGCTTTCGTCCACTGGTATGTGGGCGAGGGTATGGAGGAAGGCGAATTCTCCGAGGCTCGCGAGAACTTGGCGGCTCTGGAGCAGGATTACAAGGAGGTCGCCGATGATACTGTCGGCTTAGACCGGGACATGGATCTCGAGTACTGATTGGACCTGTTTTCTTATTGAATGACTTTTTTTAGAATCTGCAGCAGATTGTGGTTGTTTTAGTGGGTCGACTTCAAAACGATATCACCAGGCGCTAGCGTCTTTTCAGCCCTGCTTGGAATATCTGTCACTATGGTGGAGTCTCACTGAATACGGACACAGTCAGGCCCGATTTCACGCTTTGCATCGTCGCGGCCAGGGCTTTCTTATCTAGAAGAAGATGGTTTGCGGATGAGTGTCCCGGTATTTGAGACTGTTCTGGTTCTTGCACTCTAGCAGTCCAATCCGCGCCATAATAGATGTCTAATCAACGGCAATTTATCCGCCTGCTAGGATAGTAAAGCTGTCTTCCATAAAAAATGTCATAATATAAGGTTTCGTCAATGTGTTTTTGTCCAAGTTCGATCTAGTCAAATACTTCGTTTCGCCATCAGAACACTCTGTCGATGGCACGTAGTCGCCGCAATTGTGACCACTATTAATGATGGCGGATTGCAAAACCAAGCGCGAAGAAGTAGCATCGTTCCCGATCACTCTGGGATTGGCCTGACAGCCGATGGCTGAGACTCGTCGAATTCAGTCTTTTAGAACGGCGAGCCGGTCATGCCAGAAGTTGTATTGACTGATCTGTCTGACCGCCGAGCCACCTCCTGGTACGTTTCCTTCGAGCTCATCGGGCCCATTCTGAGTCTTGTATTATTTTATGGTCTCCTTTTTGGTTTGTAGGAAGTTAAGGGCTAATTTTGCCAACGGATAATCCACCTTGCCATTGCCTCAGTCGGTTGATTGCTGAGGAGACGGATGGCTCCACCAAACTTCTTTCTGGGTGCTGCAAGGCAGACTGGCCCATCCGCTTGGATAGTTATAATTCTGCACATATTTGTGAGCTCGAGCATGAGCACTTTTGTTTCCGTTTCTTCTGATTCCGACCGTTGTTAATGCGAACAGGATTGTAGTGGAAATTCCAGTAGTGGTCAAAGGGAAGAACTTATCAAGTGCTCGACTTTGCGTAGTGAAGTGATTGAATTGTAGAGCAAATTGCCGACGGTAGAGGGCGTGTTTATAAACTTCTCGGCTTCTGTCACTTACAAGCTTGGTAGGAAATGTTGAGGGACACCTATCCTACTTGAGGCCTGTAGAACACCGAAAACAGTCATTATGCTGTGACGATTGTACCCACCCTTCTACCACGATCACACGGGCTTACAACGACCGTCGGTGGCTGGCCAAATATGCTCAAGTCCGCAAAGGTCATGAACATGAATACTTGGGATCTAAACCTCAACGCCGTGAGGCTTGATCAACTCCCCGACTAACGCGTTGATCACTATTGTTGTGATATGAGGCTGGTGCAGATCAGGAACCAGGCCGAACCATCGGAATTAGTCCCGAAGTATGTATACGAAGAACGAAGTTGATTGGAAATCAACTTGACCTCATAGCCCCGCGCCGCTGAATGTTATTTCTTCCCTTTCTACTCACACCCAGCTAATATTGCTTTTACTAGAATCTCTACTACCTGGGCGCACAGACACCGGCATACTTTCAAAATCAGGATGAAGATTGTCTTTCTTTGGGAGGGCATAACCAAAGTTCAGGCCGTATTGGAATGCCTACAATAGGATCCTGAGCCTGGTTTTCAGGACAACAATGTGAACTGTTGCAACCAAGGCTCATGAGCTAGGTTCTCGTGATCGCCACCCTCACGCAAGATTGCAACACTGCTATCACACTGATGAGACCCTGGAGATGAATAGCACCCGACGGACCAATCAAAAACCGCTCCTGAATTTAGACAGACGCAGGTACGGTTCTGCGATGCAGATCCGTGGGAGAGTAGATCAAGGAGATTCTATTTGTGGCCCTGAGAGAAACTGCGGAATTGGAAAGAATTGCAAAGGTCCAGTCACGATCCACAGGCCCAAAGTTGGCGGCCGTCAGTGTCCGATGGAACGGGACTTTGTTGCTTAGGAGGACTGCTAGGCAGGTGAGTATTTGGAATATCACACAGACTTTGGCAACAGAATGGTAGGCTCCAACCCGATCCGTGGTTGTGTTCCCCTGGTTGCAGTCACAAGAGAGCAAGTTCCCCTGTCAAGTGGCAAGGTGCTCTTTGTCTATCTGGTGTTTAGAACGAACGTTCTAGAAGCTATGTATCTTCTCTCTTCTCCTGCAACCATTTTCCTTTGATAATTACACTATCTTTGAGCCATAACACTTCCTCTCCATCTGCTCCCAGTCTATGGCCATTCCAATAACTTTAGTAGACAGCTTGTAAATATCTATGCCAATTAACTAACGTGATAACGTATTGCCCGAGCGACCGAATTGACCGAGCGGCCCTACCAAAAATCAAAAAACCTTCAATTTTTAACCACGACTAATGCCACAAAATTGACTCAAATTTTGCTATTTAATACGTGTAGGGCATTTAACATAGGTATGACCTTTAATCCCACATCCAGAGCAGGTGACCTGCCGCCTAACCGTAGGCATAGACGGTAAAGCAGGTTCTGCAGGTGGTTCTTCAGGCAACTCTTGCAAAGATATATCTTCACTGATACCATCATCCTCAACAACTACATCATCCTGACCATCCTCCCGACTCCCGAAAATACCCCTCTGGCTAGTGAACTTATGTTTGATGGCTCGTTTTTTGATCTGTTTCTTATTTGAAGCCTCCAATTGGTCGCAGCGATTCTGAAGAAAAATATGATGATGGACCACTTTTATGGTCATTTCATAGGTCCTCTCAATCTCCCGTTTGGTTGGTGAAGAAAGGATGGACGAAGAGGATTCCAGACCTTTTTTGATCCGAGATTGCGATTTTGAGAACTTTGAGAGAGTCCAGAGAGTATTTGGATCACTATCACTGCCAGAAGATAGTGGTCGCTTAGGAAGAATATCAAGAGGAGGAAGTTCATCCAGGCATACATTAAGCTTTTCCAAGACTCTACTAGCATTGAATGGTGCTAATCCAGTAGCTAAAAAGCTATTCTGGATAGTAGAGGTCTTAAAAGCTCCCTTTCTTGCATCTGCAATCAATTCAAGGAAATCTTCCTTATCAATAGAATTGACTCCATTCCGCATCATGGTTGAAACCGCTCCTCCATAAAGCCTCTTCAAAACCGAAAAACAACCCACATCCAAAGGTTGTAAAAGATGCGAGGCATGAGAAGGCATACAGATAGCAATAATATCATTTTCTTCACAAATTCGATCGAATTCAGGAGTTAAATGACTCCCATGACCATCAAGGACTAAGAGGCAGTATTTTCCAACTCTTTTCCCAATATTTGGAATAAACTGAGATTTCAACCACCATAAACCAATTTCATTTGTAGTCCAGCCATTTTTGCTCACAGTCAATCGAGATCCAGGTTGATTTGAATCAAGGGGGATGCGTAGATGTTCAGGAAAAAGTTTCCCCTTGAAAACGAAGAGTGGAGGATGAACACTTCCATCAGCTCTAATGCACTCAATTGAAGTCACCCACTCGCGATTCCCAGCTTGTAAGAGGGTTCTTTTCCCATGGTACTCAGCTGAGGTAATAATCCTTTGTGTGGTACCAACTCCCATGGCAAAACCAGACTCATCAAAGTTGAAAATATCATCCGAAGTGATACCCCATTTTTCAATGGTATTTTGGACCAAATCAAACCATGGTTTGATAATTCGAGGGTCCTCTGAAAGAGCCCTTTGATAGTCGTATTTTCGAGATAATCGTGTGGACAAATTTGGATGTCGTTTGACAAAGTGAGATGCCCAATCTCTACCAACAGTAGAGGGGATTGCTTTTTGGGCATGACGGAGTAAATTGGCCATATCTCTCAACATAGGCAATGTAAGAGCAGCACCCCTCGTATCCATATCCAAGAGCCATTTTTCAATCGATTGCTCTTCAACCTCAGAGAAAATAAAGCGATTGTGTCGTTTTTCAGAAGCAGCTTCACGCCCCTTAAGGCGGGCCTTCAAAGTTGAGACTGGTAAATCAAAAGACCGCGCAGCAGCTGCAGCAGAGGGATATTTACCATCTTTTATAGCTTTTATAGCTAATAAAAGACGACCCTCCTGTTCTAATAATTTTCTCCTTCGATCAGACCGTTGGGGGGGCATTATCATTGTGGTAAACAAGAGATGTTAATTTTTGAGATGGCTTTTTGGTGGGGCCGCTCGGTCAATTCGGTCGCTCGGGCAATACGTTATCACGTTATGGACACACATGAGCTTACGTAAATGTCTCCGGTTTTTGCACTAAAACCGAGAAACCGATTGGCTCCCGGACATGAGTCGAGCTGTGGGCCGGCCCACCTGCGGCACCTAAACTGTATTCCAAGCACCCTGCGCATCTCGATATGACGCTGAATTTAGAGAATGCCTCTGATAACATATTGGCCTTTCCCAGTAAATTTATCCTCCATATCAGCCGACGGAGATTTTGGTGATTCTGCTCCGGTTCTCTTTTCCTTTGGGCTGCAAGGCTTACTCACGAGCAGCCCAGAAAGAAAGTGGGGCAGAAGCCCAGGCTTGAATTCTTCATTACAACCGCATTCTCTCACCGAGCGAGGATTTCCATGGTTCGTCTAAACAAGCTCTTGAAATGATTTGCGGTTCCGCTCGTGGTTCCACGGTCTGTGTCAAACTTGATTTCCTTCTGACTTGGGCGTGGGTCGAAAGCAAGTCGCACGCTTCACTCCAAAGATCACTCTGCTTTCGACCACCAACCCAATCAAATCCAATCAGGCGTATTTTCTTGAGCTAACAAGAATCCAAATATTTTCAGTTTCCCCGAGTCCCCTTGCTACCATGTCCTATCTCCCCTATGGGAACTCATAGTACCGTGAATCCTTATACACTGTCCGCAGTATTTTGGAGGCCGCATGGGTCATGCCCCTGGTTTAACATGGCAAGGATGAAACCGTGTAGGCGGGCCTGTTACGAGGCACCACAATCGTGCTCGAATGTTCGCCTTTGACCTCGGAACTTCCTCACTATTGTTGTAATTCCAAACAGGGGTGATAACTCCTTCCCATACGAAATCCATGGAGTGAAATACAATAATGCTGATATTTCTCATGCTGATAATTCATAGTTGGGTAATCACAGCCTTTATGGGAATAACATACACCAGGACTATTCAATCGAGATAGTTAGCCACTGTTCCTTCGACATAGCAATGTAGCGCTCCAGCCGATGACATGCTGCTAGTGTGGACGTTCTGTTCGCCGGTATCTCCGTTCCTGGCGGCACAGACACGATGTACATAGTCCCACATCCAGGATGACGATCGTGTTCTTTTAGGCCGGTACGGAAGCGGTGCTGGCGTCACGCGGCCTGTGGCAAAATGTTAGCCTCTAATGTGGGAAGAATAAAGGTATTTCGTACGTACATAGCTGAAACTAGCTTGGACGGGGTTGGAGAATCGCGAGCGCCGGTCACAACATGGTCATTGGGATCCCTCCTAGGAGGCTTTCGACGCCATGCAGGACTTGCGTGGCGTGGTGAGATTGGAACTACCATCAAAGTTTTGCCGACGGCTCTCCTTGCGCTTTCTTGACATCGATCTATGTTTTGCATCAGTCACAAGATCATCCTGGCTTGCACGATCCCGAAATAATGATAAAGGCTCCGGGTACTCACCTCTGTCGTCTAGTGAACCGTCTCTTTCCCTTCTGCTTCCCTGTGATCTGTCTGCTCTTTAAATTAGAAACATGGCTTTCCGAGAGCCTGGTGTTGGAGCGCAAAGCGTAAAAAAGCACTCACCGTGGGCTGATAGACTGAGCCTGGTCATTTAGACTGAATTGAATGGGCTCTGGTGACTTTCTTCCTTCAGTGAGGTCAAATCTAACCCTACGGTTGCGTCTGCTCTCAGGCTTCGCAGCTGGAGGCAGTGCGCGACTGTGTTCTGTCGGTAGCTTCGTATGAGACGAGCTTGTAGTTCTCGAGGAGTCCGTATTTTCTGAGGCGCAGGTCTCTCCCTCCAAGTCATCACACCAATTTTTGTAATCCCTCAAAAGTTTTCTGCAGCGATATTCAGAGGATGTCTTATCCTGCTGTGTCATTGTCAACAATTTTCTTTTGACGCGGTTGACGATGAAGAGGGGTCAAAAAATAGGACTGTTAAGAGTAGATTGAAGGGGAAAATCTATCTGCTGCATGGAAAAGTGTAGGAAGGGAAATTTCTTGGTTGCCACCGACCCAAGCAGTGTTACAGTACATTTCTGGAAAATGGTAAGAAAGGCTCACGCTGAGGCCGTGAGACGTTGACCACCGGTCCACCACTCACCTTCACCGCCCGGCCATATACCACCACAACGCACATCAACACCCTCGTCAACGTTCATCAACGACCATCAACGTTCACCAACGACCATCAACACACATCAAAACCCTCGTCGACGTTCATCAACGTTCATCAATGCTCACCAACGCTCATCATCGTGTTGTGATATGAGGCTGTTGCGGTTCAGGAACCAAGCCGCACCATCGGAATTAGCTCCGAGATGTCTATACAGACAACCAAGTTGATTGGAAATCAACTTGGCTCCGTGTTGTATATATAGCCTTATCTTTCCCTCTAGAACAAAATACAATTAATACCTCTGAACTACAACAGGTTATGAGCCCGGGAGCAAAATCTCGGGTGCCGTCTCTACTCATCTGAGAATCGTCTTAACCATCTTGATTATATATTACCCCGCTTTCACTATCCTCACCATGTCTGCTCTGGTCCATGACTCGCCCGACCGAGCCGTCACGGCCATCGAGCCTTTGACGGGAAACGACAACTTCGCGACCTGGAAACGTCTCATGACCTCCTATCTCAAAGCAAGGCAGGTCTGGGATGTTGTGTCGGGCGATCTTCAGCGTCCCGACTGTCTATTCAAGTACGCCAAACCCATTACGGCGGACATCCACCCCTTGGTGGAGCCCCACCTCAATGGGGCGGTGAGGCAGCTAGCCATTGAAGCGCGCCTCGAAGTGGAGGTCCAGGCATTCGAGCGCCACCGTGAATGGTCGCGCCGCGAAGCTGAGGCCTACCACACCATCTTCCGGTACCTGTCCCCCCACATCAGCATTCATGTTCTGGGACTAGAGACGTCCCGTGATCTCTGGAATGAACTTGAAGAACGATACCGGCGGATGGAACTCGCCACTTTCTGCGAATTGTTTGCCCAACTTCGCGAGACAACCGGCGAACGATGCGCCAGTGCGCGTGATTTTGTTGATCGCGTACGGCTGCTCGTACATCGATTGAATGCCATTGCTCCAGGATCAATCGGTGACAAGACACATATTGCGATCCTGCTCACGCAGATCGGACCGGAATACATCCTGGTTGTGGATGCCATCCAGAATGACAAGGATCCGGTCAACCCGACCACGATCGGAAATCTGCTGTCCAACGCCGAGCAGACGGTCCGAAGAAAGGAGTCTCCCGCGCCTCTGCAGGGAGCCCTAGGACCGTCGATCAATGCAGTACAGAGAAAACTCAAGAAATGTACATACTGCAAGAAGCGCGGCCATGTGGTCGCGCAGTGCTGGAAGAAACAGCGAGAAGTACAGCCGTCCAGGGACCATGCCCTGAAGGCAGAACGGAGTGTTTCCGGCTCACCAAGAAACAATTTGCAAAATATACCATCAAGCCAGATGGGAGATCGGCAGGGCCCGCCGACTCCCAAGAGACCGAGGATCAATATCGTGAGGGCGAGGGTGACGACCCTTTATACCCACGCACCGCAACCCCGGTGGATCCTGGACTCCGCCGCCACCAGCCACATCTGCTGGGACCGGAGCTGCTTCAGCAGTCTGCGGCCCCACCGCGAGATGCTGGACACGGCGGGCGATCCAGTGGAAGCCGAAGGGATTGGTACGGTGAAGCTCACGCTCCGGGGGAAGTTCAACCAACCTCTGGTGTTAAAGAATGTGTACTTCGCGCCACGCGTCGGGATGAACCTGATCAGCGTGCCGAAACTGTTGCGAGACCGCTACTCGGTGGTGGCGCACCCGCAGAACGTCTTTGTGCAACGCCGAGGACGGACGGTGGGGACCGCCTACCATGCGGAGGAGGATCTACTGATCCTGCGGTGCCATGTGAGCAAGAGATCTCGAGAGCGAGTCCAACTGGCGAGGGCGCCGGCGACCCATGGCCATGCAGATTCCCTGGAACCGCAGGCGGTGGCTATGGACGTCGACGACCCTCAGGAGTCAAGTGGCGCAGAATGCGCAGCGTCAACCTCTGAACTCGGTGGTGAAGCTGTGATACTCGAAGAAGATGCGTGCAAAGGAGTGGACCAGGCCTCCGAAGTGTTGTGGCACACTCGGATGGGACATCTGAACCGGGGAGACTTGAGGGTGGTCCTCCGGCGGACCGGCACTCCGTACCGACCACTGACGCAGGCGCAGCTGCTGGCAACGCCGCAGTGCCAGGCGTGCATGTCGGGTAAGCAGTATCAGAAGAGGAACTCCCGTGCAAGACGGCCACGTCTGCATTCGACGAGAACGTTTGAAATGATCCATTCGGACATTATGGAGATGCCGATTGCCAAAGATGGCTCCAGGTACGTGATCACCTTTACTGACGATTATTCTCGTGGTTCGTGGGCATATGCCATGAGATGGAAGCATCAAGCGCTCCAGAAGTTCCGGCAATTTGATGCCTGGGTGCACCGTCAGTTCGGCGCCCACATCAAGAGGTTCCTCACCGACAACGGGAGAGAATACTTGCCGATCGGAACACACCTCGAGACCCAGGGAGTTGAGTTTGACACCTCGCCGCCATACTGTAAAGGGCAGAATGGTTTGGCCGAACGCACGAATCGCACTATCCGGGAGCGGACCAACACGCTCCTGTCCGATGCGAAACTTCCTCCTTCCTGGTGGACCGAGATTTTAGAAACGGTAGTCTATCTGAAGCTGCGCGCTCCAGCATCAATCCTACAGAAAACGACACCGTACGAAATAATTTACGGGAAGCCGCCCTCGCTGTTGCATTTGCGACGGATTGGCTCCCGCGCATGGGTGTTGATCCCGAAAGAGCATCGAGCAAAACTCGGACCCAGATCATCCGAGTGCCGATTGCTAGGTTATTGTGAACCGAACCAGTACAAGCTGTATGAAATTCATTCAGGGAAGACAGTGTTTTCCCGTGATGTCGAGTTCGATGAGAGGACCCCAGTGGCGCCACTCATCGGGGGGGAAACAGGCAACGACCTCCCGGACAATGCTCCTCCATCACCTGTCTTTCCACCACTGCCCTCATCAGCTAGCGGGCTGCCAACACCACCTCTATCGCCGAATTCCTCAAACGAGGAAGAGAAAATGCCATCTGGGCGTGTGGAAGAAACACCGTCCGTGGTCAACCCAAGCCAACAGGAAGCCGGCCTAACACCGGACCTGGGGTATTCGATCTATGGTCGTAGAAGGCGACCCTCACGCCGACTGTTGGAATCTCTCGACAAGGTGTATGCAGCAGGTACGCTGAATCCCACAGCGAAGAGTGTTGACCCATCCACGTTTCAAGAAGCCGTGTCCGGCCCGAATCAACTAGAATGGTGGGCCGCCATCCAGAAAGAATACGCGTCTCTTCTCGAGCACGGAACATGGGAAAAGGTTCTGCGAGAGGACGTACCAGCCGGAGATCATGTGATTGGCTGCAAATAGGTCTTCAAGACCAAAGCCAACGGAATGCGCAAAGCGCGACTAGTCATCAAAGGCTACCGGCAGAAGCATGGCATCGACTACCACGAAACATTTGCTGCGGTGTCACGGATGGACTCGGTCCGCTGCATTATCGCCAGCGCCGTATTGCGCGGATGGAAGCTTCACCAATTCGATGCTGTCACTGCATTCTTACACGGTGACGTAGACTCGTCCATTTACATGGAGTTGCCCGAAGGCTTCGAAGAGCCAGGATACGTGTGCCGGCTTCGCCGCTCCCTATACGGTCTAAAGCAGGCCCCCCGGATTTGGTACCAATGCGTTCAACGCGTCCTAGCCGCTCGTGGCTTCACTATGGCACAATCGGACAACTGCGTGTTCTACAAATCCAATTGCGTGATCTGTGTCTACGTCGATGACTTTCTCGTTGCTGCAGCAAACTCGTATGAGATAGACCAAGTGCAACGAGCATTGGAATCAGAGTTCCAACTGAATGATCTCGGTACCCCACGTTCATTTCTAGGCATCCAATTTGACTTCCAGGCCGATGGATCTGTGTCCATTCACCAACACCAGTACATCCAAAAGGTTCTCTCCGACTTCGGCATGGAAGCCTGTCAGCCGAAGACTACTCCGATGAATCCCAAGCAAGTCTTGAATCGCCATCCAGACGAAGAACCTCCGGACGAGGAAACAAAAGCACGATTTGCAACTGCCATCGGTTCGTTAATGTATCTGATGGTCGGAACGCGACCGGATATCGCGTTTGCGCTAGGCACATTGAGTCGCTTCACGTCTCAGCCGCAATCGCACCACCAGGTCGTCCTGCAGCGGTTACTTCGCTATGTCAAAGCCACACAATACCACCGCATCACATACCGCAGTGGTCAATTGATTGGATACACGGATGCCGACTTTGGTGGGTCCGTCGTCACTGACGGAGCCTACTCGACGTCCGGCTACGTATTCCAACTTGCGGGTGCGCCGGTTTCCTGGTCGTCCAAGAGACAAGGGGAAGTAGCCACGTCTACGACTCATGTCGAGTACATTGGACAATATAATGCCATTTTGCATCTACAGTGGCTCCGGACCTTCCTGGCCGAAACACAATTGTATCAGTCCCCGGTCACCAACATCATGGCTGACAATCAGTCCGCTATTGCCCTCTCGCGCAATCCTGAGTTCCACAAACGGACCAAACATTTCAACGTAAAATTCCATTATCAGCGAGCAGTGCTGAATACAGGCGAGATCAGTCTTCAATACGTTCCTACTGAGGAACAGGCCGCTGACGGTCTCACCAAGCCGTTGGGACCAACGGCTTTTGCCACGTTCTGTAGTCTCCTAGGAATCGAAGCCTTGAAGACTCAGAGGCAACAAATGTGACAGCGCAGGCGCTCTTTCCACTTTATTTTCCCATGAAGGTTTTTGAGTGGTTTTACCGAGGCTTGGCTGCACAGCGTTATTCCAGTATCGCCTTGCCAGCAAAGCGATCCTGAGGGGGAATGTTGTGATATGAGGCTGGTGCAGATCAGGAACCAAGCCGCACCATCGGAATTAACCCCGAGGTGTCTATACGAAGAATCAAGTTGATTTCCAATCAACTTGATCTTCTCGTTGTATATATAGCCTCATGTTTCCTTCTGAATTCAATTAATTTTCATTCCTCTGAACTACAACAAATGGGTCAAAGTGAGTCGGTTAAGAAACGTTGGCTCACAGTTGAATCTACGGTCCTAATACTGAGGCAATGGAAGCTGTTCATTCTTTGATTTTACCAAGAGCGCTCACATTTTCATCTAATGAAGATGGAAATTTTCTGGCCTCGCTCGAGTGTTGATTGTCTGAGCTGCGTGTGGTTCTGTCCGTCTAGGCTGCGGAAAGCGTCAGGCCGCGGTCGCACGGGCCGTGGTAGACGGTTCCAAAAGTCTATCGGCTTGTTCAATATCGCCCACCTGGGGGAAGTTCTGAAGGAGATTGACATAAATTGGAAGTAAAGTATGCTCGTGCATGTGCAGGGCACACTGCCATATTTGCCGCACCTGATCTGCCACCTCATACTTGGCGACCATTCCGTGTCGATCACGGCTGAACTTACCCAGAGCAAAGTTGTAACCAAACTTGTAGTGCTTGACCCCTGAAGTAGTCATTGGTAGCAGGATCCCATGAAGGAAGAGCTTTCCGTGGAACTGCGAATCAAGAAGCAAGTCTCCTCGGGGCGTTTCTACAATCGAGGGGGGATAGGAGAGCCCGCGAATATCGAGAGTGACTCGCAGCCACCCGAAGAATGTTTCAGACGATACCGGTCGACTTTGATTGGCACGTCCAGCCCCAATCATTACCGTGATGTCTCTTTCATCCTGGAACCGCAACTTTGCCATATCATCAGCTGGGTCTCGTTGAATGGCTGGACTCATCTTTCGGGAAGGAGTGATGACACAACGGAGAGACTGGGACGTCCCATGCAGACCAAAACTCCACCTACAGTGGCTTGCAGCCACGCTCATTTTATATCCGTCTCGACTCATTATTAACGCAGCCAGCTTGAGCCCGTCACCATGGGAGCCTGCCAGCTGGTCTTGGTTGTCCTTGGATGTGAACCCCATCACGAGAGACTCCACGGGAAGTTGCATGCAGGAATTGGTCAAGGTGACTCGACCGGTCTTTTTCTCATATTTTATGTACCCCAGAGCTCGCCGATTGCCGTTGTCATTCGAGGTAGTCGGGACTATGATGGAGAAATAGTCTTTCTTGTCTTCATAGAATGGCTTGAAATCCAACCGGTTTAGCTGAAATCTTCCTAGAATAGCATCTTTCCTATTCTGTCTCAGTGTTTATCCAATAGAAGAGAATGTCACATACCAATTTTGGTATAGCTCGCGAAATGCATCTGTAGAGTCCCAGCCTTTCACATAGGCAGGTGAAATCCCAACTGGAATAGTTTGCCGGGACGGCTCAGTCGCTGTGTAAGTGGTTCCTTCGCTTTGTTGTAATTCACGATCCAGCTGCAGATTCGCTTCGTCGCTCGTGCTTGTACAACTATCTTGATCCATGGGATCCTCATCGGTGTGATTACTCATCGTTAGGTACGCATTTGGAGCACTGCAGCAGAATGAATTATGGGTTTTTTGTGTCTCTGGGTCGTACGCCTGTTGTTTATATGGCGCCCCGAGCTTTCCTCTAAGACATCCTCCCTGAAATCGTTGATTGCGGTGAGCAAAGGCAGTGACATCCTCATTAATGATTTCATGAGGAAAAGTTTCAACTTGATATATCGAAAATGTGACAATAAACTGGTTTGCATTTGCATCCATGACTTACCAGACCTTTACGAATGACCAAACGGTGATGTTGAAGATCTTTACGGTTGACTAGCTAGGGCATATCCGGCAAACTCGACATTCAACGTTGAATACCGGGCATGTGAACCATGAAGGGCCACCGTGGCTCCGCATTTATATTAGCGTGCCAACTGTTGAGTTGAGTTCAGACAGAATGCCGAAGTCAGCATGTCCAAAGATGAGGTATGCAATCCGTTGAACTTATCAGCCTGCCTTTGATTTAATCAAGCATTCGTTAACGGTAGTCAACGGTGGATTGAGATCATCAATGAACAGGAAAAAGCTATTAAAACACACGATGAGAAGCTTGTCAGCTCGATTATCTTTGAGGTTGACGGATCGTGAGAAAGTTGAAGAGATGGGCTTGCTTCCAGATAAGACATATCTCCGTTCAAAATACGCTTTAGACCGCGCGAAGTTGGCGTTGTGGAAATACCAGGACGTATACACCGTGAATAGGGATAAGGTATGCGGGTATATTTCAGCTGGTGTTCCACTGATGAGGCCAGTCGAAACGACTTTGTCAACGTATGACGAGCATTTTGGAATCAGTGACTGAAAACCAGCACAAACCGCCAAGGGTGTGTCGGCAATATCATACGAATACTGCATGGATACCGGAGACACTATGATCCAGCCCGATGGATTAGTAATTAGACTAGGCATAAATAGCTTCAAATTAGCGGTAATACAATGCAGAGTCTTCGAGGTCTCCAATTGGGTGCTACGGTATAGGATTTCACGGAGATTCGACAGGGTGTGTCAGTGCTGCATTCATGAATACGGATTGAGAACCGGAATTATAGTAACTCCGAATGAGCGGATTACTAAGGATGAGCATAGCATAAATAGCAAGAAATAGCAAGTAATAAATGACAGAGATTTCAATGCCCTCATTGGCTGAGCAAGTTACGGAAGACAGCAAGTTCCGACAGGGTGTTTATGCCTGAGGCACCAGATGAGTAAGCCGGTAAACATCGTCATGCGTGTAGCCCGTGACGGTTAGTTCCCCTTAAGGCAGACGATAGCCCCCTGCTGTATTGACTGCGATCTTGTCATTAGAAACACAAGTTCTGACAGGGGATGAAGGAGACAAGGGATGGAGGATACAATCGCTGAGCTTCGACGCCAGCTTGAGGAAGCGAGAAAAGCGCGAGAAGAGGCAGAGTGGCGCCAGGAGGAAGAGAGACAAGCGCGAGAAGAAGAGAGGAGGGCGCGAGAAGAGGCAGAGCGGCGCCAAGGAGAGGCAGAGCTGCGAGTGCAGCCCAACACACTGTTTCGCCTTCTCGATCGTTGCCACGTCTCTTTATCTCAAGCGATTCGAGTTGAGACGGATGCGACCCTCACGACCCAGGGTGATGCGACTGACCCCGTCAACCGACTCTACCCCAAGCGCATTGTTCCTTGGCTTGACTTCCCCCGACTCCAAGAGCAAATCTGGAAGAAACTCGACCGCACGGCCGCCTTTACCTCGCGTCCGCTCTTCCCTTCTGACACCCAATTGGACTATGTCGCTACGAATATCCAGAACAAGCCGATTTATTCAGAAGCGTCCCTACGGAACTTTGAGCGCGACACGGTCGACAACTTTGTCGAAATGGTGATTGAGAAGTTACGAGACGATGAAACCCTTCGACACGAGTTTGGCATCCAGGGCCGAGTCGCTTTCTATGACCGCGCGAACCCAGCGGAACCCTCGCTGGAGAATAGCTTGGAGCAGATGAATCTCCAGGACGTGCGGCCCCAGCGACCACCGAACATGAGGCATGGGAAAAGCAGAGGAAAGGGGAGAGGAGCGGCGCAGAGCCAGAAGAGGGCTGCCACTGCACGAAGACGCAACCGCCGCGCCGACCAGTTCTGCGTGCACGTTGTGGCCAACGAGCGACAGAAACCGGTGTATGCGGTGGAGTTCAAAGCGCCACACAAGGTGACAATCCCCGAATGGGTGGCAGGTCTACATCAGATGGATCTCGCTCGCGATGTCATTGATCAGGAAGGCGACACGTTTGAGTTCTATGCCACCTGCCTCGTCGCCGCAGTGGTCACTCAGATATTCTCATACATGATCGACAGTGGAATTCAACACGGCTACATCTGCACGGGGGAGGCTTTTGTTTTTCTCCATATCCCGAAGGATGATCCCACTATTGTTCAATATTTCTTATGTATCCCGAATCAAGATGTGCAGGTGAACGATGAGTGGCGCCTCCACCGGACAGCCATTGGTCAGGTGCTTGCGTTCACCCTCCAAGCGCTGGCCGCCGAAGCTCCGTCTCAAGAGTGGCATGATGCGGCACACGACAAGCTGAAGACTTGGGAGGTCGAATACCTGGACGTATTGAGAAAAATTCCCGAAACGCTCCGCAAAGACCCGCCAGCCTCCAATTATCGGCCCTCGCACTGGAAACTAGAGCCGAAGACACACAATACACGATCCCGTGCTCACTGCCAACCAGGCATGTCTACTCCGAAGCATTCGTCGACCGAAGGCAGCGGCAGTGATGAAGAATCGCATTCGCCATCCATCGCAGCAGCTGCTCGCAGCCGCTCGAGCCGCGGCCGAGGCAACAACCGTCAATCGACTAAGGAAAGCGAAAACACACGAGCCGGTGGGGACAACAAACAGACCTCTCGGAAAGACGGGCAGTCTACACGACCCTACTGCACAATTGCCTGCATCCGTGGCATGGTCAACCGAGACCCGCTGGATAAAGAATGCCCCAACTGGAAACTCCACGGTAGCCAGAGACACACCATGGGACCACAGGAGTTCACACGCCGGCTTCACCGTCAACTTGCCCGAAACCGAAATCATGGGTTTGAACAACTCCACGTCTGTGGTCGGACCGGTTACCTCATCAAAGCCACTCTTCTATTACACGGATACACTGTGATAATCAAGGCTACCACGGCGGACAAGCAGCATCTCATTCAAGCAGAGGCAGACAATTATGGTTATCTCAGGAGCCTGCAGGGAAAACACATACCCGTCTGTCTTGGGACATTTACGCCACGAGTCTCATATTGGTACCACGGCGAACTAATGGAGCAGATGATGATCCTGAGCTGGTCAGGAAGCAGGCTTCAGCACGTCATCAACGATGACAACTCGAGTTTCTTCCACCAGGAGCGCGAGAAGGCCCTGGCTGTGCTCCGCTCACACGGGGTGGTCCATGGCGACAGTGAGTGGCGTAATATGTTGTGGGATGACCTGGGCGGTCGTTTGATAGTCATTGACTTGGAGGACGTGAAATGGGTGAAGCGCCCTCGGGCACTTGAACCAACCTCTGGCAACACGCGGCATGGTCATCGCGTCGGGGAAGGAAAAAGCAGACAAAGGCTCCTATCCAGCTCAACTGCTGTATGCACATGACGGCCCCTAGGCTCATGGACATTTACATCTGCACCTTCAGATTACATCATTTGTTCGTGATGTCCATAGGGAAGAAAGTACAGTGTCGATGGAGCTGGCGCCTTGATTTCGCTTGGAAATTCACAGATCGAATCAGGAAATCAAGGGGCCTTGGGAATCATTTACAAAGACTTTCGAGATATGAAGGTCCTTTGGAATGAAAAGCTCGAACGGGCAACAATCATCGACTTTTACGCCTCTAGAAAATTGAATTTTGGCCAGCTCCAAAGACCATGAGCAAAGAGACAACTGCTGCAAACGGAAAACCCAAGGGTCTGCTGTGCCTGTTTTCCTGGGCACGATCGACTTGGCCGAAATCTACTTTCTTTATGGAGCTGGAGAGATTCGTCATATGCTCATGATGGGCTGGCCGGGGGAGGGGGGGGCGGAAGTACAGCATCGATGGACTTGACGCCTTGGCTCCACCAGGAGATTCGCAAATCAACAAAGGAATCACTCACGAAGATTTTCGGCGTGACAATTTTCTTTGGAATAAAGAACTAGGCCGGGCATTAATCATCGACTTTCACCGGTATATATTGAAATGTCGACCGACTTTGCAGCGATCACGAGCGGTACAACGACAACTATGTCAACCAGAGATGGGAGATCCAAAACGTCTTTGTGTAACGGGAAGCAATATGCTTAGTTTTTTGGATTAGCAATTCAAGTATGCATGATAATGAAGCATGAAGCACTTCCAGTCCACATCCTCGTGAATCAACCAGAACTTCGACCTATTATCGATCCTTGATGCCCGCTTTTCCACTTCACCTACATTGCCCCAAGAGGGACTCCGCTTCTATATTTGTTGACAATGACAAACTGACCGTCCAATTCTGGCTCTCGCACTTGACTTTTGTGTGAGGTGATGAATGATATGAAAACGTTGATTCAACTATGAAGCTTCAGTAACGATATATTGGACTGTCGTGTGCAGTACTAATCGAACATTTTGCAATAAGAGACCGACTGCTCGACAACCTTCAGAAACGAGATAATCCACAGGACTTTCCCAGGTATGCTACTAGACATACATTCCATCAACAGGCCTCTCTTTGCCAAACTCCTTTGAAAACTTCTTATTGGAATCGGCTGCTAACTCCAAGTATTTGTAGGTCACCTGATTGACGTCAGCCTCAGCGAGAGCATGTGCGATTGCTGCGATGTTCTTGATCTAGTTCATGTTAGTCAACAAGTGAGAAGTGCAGAGCAGCTCTCTGGAACCCACCTCTCGCCCATTTAGAGTTAAAGACTCCAATCGTCGGAGATCGTACTCCTCAATGACGGCAGGTCCTTGCATCGTACATGCCTTGGACAGAAAGGTTGACCAAAGATCTCTGCGAAACTCTCTCGTCAAATTTTCATACTCGATGCTCAAATGGATCCGGCTTAGAATTGCGTCATCAAACTGGATACCCCGATTTGACGTCAAGAAAAGAATTCCTTGATAATATTCCAGCTTTCGGAGGAAAATGGTCACAAGGCGATTGTGGGTATCGTGGTATGAGGTACGCTGCTCCATGAAAGCGTCTGCCTCATCCAAGAGAAGGACGGCATCAAAGTGTTTCGCGATCTTGAATACTGTTTCAAGTTGCCGCTCGAGCGCGTTGGAATCTCCGTGGTCGACAACAAGTTCGCCTGCAGATATCTGAAAAAAAATCAGTGACGCCTAATCCAGCCGAGCTGGATAGTTCATACCGAATAGAGGGGGAGCTTGAAATACTCCGAGGTTGCCTCAACCGTGAAAGTCTTTCCGACTCCCGGTGGGCCACTAGCACGAGTTAGTTGGAAGTCTTGATAGCATAGGCGCTTCGCCGACATACTCCAGAAGAATGTTGAATCCTTGGCCCTTTCCATCAACTACGTCGTCGAACGGTACCATCGGTATCATCCCTAGGCGGGTTTTTGCCAACGACAAGAGGATGGTCTTGGTCTCTAAAGGGATCTTCAGGCAGTCGAACGACTCAGGTGACCAATCCACGTCCTCAAGAGCACTGACTGCGCACTCCACTGGAATCACATTAGTCGGGCGCCAAATATTGTCAGAAGACTTACATACAGAAAATCTTCTCCTTGAAGCTGAAACAGCATACTGTTGGGCAGGCGACCAAGAAATCGGTCTCGCTCAGCTTTTGTGCATCCACTCCGTCTCCTTGCATTCTCTCCTTCTCTCGCTCGCGGTCCTCCTTGAGCATCGCACCTATGTCAATGACTGCAATGCCATTGTTATCTTTTGTCCCTATGTCGCGGAGTGACGGTCGGGAGTAGTTTGGCTGCATTTCATAAAAAAATGCGGCGTCCACTGCCACTCGACTATTGATGTTGACTTTGATAGCCTTCCCCTTGTTCATAAAGAATGCGCTGCCTTTACAGTGCTGAATGTGTGAGCCGGCCAAATCCCGAAACTTTTGGCCTCTATCGACCAAGTTTTTCCGGATTTGCTCGTGCCTTGGGTGGTAGCAGAGGGGGAAGGCCTCAAGGGTCTCAATCGGCTTTGACCCCCGGAACTTTGGAACACGCAGAAAGATTCCGGTCTCGCCGAATTTGACTCCGTCATAATCAAGGAATCGGCACTCGAGATTGAACCACGTCTCGTCACTCTGTGTCACCTCTTCCCCTGCATCAACTACGACGCATCGCGGCTCTTTTGTGCCCAAGCATGTCGTGAAAACATGGGAACCCGGTTTGAAAAGTGCCCAGAGAAGGTCGTAAGTAATGTGACCGTGCTGCAGCATTGACGATAAACGCTGCGAGATGGCTGAATATGCTTGCTTGAGGTGGTCGATGAGCAAGCGGAGGTGCTGACGTGGGAATTCATACTCTGAGTTGTCCATATTTTCGGCATATTTGTCGAGCTCTGGGAGGAAATGGAAAAGGATATTTTGCTCGATCTAACCAATGTCAGCGATCTTCGTGGAGATAATACTCTGTCTCAATTACCGATGGCTTGTCTTCCATCAGGCTAATGGCCTTGATATCATGCAGCACCTCACGCAGGATGTCGCGCAGGCCTTCCGATTTGATGTCAATGTACGGCGTCACCTCCTCAGAATTTCGTTCTAATTATACCATTAGTCTGGTCTCGGTTTCCAGGCAAAACATTACGTACCAACACGTTCACGGACAACGAATGCATATTCAGCATAATCGTCCAGACCACTGCTGGTCTCCGCCGGTTCGACAATCTTGTATTTACATGCTTCTTTGTCCCAGCTAGATCCGGGTCAGCCATTTTCTGAAGGAATTAGAAGGGGAGATTGGCTGGTGGCTCATACGTTTCGACAACTGCTTTGAATGAGGGTGTAGATGCCCACTTCTCAAACAATTTGAAGTCATCCGGCGTCGTACTGATTGGATGTTTGAGATCTGTTCCATCTGCTACCGCAATGTCCTCCTGTTCATTGCTTGCAGGACAAGAATGATCAGGCTTGGCTGCCATGGAGAGTTCAGCCGAAGCACATTCATCACTGGTGAGGTTCACCAGCAGTTGCTTCAGTCGAACCATGTCAGGGCTTGGTGGGGACTGGTCCTGGGAGATAGGAGTGTTTGGAGGTTCTTGGTCGGTAAGATCAAGCAGCGCATTTTCAAGAAACACACCAAAGAGATGCATCAGGTCCTTCAAGGTGGCAAGAGGTATAGTCGACTCCTTCGTTGGGCTATTGGGTGGTGTCAAGCCTTGGTGGCAGGAAGGAGTCTTCAGTGCCATGTTGAGCAATTTGAACGACTGAAAAATATCGGTGCGATATGGGAAGCTGGTATGGAGTGGCCCAAGAGACTGGAATGCCAATGATGAAGGGAAAGATCAATAAGAACCTGAGGAATTGCTCCTTCTTATGTGTTCGTTACTCTGGACTTCTGTGTTTTCCAAGATTATACTCACAGCTCAAGAGGTTGCTTCCCCTTACGTTCAGCGTTTAGCTGCATAGAAGTGCATTGTACGGTGCATGCATGATATACGAAGTAAACTGCTAATTTTAATTGGATAGGCTCAGGTATTATTCAGTTGGTGGCGTCGCTTTTGCATCGAACCACTAAATCGTGGTGTCGTTCTAAGCTCTGTAGGTATCGGAAGCACCAGCTTAATGACGCGGTAGACTTGGCGACCAATTGCAGTGATGATCACAGAATTGTGATCCCTGTGGAACGGCATCACAGGATTGTGTTCCCTGACGGATAACTTCCCCGTAGGCAGTGGTATCACAAAACTGTGATCCTTGTAGAAGGGTATCACAAAACTGTGTTTCCTCTGACGTACCTAACTGCGAAAACGGACAAGTAGGAACGGGAACGCCCGAGACCGAAGTGGGGCTGGGGTTTGACGGTTATTGAAAATTAATTTTCCGGATAGCTTCAACCGACCACTGCCCCGCAGCTGTTTGCATCGTCGGCTTCAGGCACAGCCAGTCTCAGTTATGGCATCATCCGCATTCAAGCTAGATGTGGCAAGGAAGTTTCTCCTCGAGGAGGGATTTTTTGATTTGAATGACTCAACGGTTGGCGAGCGTGTCTTGGAGATGGAGAGGCGGGGCTTCCCATACCTCACCGAATATGGTATGGACTTTTGCAAGCAATTTGCCTTTGATGAAGTAAGCAGAATGATACATCTCCGTGGCTACCATCTAATCATCTTCAGCGAATCCGATCTATCCTCGAAACCTCCCTTGAACGGTGCAGCCTCGGACACTGGCTGAGATACGAAGAATTCCCTGGCCATGTCGAATGCTTCAGGAGGGGTGGTCTAAAAGCTGGTCGCCGTGTTCTAATGGTGCATCTGTGGGCCAAAGGATCGCGAGCGGAGTATTATACCCTTTCGCATCTTTGCGACTTGGCGACTACGAAGGGGAGAAGATCCTTATATGAGATTCCCCAATCCGAGCTGGATCGTGTGGGCTCTAAGCCCGAGGTGAAGGATTTTCCAGATGGTGGCTTGTAAGTAATATATTTATATTATAGTGTCAGGATCTAACAACTGTAGGGTGATTCTAGATGCTAGACTCGGTTTTAAGATCGAGCAGGGATATGCCATTACGTTTCTTTTTGCCACGGATGAAGTGATCGCCAACTGGGCGAAAATGATCCTTCCATACTCAGAAGGACTGGAACATAAAGTCAGGGAATTAGAGATGCTGAGCGCGAAAATTGGACTGAACTTCACGTTTGAGGGTTCTGGTGGAAGCACAAAGAATTAGCCCTCATTATTCACGGTATACTGCAGCTTCTGTGGTTATATCCACAAAATCATCTTGAGCCGCCCATCCGGTCGACAATGCTGGGATACTGTTCATAATCTGAAGGATAGGAGCATCAAAATCTTGTAGCAAGTCGAGATCTTGGGTTTGCCCTTCTCCGGGATTGAAGTAGATTTCCTCCGTTGACATGTTCGAAGAGCTGTTAGGATTGACGGTATCAACCATGGTGCTCAGCCGGGGTAAGGCTATGGGCGATTGCATCGGGATTAGGGGTGCAGATAGTTCATCGCGAGCCTGGCCGAGCTGGCGAAAACTGTCACCCTCATTGCTTTGGGAAAAAAGACTTTGGTCCAAAGCCGTCATACCGATCCTGTCAAACTTGGCTTGAGCTCCCGAAATATCGGAGCCCAAAGCTGCCACTTCCCATTTCCGTTTCTTCCCCACAAGAACGCTTGATCGACACTGGCTAATTGCGAGAGCTAGTTGTTTGTCGGATTGTTCGCGTAACTCATCACATGTTTTCTTGATGAATGACCGTTTTCTTTCGCATGCTCCATCATGTCTATCGGCATGTCTAATGAACTCGCTCACGAGCCTGAAAACTTTAAAACAGCACACACAAACTTCCTCGCATGTGACATCTGAATTAATAATTAATAGAAAGCAGCGTGTCAGAGAGGATACCACTTGCGTTGTTGGAAGTGCCGCCGGAGTCCCTGCATTTTCGGAAATGGCTTCGCACGTTCACAGGATGGACAGAAACGCCCTTTGGAAGCTCCAGTCTTCCTTATAGTGCTCATAGGATTTCCGGCATCTTTGTCATAAATATGTTGGTCATCGTCGCTCTCGCCTTGGTCGTTGTCGTCCTTCCCTCGACAGTCATCACCATTGGGCCTCGAATGGGCTCGACACCGCTCGAGTTCGGCTTGCAGGCGCTGTTCGCGGGACTGGAAGAAGTCAGCTAAGTGACACGACTTATCTTAGCGTTACTAACACGATATTCTTCCAAATGCTCGTGTAGATTTAATTCTGTTTCAAAGAAGGCTGAGCAAGCACACTGTGGTTGTGTGTTTGACATTATTGAGGATGGGGTGCCGAGGAGAGGTAGGTCCACCCGACTTTTCCCATGGTTCGGCGGAAGCTCGATTAGTCAGAATCCGAGAAATCGGCCGGAATCCAATAAATACCGAGCAGGGCCGCCGCCGTTGGGCAGAAAGAACATCAGCCTTTTGCTCACAGAACTAATGAGGTTTTCCTGACTTGCTCTTAAATTACCGCTCAAGCCATCAAGAATCTACTTCTTTACCTACTTTTCACCTTGACGAGGACGAAGATGGCCCCATGTGAAACCTGCGGAGGCAAAAAGACCGTGAACGGTATTGCATGTCCAACCTGCAGTGGCAAGAATTGAAGATCAGCTGGTGAGCTAACACTCTAGCCGAAAATACTTCTTCATCCTTGATATTGTTAACACCTAGGAGCGTTCAGTTAAGCCAGTCTTTGTCGATATAACTACAATCATCATGCTCACGCAGGAAGATCGTGCGGACTGATCAAAGCGACATGCAGCTGTTATCACATGATCGGATATATCATATTTTCCTGCCTGGAACTATGGTTGCCTGGCCTCGGGGTATTACATTGAAACGGCTACTCGTCCCCGCGCGGTTATGCGACCGACTTCTATTCTCTTAGAAGCATCCCTTGGAATTTCCTTTTTATAAAACGTGGGCTTGAAAAAACTAAAACACGGATGATTGAAGTTCAGGTGTGTAGACTTTTTTCCAACCACAGTATGCGTATTAATTCAAAGTCGGTCAGGTTTCCCATCCACCGTTTATGAAGAGGACTCGGGCTGTTGCAGTTGGATTGGCGATGCGGGTTTGCTGGAACAGTTTTATGCATTTGGAATTTTCTGACGGTACTACTCGGTTTTGAGTTATTGCTCAAATATCCCCGTTCCGGATCTTTGAATTTTTATTTTATTTTATTTTTTTGCCTTTTTGATATTGAGACATCTCCGCAGTAAGAATGCCAAGGTTGTATCGGTTGTTTTGGGCAAGCCACCGTAAAGTAAGACCATTTGCTAGTAAGGAGGAAATGGATGACAAACATCTTGGTAATGCTCTGATCGACACAGACTTCGGGTAGCGGTAATCAATGAGAAGATCGCGCGGAGGTTGCGTATTTTCTGGCAAAGAACTTGAGGCGAAATTTAGCGTTTGACATTGCATGGGTGATAGATAGATACGGGAAGAATATTGGAATAGGGGACTTACAAAACGGTTGGAGAACAGGATCCGTGTCAATCCGGCAAGCACTGTGAGAAGGCGAGTCGCTAGGCAAGAGGACTGGTGGCCCGGGCTTCAGATTACGATGATTGCTATGTCTAGATTTGGCCTCCTCTCTTGTCCGCCTTGGAGGGGCAAGAGGAGATCGACTCTAGACAAACCGTGCCTCCATGCGAAAAGGCCTTCTGGTTTTATACTATTGCAAGTAATTCTATGAGCCTAATTTGGGCGCAGTATTTAGATTCATACCGCGAATTGTCGCAATAAAGCGTATGTCATATGATTGAAAATGCGTCCCCTTTCATTCAGCTTCGGACAGTTTGAGGAGTTGCTTTAGCTGAAAATCTCCTCGATAGCTTTCCATGGCCTCCGCTTTCCAGGTTTCCCAGTTTGAATCGCCTTCGATGCCCAAGGTCTTGAGTAGCCCGAAAAAGAGCCCAATGAATCCGTCCCAATCATCGAGGTCATATCCACAACAGAATTGGATTCGATGAAGAAGCCGCCCATTTCTGACTATCTCCCCAAGATCTGGATGTCCTTTCTCTGCCAAGCACTTGGCAAAGAAAGCTTCATCTTCGCCGATATGATCAGCCCCTTCGTAAAAATCCGCAACCGGAAGAAGCACAATTGGCGAGTTGAAAGCTGCTGATTTCGAATCAGTCTGGGCCCATTCCCAGTCAATAATGCCTGTTATGTTGTAGTCGTTGTCAACGAGGATCTGATCCCCCTTTTCGTCCGCATGTTTCAAGTAGAACATCCCATCGTCGAGAGAGTTTCTTGAAAAGATTTTGGGGATAATTTCTAGGAGAAAACGATGTATCAAGAAAGCATCGACTGGGCGGTTGACGTAGGATTCTTGTCGTATTATCAAATCCAATATCAATCGAATGTGTGCGGTGAAGTATTCTTCTGAAGACGAATAGGGCCCAAGCATTTTCATATGCAAGTCCTGAAAGTCGGTCAATGACTCTCGTGCGATGGGGCCCACATGAGAAGAGTTCTGCTGATTGAAAGAGCCCATTACCGAGAAGGGATAACTTTTCAGTTCAATGTAAATATCCGCAAGCTGACTAGCAATTTTTTGCCTCTGCTCAGGGGTAGTAATTGACCAGCGCAATGATTTTCCAGGCAACTTCTCCATAAGGATATAACCAACACCGACAGGGTTTGATTCGTCTGCATTGAAGTCAAAAACCGTAGGAACAGGAACTTTTGTCTTGCTCAAGAACTGCAATGTTGAGACTTCGCTGCGCAGTATGTAATCCCGCAGCTCCGGGGGTGGGGAAGTAGCGTTGAATCTTCGGATACGCGCGAGCCAGCTTTTCCCATCCTCGAATAAAATCTCGATATGATAATTCATGCCTCCCATAACTGAGCTACGCAATGCTCTGTCATATTGTAGACCCTGGGCTACAGAGCACGCGAGACCGCCGCGGAGACTGCTAGCACGTCGAGTGAGCGCTAAAATATCAATCTTTTCAATAAGAGTCGTGATTTCTTTCTTTTCAGCCTCTTGAGCAGCAGGGTCGTAATGATGCTCATCCTGTTCAGACCGAAAAAAATCAGTAGCCATTTCAATTTGTAGGATTTGATTCACAAACCTCCCACTTTGGGCACGTATGATACTCTGGCCCCAAATGTTTCGCGCAAAGATGGAGATCACAAAGGACGCAGTCCCCATACGTGCGAACAGAAGGTTTGTTGCAACCGTCAAAATCACAATGCCAAATTGCCATTGTTCGAAATTGAACGGGGATATCGTGAAATAGCGAAGCAGAGACGATAATGTCGAGCCTTGTATCTATCTGTTAAGACCCTAGAACGACCCCTCCTGGTGGCTGGAATGACCCGTGCTGAATAAGTAATGTCAAACTTGCATAGACCGTGTACGATTGACACGTGTCCTTTACTTACGCAGTGGTCATCATCATATACGCACAGGCCTTGTCAGCATAGAAGACTAGATCCGATTTAGCTGCAACCCTTGTCACAATCAATGGTACGTGACTTTCGAGGGACATGAGCTTGCTCCTGGGCCCCGTGCTTATCAGGTATGATGATGGGACACTTTCAGCCGCGGCGCTGGGCTACCAGACTTCATAGGCCAATGTCAGGCTTGGCAGTGTGACTGATGCAGTAGCAGCGTCAGACCTTGGGAGGTATCGCATGCATCAGCAGGCAGCATTGCATTCGTGTTGGTGGACTGGACCTCAAATAGTAGGTTCTTCCCCGGAGCTGCTCGAAGATACTCTACTGCTTTCCTACTGCGTTTCTCTATTGTATTCAAACAATTTCTCCATCATAATCAATTTGAAGTCCCTACTTCACCAGCCCAAGATGCCAAGTCCCGCCATCAAGTGTGTTAAGCAAGGCTGTAATACGTGGGCCGAGAGCGGATCGAAGTTCTGCACTGCCCATAGTACGCTACATTTGCCTCGATACACCTGGAACACTTCACTGATTTTGGCTTACCATAGAGTGAGCACTAAACCCGAGACGTTGAACGTGGAATACCGTGTTGTTCGCGCTACATATTGGAGGACTTGGATGATGTAGTTGGGCTCTCCAGATTAGACAAGACGTGCTGGTGGCATTGGTGGCGCTGATTCAATGCCATATGTAAAGTTCAGGATCGGAACTCGGGCATTGAATGGAATTATTCTTGTAATCCAACACCGTGATCTTGTTCCTGTCTGGCTTCTGCCTCGTTACTTCTTACTTATTCCTGCTTTCGCCTCTTGTCTGCCTGCAGGAAAGGGCTCTGTAATCTAGGGAGATGTTTATCAAGAAACCAGTCACGTTCCTGTTGACGGTTCTATCAGTGCCAGGAGCTCATCTCTTGACCCTGGGAGTTATCTTACTCCCAGGGGCTCCTGAAACATTCCTGGGAGCAAAGAAGCAGCTACTAGGAGTGTGAGGGTCTCACGTATACATAGAGGTGGATAGTGTTTCACGATGAACAATCAATATTAAGAACAACTATAGTTGACTCTAGATACAAGACGTAGCGCGAGGAAGCAAAAGAAAGGTAGCTTCCTCGCGTTCAGGGGAACCCATGTACACCATGTGGGTCCCGTGCGGATCATATCTCCATCCGTTCCGCATGCTTCATCTATATCCTTGACATAGCTCCTGGGGCCCTTCATATTCCTGGGGAACTGAAATTTATTCCTGGGGCCTTCAGCCCAGTTCCTAAGTGAATAGGAGATTGGTTTTGGGAACACATTGGCTGGATCTGGGAGCTAGTGCACTCCTGGAACCCTAATTATGGGTCCTAGAGTCGATCTTTTGCCTCCGATGGTCGAGTAAAGCCATCACAAAACACCTTCACCAGGCCTGCGCACAAATCCGAGCCATTTAGTTACTCCCGGAAGGCCAGGCTATAGTACCAGGAACCGCACTTCAGGTTCCAGGAGTTAATGAAGCTGTCAACAGGAACGTGGCTTTGGTTCCGCGAGGTAGAGGTAGAAGGCCCCAGAAGCTACGCTGGGGTTCCTGGGGGCTGTGTGGCTCCTAGAAGCGGGTTGTAGGCTCCTTGAAACTGTAACAAAGCCTCCGGGAGCAAGAGAACTCTCAGGGCCGAGTTGTGTGTCCCCAGGGCTGTTAGATCGGCGGACCGATCATATCAAGAGATGAATTCGCCTTAAATCCAGTCAAGAACTTAAGTTAGTAGAGTATCTTAGCAACAAAGTAGTAAACACCCTCCGCCACATCTCTACCATTTTGGGCTTCCACCCGTCCTTCTACCATCCTTCAAAAGATTATCAACTCGCTGTAAAAACATGTACCAGAGTTACGATGATCAGTACAGCTCCAAAGGCGGCTTCGCCAACAGCTCCATAGTACATGATGGTATAGTATGGAAAAACTCCATCCCTGTCAAATAACTCAAAGGTGGATCGAGATTCGTGAACGCGGCTTGATAAGAACCCTCTGTAGCCTTGAAATGCGTTGGTGGCAGCGGCAACATGGTGTTGATCCCGCGGCTGATAATCTAATAACATTCGCAAATGACAGATCTCCGCATCTATCGTGATACTTTCTTGCGCCTCATAAATAGGTAGGAAATTGGTATAGCTGTAAACGGTTTCTGGAATATACAGGAAGTGTTGAACCTCGTCGTTGAAGCGGACTCGGTTCGAAAGTTCGCGGGAACGATGTTTTCGAGATACGCCAGACTGCATGTTTGGAAGAGGTTCAGTTGTGGTCAGGAGATGTTTCAAAATAAAGACGTACCTTGTCTTCGAGTGATTTTTGTATTTGACAACGCCGTGGAGAAAGTAATATGCTCTTTTTGCTAAGAAGTTCATCACCGGTTTCCACAGAAGTAAAATCTTTCTCGGAAGAACCAGAGAGTGTGGAAGCGTCCGATTCTGATCGAGGAAAAGCGCCCGATAGCTTGGCGGCGAAGGATTTGCGGGGCCCGAAAAGCCAAGTTGTATCGCTTTCTTTGTCCCTATAAAGGCAAGAGAAATTAGTAAGTATCGATTACATTCACACTTGATCATTGATTCTTACCATCGAAGCAGTACCGGTGAAAAACATGGTATCTTCTGCTCCTGTTGTGTCCATGCCCTCCAGAGAGCATTTTCTAGCCGCTTGAAGTTCGGCAGCGTTGCTCGTCGCTTGTGGATGTAATTTTTAGTAGCTCGGACGTCTTCCAATTTCCAAGCCGTGGATAGATAGTCGGCATTCTGAGTGGGTTCATCTTCTATAGAGAGATCGTCGAATGCTGTTGGCATTGTACTGGGCAGACTTCCTCTTGGAAGGGATGATGGTCAGAAAAGAAAGTATGAGGCAGATTGAAAAAGTCGGTTCTTATCTGCGAAGAAGTGGCGCTGCGGTTCAAATTTAAATGCTTCTAAGACCAACCTCTCGCGACGTTCACCTACTCGGCTCTTTTACGCAAGCAGAACGTCACATCAGCTCCGCAGGTTAAATCAGATTTTCCCGCTCCCGGTACATTTTAGTCTTTAGCCATAGCGATAAAGCATTTTATACAGCCAATGTCTTGCTTCTTTTACCGCTTTCTGGATATGGTAAATAGTTGACTGGTAGAACGCGAAGCAAAGTTTCAGGGTCTAGCTCTACATTGCGCTGTCCTTTTCCGACAATGACAGGCGAAATACTGCGAAGTTGAATGCCAACGACACATGTCCCCTAGTTAACGTATGCTATAAAACATGCCAAGAAAGAAATGAATGTCTCCTGCCAGACGGATTTAAGAGCTTGAACCATGACTGACAGCTTCAAGCTAGTCTGGGTCGGTCGGGAGAGCATATATGAACGAGGAAAAGGTCTTACGTCAGGCAATGCTATCCAGGGATGGCAAAAAGAGCCGCCAATGAACAGCCAACATCGACCATGCTGCAGGTATGTCCCGCGACTGAGGTTGCTTTCTTCAGTACCGTTAGAGACAAGAACCGAGCACACCGGATCGATTATGACCTTCATGAAGTTCGCAACGCAAGATTCTGATTGGTCGTCCTCGGATATAGTGATACAAACAGAACAACCATAGGAAATTGAACCCAAAGGAGCGTAGCCCCGTCCTCGCGCTTTCGGCTAGGGGCCCTTCTTCCACTCCTGCATCTCTCTCTGTCACTGGCTTCCTCGAATCACCGAGGCCCTGCATCACCAAGTTCGCCGGTCGCTTACTGCATTTCTGCATCGTCGTCCGCTTTCCTTGAATCACCAAGATCCCTGTATCACCGGGTACGACTTCTTCTACGTAACCATCCAACCCCTCGGCTGCCGCTCGCGCGGTCGCTTGGATCAAGGTGAGTACAGTGGACCGGCACTGTAGTCCTAATGGGCGTTATCTTCTTCTTCCGTCACACTGTCCTAGGGGGTCATTCTTTCTCATCCCCTTCTTCCACGCCTAAAGCTGTTGAATCGACTGTCTGAAATTGGCCACTTGAGGCCTGTTTTGACCATGAATTCGGCCACAATTGTGCGAGCCTCCGGTCGCGTTAGAAGCTCGTCTCTGCGGAATGCGATTCCCTGGTCGGATAGGGCGCTTCTCATCCAGTTGCGTTCATTCTGGTGCAGCGGGCACTCAAGCAGGACATGATTCACTGTCTGGTTGCCTAATTCGCAGTCACACCGCGCCGTGTCACGTCGTTTGATACGGTCCAGATAAGCACCTAAACCGATTCTCCCGGTTAGTAGCTGCATAAGTATCGACGTAGTCGCTTGACGCAGTCCTGACCAATATTCCAGTGTCTTCTTTGTAGGCGCCTCGATCAGGCGTCTTGTCGGTTGGCTGGTCTTCTCCTTTGCCCACGCCCTCTCCCACTCGATCTTCGCTTCACTGCGAAATCGACGCTTGGCTGCGGCTGCGAGAAGGATATATCGATAGTAAGTTTCTGTAGCCTATCGAGTTCTTGTGCGGCTCCTTTTGCGCGTTGATCTACTATCTCGTTGCCGATAACCCCCTGATGAGCAGGGATCCATCTGAGTTCTGTTCGAATGCCCCTTTCCACGAGTTAGCGGATAAGGTCTAGGCATCCTGCCAGATAGACCTGTCCCGACGGCATCCGCGGTCGGCGGAGCGCCTTTACAGCCGCTTGGCTATCTGCGAAGATAACTATCTGGTTCTTCGCTTGCTTAGCCCACGGTTGTGTGCTTTCTAGCACTAGGGCGAGTGCCACCTTTATTGCACGGAGCTCAGCTGCATACACGGTGGATGTATCCTCATCACTAGGCTACGGCAACATCCTCAATATCCACGGATATCCACATATCCTCTCCGCAGATTGCGGATATAGTATGTCACCTAATATCCGCAATCCTCAATTTTGTGGATATGGTATGCAACCCAATATCCTCCGGATATTTGAGGATATCCAATGGATATAAAACAGGCCAAACATGCCAAGACTCATGGCCTTTTTGAGCGTGCATTATTTATGCGGATTCTATTGTATTTTTCAAGTACTCATAGTGTAATCATTATTGAAGATTTTAATTTGGTAAACAAAATTGTAGCATATTCATGTTACGCAGACTATCTGAGATCAAACTGAAATCCATCAGGTAATCTTGGTTGCTTCCGAATCCGCCCCGACCGTCCTTGTATGCCCTCATCTATTAGCATTTCTGGAAGGCCATCGTCATCGTCATCGGAAGCCTCGGATAATCGTTTCCTTGATCGTTTAAGCTGTAGTTGCTTACTTCGATTATCAGTCTTCCCGTCTTCTGAGTTCTCATCGTAGCTTTCTATCCGTTGTGTATCCTCAATGCCTAGCTCTTGTTCCTCCTCTTCATTATCACTAATAGGCTCGACAGTTTCAAGCTGGGGTATTGGTTTCCGAGCTTGATCTAACAATACAGCTTCTCCGGCGGAAAGATGCTCCTTTATAACCTCAAACTCCTTCTGCTCAACTTCAAATTTAGTGGCGAGCTGATGAAGCATCAATCCTCGGATCGTACTTGGTTTCAATTGGCCACGACGATAGTGGCAGATATCGCGAGCGCAATTGAATAATCGCTCAACGCCTGCACCACTAGCTGGGATAGAAAGAATATCCCGTGCCATTCTTGCAAGAATAGGAAACTCGTTCTCATGCTCTTTCCAGAATGCTCGGGGCTTTTGTCTCTCAATCCCGCGGGCAAGATACCTCGCAATCTCATCATCTTCAGGCTTTGAGAGCTTATCCTGTGGCTGGTTCTGAGAAGCGCAAGCGGTATCAAGATCATAATAGTCGTCATCTCGGGCCTCTCCAGTGGCATCTTGCACGACCATAGTATCTGAATCATGATGAAGCATATCTTTATATCGATGAAACTCTCGCTTAAGGACTCCATGGTAGTGTTTGACGTAGTCAATTTCACCTTGCCAGTCTGTTGATGCAAAATATCGAAGCTTTTTTGATGGGCAAAGGATCGTTGCAAGTGCATATATTTCACCGTACGATTCATGATCAGTAGCAGTGTAATACTTTGATAGCTTCTTCTTTGCAGTCTGAAGAGCCTGGAGCATACTCTTCTTCCAGATAACCCCTTTATTCTTCAATTTTCTCTCAGCTTCATCAAGGTGAGAGAAAAGCTTGTTATAAATACTATAGATGTTATGTGTAGTAACATCCCTAGTCTTTGATAGCATAGTAGTGAAGTCAAAGAAAGGCTTGGTAAGAAGAAGAAGATATTCAATCTGTCGCCACTCTTCTTGATCAAGTTTGAAGTGGAGATATTGATGATGTGTACAATACTGATCATAAAATGGTTGTAGCCTTTTAGCACGGTTAAGCATCATAAAGGTTGAGTTCCATCGGGTTTGGACATCTTGGATAGGGATCAAACGAGGCTCCTTAGTTTGCAGGGCCATAAATGCCTCCCGGCGTTGTGGGCTTGCATTAATAAACACAGCAAGACCTCGGATCTTAGACTTTTTATTAGTATGAATTAAAAGACTAAGGATGAGAAGTAATTCACCTTTTTTAGAGTATCCGCAATTTGTCTAGTTGAGCTAGATTGTTTAGTCTGAAATGAATGGGTTCGTTCATCAGACCACTCCAGCTCAATCTCTTTATTCGGTGGCGTCACTTTCAGCTTCCCAAGAAGCTCATTCAAGCTTAACTGGATCACATGCGCAATACATGGAACTCGGAAGATCAACGTATCCGATCGGCTTTGTGACTGAATTGTCTCTTGGATATTCATCATCAGGGTGTTATTATTAGTTGCATTATCTGTGGTCACGGATAATACGCGGTCGGTGATTTCATGATCAGTCAGAAGCTGAATCACGGTCTTACTTAGATTCTCACCCGTATGTGATCCGTGAAGATGCTCAAATCCAAGAAGAACTTCACAGTAATTCCAATCTTGATCAAGGAAATAACCTGTGACAGCCATAAATGCTTGCTGGAATGGCGACGTCCAGCAATCAAGGGCTATTGAAAGGCGACTCCTATCTGGAAGCCTTCTAAGAATCTCTTTTTGGCTGCTTTTGACTGTGGAGTCGAGATAACGCCGCATACTTCGCGCAGATGGGATATTGACCTTGCTCGGGGCTTGTTGGATAACCTCTACTAGATCCTTGAATTGGGTATGCTCAATGATTCGGAAAGGTAGGTGAGCGGTAGAGATAAAGTCTAGTATCGCTTTTGCTAGACGCTCCTGGGAGAAGGATGGGTTTTGTGGGAAAGTCGGCTTTAGGATAGTATATAAAGATAAGTAAGAGAGATATTGAGAGTCCAGGTTATAGATGAAAAACATACCATTTGTTTGAGCATCTGATCAATCTTCTGGACAGGCTTCCGAGTACAGGAGCCTGCCTTGATATGTGCATTCATTGGCGATGAACCAGCACGGCGGAATCTTGGATGAACAAGGGTACAGAGACATGTTGTACACATAACTTTTGGCTTGCCAGTCTTTTCATGTGCAACTTGATTGAAGTTATCCCATATATTAGACGTCTTTTTTCCATCCCAACGGATAGAGTCTTGTATATCTGGCTTTGATCCAAACTCTGTGTTTAGCCACCAAGTTACAAAGCTCTTCCGGGATTCATCCATCTCCCGACTAGGCTTAGAGGAATAGAGGACCCAGTACTGCTGAAGAGGGGGGCCAACACGAGGAAGCGAGAGAGGTGCAGTTAGAGATGAAACTTGCGACACAGATGTCAATACAGTCTGGCTGCTAATAAGAGCGGATATGTCATCGGAATGAAGTATGTCGGGATTCAGACCTAGATCTGAATCGGCGTAGAAGGAGTACTGGGACTGAGATGCCTGTGAGTAAGACATATTGTACTTGATCACGGGTTACCTAGGAATAGGCATTAAGAGAAAAAGAGAGAGAGAAACGTACATGTAAGACTAGCTGGGAGTATCAGGGGTATAGCAAACAAAGTCACGACTCACGGGCGCGTTTTCCACATATCTTGAACTTTCAATGGCGATGATTGGCTGTTACTAATCACTAGTGCGGATATTTAAGGACAATTGAGGATATCCGTGGATATCCGTGGATATCTGTGCGGATATCCGCTATATATCCTCAATTATCCTCAGGCATTGATTTCAGGGAAAATAAATCAGAAGTCTATAATATCAGAGCTTCCGACCAAGATTTCTTCATAATGTTATACAAATTACACTTTAAGAAGTTAATACACTTTTAAAGGTAGATCAAACCATTTTTTTCATATCGAGCTTATTAGATTCAACAGATAAACAGCGATTTCAATCGTATCTACTGAGTTCAGCTAAAATATTCTCTACTACTATATAGAGTAAATATATATTTCTACGGTAAAGTACTATAGAATAACAAAAACTCACCTATATCCTCTAATACATTTAAAAGTGAGATTAATACTGTAAGTAATGATAAAGGCGATATATGTTGCTCAATACAAGACTATTTCTTATTATTTCATTGCCGAATAGGATAAACAAGGTCGGAATTATGGTCATGACCGAACATGTATATCTTTTGTTCTGAAAAATAAATTGGTAAGCTGTATAAGAGGCACATGACTACCTCCAAGTAGATGATTTATGCTAGTGCGGATATCCGCAAAATATCCTCATATCCAAGTGGATATCCATGGATATCCCCATTGAGGATATGGTATTGAAGCAATATCCATTATCCTCAATTTGTGGATATGGTATGTGACCCAATATCCAATGGAGAGGATATGCCGCAGTCTACCCCCATCCAATAGCATGGAGCTCGCATATACGCTCACGTATAGCAGGAGTAAGATCCTTAGAGCGAGTTACCATAGTGAGAGAGGGTAGCAGAAAGGGTATAGCATATAAAAAGTAGTAATTTCAAAGAGACAAATCCTGGGTTTTTGACAAAAATGCGCGTATGTTAGCGTGGTTCTATACTACGCGTTTTAGGTAGGCGGTATAAATCTATAGTGGCGGTGAGCTAGGTGGGGCCATAGGGGGATGCAAGAACTTATGTCCACTGACTGTAGCGTTCTTCTATATGGTACCAGACGCGTTCATTGGTCAGAAATGACTACCCCACCAGCTTTTGTGACATGGTCTTTGGAAAGGTCATTGTCACAAAATACGGGCGCCGATCTGAGAAAAATGTCTATGAATTTTAATCGATAATTCCAGAACACAGGCTCTGAGAATGCTTGAGCGAAATGAAAACACCCAGCTTATGCACGCTAGTGCCAATTGAATACGCAAACAATGAGACAATAGCCCTATCAAGCGATAACAAATAAGATCAAGTCGCTTCCTATCTTACTCTTTCTGCCGGCCTTTCAAGGTGTCTGTAGTTCAGTGTGCCTCCGCTCCAGTGCCAAGAGCATGCGCAATAGAAGACTAAACTTCTCGGTTGCCTCCGGATACGTCAAGGATAAAATTATGCTTTATGGCTGAGAGATTGGCTGTTTGTGCGATGATGCAGGACCATCTTCGCGACTTGGGCGGCTTGCAGATGAGCGGTGACTGCTCACCATTTAAAAAGAGGCTTCCCTTTGTAAGAAACCACTTGTCACCAAGGGAAAGTGGGTTTCGTGGAATATCAACCTAGGTCCGACACTACATGTTTCAACATGGAGTCTTTAACAGTCAGTATTCCTTGTCGTTCTACGACCACCATGTCACTGACATTCAGTATATAGACCATGCGTATCGCAGCTCCCCTTGACTGCGATCTTTGCACACAAGGCTCCAACGATTGCTATGCCCTCAATCATATCCAATCAGAGATTCAATCGGTGGAGCACGGTCTTCATGATGCGGTCCTCCTGGCCATTCCTCTGGGCAAAAGCCAGTTTGACTTGGCGGTTGAACAGAACACTGTTAGTCGAATCAGAGAGCACTTCACTGACATAAGTCATTTGCGTCTGCTGAGCTCTGACCCTCTTTTCGCTGCCGAACTCGGTCGCTCGTTTCCCGAAACCGCATTCGGTGCTTTGACGCAAATGAGACGTCAATACAACCTGGCGGCGAGTTCAATTTACATATCAAATGACCCACGCCGGATCCGCTGGTTCGAGACCGAAAACAAACGCATTGAAAGTCTCCTGGAGGTTTACCAACAGCAGTTGGTCGATCTAGCGGAAATGTCAATTTGTATCAAGCAGCAATAGACGTAATTCAATTGCATCCACAAAGCGGTCCCTTCCACATCTTGACTTATTACTCCTCACTGTAATGGAAGACGCTGCATGTTCACACACTTGACCTTATGCCAGTCATCAGCCAACTGCGGAGAATTTACTCATGCACCTTTCGAGGGGCACGAATGTTTTTTTTAAACGAGTATGGGGCGAAACGTATGCATATGTCTTACTCGCTTCAAACTATTCACATAATACTTTCGCGCAATACGGGAAGAGAGTTGGTAGGAAGACTGGGATGATAGTATTAATGTGTGACCATGTGTCAGCATCTTGCTCGGTAGAACTTCCAAATGCTGAAACATGTTATTGTTTCTGTCGCCCATGTTATATCGTCCTTCAACTCAAGAATACCTTCACTGGGCCTTTGTTCCGACCATCGCCTATTTCAGCCATCACGCCCCATGAAAAATAAATCCAACTAGGACTGTGTAGCTCACTCAAGTTGACGTGCTTTAGAGGCCAATGTTGTTCATGTTAGGTGTCCGCGGCAATACTTAGGATCGTGCAGCTCAGGAAGTACGATCCTCAACATCCTGGTTCTGAACGCCATGGCCTTGATGGATCCCACGGAGCCGGCAGATCCTCTTCGGAATTGGTGCTTTGAATTCTTCATCTCGCTCGCACGTTGCGGAAGAAAACCCAAAGTCAGAATGTCCGAACTGCGTTCTCTTCTGGCTTGGTACATTTGGACCGGGTGGATATTGCCGTGAATAGTTTGAATGGCGAGAGCTCTGACCGCTGGACAGCTGCTGGTGTTGCCCAGGAAGCTGTGGCGGAATTTGATAACTGTCAGTGACAGGTAATGCACCGCTAGGGTGAGCAAACCGTTGATCAGGGTGGCTAACAGATGACAGTATCCCGTCACTGCTATAATTTCCACTGGAAATCGCAAAATTAGCATTTAGAACAGGGCTGGTTGTGAGCAGTCCAAACTTCGGCCACACTTGGCGAGTAAATATAGCAATTGAAGGAAGAGGGGGTAAGGAAACGCTTACTTGACATATACAGGTAGCAGACCCGAGTCGAGTTGAGTCGAGAAGTCTGCCACTGCCCGTCCTGAATCCGATCCCTGGTTCGGATACAGTCCCACAGGCATTGGGGTAGAATGCGGCCCCTGGGTTCCATAATATCCAGCCGAGTCTATTCCTGAGACCCCCAAGTGGGGTGTTACACCGAAAGATCTTGAATGATTCATCGCACCCTCATTGGAATGACCAGACTCCGTGAGGTTCACATAAACTCCCATGCGCGTTTTGCGATACATCGTCTGTTCCCTGGGTCTCCCCATAAGAATGATCACCATGGATGTCGTTTCGAAATCATTTGAATGAGGGTTGCGAGTCACTTTTGCATAAGAATTTTCTTTAGCATAGACATAACTCCATATCATCCCGGGATAATCTGCTCCTCGATCTTGGACAAGTCGGTCGACTTGAGCGCGCTGGTCAGGGCTCAGCCTGTTGTACTGCCATTCAACAGAATATTCTTCTGCACGCAAATGGATCATCTCGCAAAGCTCTTTGCGTTCCAAACACAGTACAGTCCGCTCTGCGCATGCCCAGGTTGCCATTGCTCTGTAAAATTTGTATGCTTCGAAAATGGTGCTGGCTGCCGGAGAAATATATTGCTGTTGGTAAGGCGGAAATCTCCGGGGAGAAGCTTGCGTTGGCTCAACAGGAACGGTAGCAGTGGAGCCTGTTTGACTGTGTAATGATCCGAGAACATCGTGATTGGCCGACATTTGGGCTCACTGGAAGAGGAATTGAGCAGAGTCCTGCATAGCTGATTCTGGAAACGGAAGCAGGTTATATAGCGTTATTTTGATGAAAAGAATAATTTCCGGGAATACGCCACCATTACGCCCAGGCGACAGAACTGCATCTAGGCAGCGATGGACTCAGGGGCACGAGTCATGCTTGAGCATCCTAGTCCTTTGTGTTAGTTCACTACTGTCGGGCTGTGCTCCTAGGAATCAAAATCTGACCCCAAGCCCGTATTCTAGCCCGCAACCAACACCCAATTAGATTGAGATTCGATGAATCGAACATAATTAGTACTTACGTGTTCCAAGATGAAATGAGTGGCTAGACCAAGTGGACACTCTCATGATCGACAGGGAGGTTACGATAAATTGTACTGATTGGACCTTTGCAAAGCTGACTATGGTATTGATTAACGTACCTTTTCTGAGGTTATCCATTTATTCCATTCCACTATTCTTGGTATTCCTTTCCAGTATCTTGCTTGACTCCCGCTCCTCACTCCCAGGGACCAATGACAGGTAGACAGTCGGGGCGAAGGTGAATATATTAAAGGGGTACGTAGCCACCACACAAGAAGCAGGAGAGATAACTCAAGCTCAATCTACTTCCCGAGTGTGTGGTAGATCGCCAATTCAAGTCAATATGGTACTGGTAGGCATTAATAGAACCATTGAATCCTGCACCAGTTACGGTTTGTCTTCAGCCTCATTGGCAGGATCATAGCATGTAGCGTGTCTTGTTCCGTTACAGGACAAGGTCTAGACACAAGACGGACAGAGTCGATGCCAAGGGATCAGATCTCAATGCAGGCCTTAGTGTCCCGTTTCTAGAAGCCGAATGGTCCATTCATCGGAATTTGGTGGTTCCAGCTCAGGAGCAGGGTATAATTGGCTTCCTGCATCTTCGACCAATACAAGGGCTCCAAACGCATCGGACCGGTGTCCCCGGAGCAAGTCGAGGACTGGCCATTGTTTTAAGATACAATGCCACCCCTGTTTTTTCACCCTCCATTCTCGAAAAATACTTAATATCCCTCTGTGACCCTTTATCTCAGCATGCCCAGGCACAAGGTATTGGGGACAACCCAAATCTTTGTCAACTTGGTTGATTCTACAGGCCACTGCATGTATGGATCGTTTCCGATATCTTTCAAACCCAACGATTTGACCTTTTCCTGGATTGTGAAAGCTCTCGGAGAAACTCCAGAAACTGCCCAGCAGCTGCTCGAGCACTGTCATATCTCATACTTTGAGCAGTTGAACACACTCGGCAATATAATTCTGGGAGGTGTGACTGGTCAGACTCTTGCATCTATTATTAAGACTACCAAAAAAATGGAGACTTTACTGGTTTCTTGGCATTGGGTTGAACACTGCGATGGTGAGACAGAATTCCAAGAGGATAAACACCTTTTCGACCACATAATCTGACATGTCAGAACAGGAAGTTGCCCGTTGATAAACAGTTCCGCGCCTCTCAAGGAAAAAGCATATCGCACCTCTTTGCAGGAGGGATGCAAAGCCAGTGGGATGTAGCACATACTGAGGAAAAACCCTGGAAACCAACGTGTTTAGAAATGCCAATTGCCAGTTTACTATAGACATCAATTTGTGCCCTCAATCTCTTCCCCCTTATGGCTTTAGGGCTTAGGGTTTCCTATAGTGCTTTATTGACCTGATCACCACCAAACTGATGCTCCCAAAGAGTTTGATATCTCCCACCCTGATTCACCAGCTCCTGGTGTCTCCCACTTTCCACAATCTGCCCTTCATGCAAAACAAGAATCCGATCCGCTCCAACAATAGTCAAAAAACGATGCGCAATGACAAAAGTAGTGCGTCTAGCTCTCAAGCGGTCAAGAGCAACCTGGATCTCTGACTCCGTCTCTGAATCCACAGCACTGGTAGCCTCATCCAACAGAATTATTGGTGACTTCTTCAATAAGACTCGGGCAATGGCAATCCGCTGCAGTTCTCCGCCAGATAGCTTGACACCATTTTCTCCAACTGTAGTGCTGTACCCATCTACAAAATTCAAAATCTTCTCGTAAATAGCCGCAGCGCGACATGCTTCTTGGATCTCCTCATCTGTAGCTGATCGTCGAGCGTATCGCAGGTTCTCAAGGATAGACGCGTTGAACAGGACGGGATCTTGTGGAACGACCCCGATGGTTTCGCGCAACGAGCTGAGAGTTGTGTCTCGAATATCTTGACCGTCGATTTCAATATGGCCTGACGTCACGTCGTAGAGTCGGAGAAGGAGCCTGAGGATTGTTGTTTTTCCGGAGCCTGTCCGTCCAACTAGAGCGCTGCCATTGATGCTGTGTAGGAACAGGTTTCGTAATCGGACTGGAGGCTGGGATCTGGAAAATGCTTGGAATTTTTGGAAATAAATAACATTTCATGTAGCATAGAAGTATCGTGAATCTCCAAAGCCATTTCCTCTTCTGCCTGTCAGGTGCCATAACGGCGCTAAGGTATATTGGCATGTAACGCCGGGAACGCCTCTGGAACTCTCCATGTCCACGAAAGGGCGCTTAGAAGCGTAAAATGTAGTGATCCTCATAGGAGAAAGCCAAGCTCCTCCTCATTATGGCAATTTTCCACAGACTAAATATATCGAAGGATTCCAGTGGGTTCACCGATCTGAAATCTAGTCCTCGTCGACGATGATGCACATGCAAGAACTGATGCAAGCGATGCTCACTTCTTGGGCTGAAGCTAAGTTGTTGACCATCGATCTATTTGGTCATATTGGAGTCCTATGGCATTTGGTATCAAAAAATAGTAAATACAACCAATGAATCAATTGCAATGCCTGTTGAACGGAACACATTTCCGCCATATGTGGCAACAACCCAAAGACCCCATCAGGTAATTGATGCCGTGGTCATTCCCGTGGGGTAGTGGGGCCCGTTGAAAACACCTTTATAGATTGAGACGATTTTCGACCACCTGTTCTTGTCCCCAGGGATAGAAAGCATCTGAAAAAACGCGAATCTTGCATAAAAGGTTGTCGCGCACCATTTCGCGGGGATAAGGGACTATGCATCTAAGGCAAGTGATCAGTTTTTGCTCTATAGATTCATGCAGCCATCACGCTAGCTCACATCTCTTCTTGGGTTTTCATGACACGATAAATCTCATGAGGAAAAGTCTGCTGGATATCGCCCGAATGACCGGCTCTATCGATGTCGATGACGATATGAAACCTTGATTTTGCTGTACCATTTGAAGGTTGAAAGTGCCAAAAATGTTTCCCTTGCAGTGCCTCCTCTGCAGGGCGTCCAGTGAAGATCAAATACGCCTTCACACTTGCAATGATTTCTGTGTATGACATGTCTGGGAAGTCATCTTCCCGAAGTCGCAGTATCACTCTCTTAGAGCACATTGGAAAGTTTAGCTGGCAAGCGAATGAGTGAAAAGGTGTTTTGGTTGTGGTTCCACCCTCATTTATGATTATTGCAAAGCTCACCTGACCGCTGACCTGATCAACCCCTTGCATTAGTTGTCATCTAAAGTCAGGTGATTCCACCGCCGCTAGACTATGATCCCGGAGGCTTGGCAGGGTTTCTGGTCAGACTTTTGATGCCTCTGTATTAAGGCACCCACTTGGGCAAGTGGTAACTATAGACTTGCTTGGCAAGCCTGGCATGTCAGTTATGTAAGTAGGATTTATTTGAATAAGTTAGCTGATAGCGGCCACGTAATAAAAACCATGCGATCCACACAGTATCTCAACTAAAAGTGTGGCATTTCTGATACTAACATAGCGACTAACGTATTCGGTAAGCGAGCTGGACATGTAAGCGAGCTGGACACCCATCCAAAACGCGTAATTCCTATACTACCCTCTATCTTTAACCACCCACTATGCCACCAATTCGCTCTCAAAGCTCTCGAAATCGAGAAGAGCAAGAGGGTAGGATCTTATTAGCTATTCAGGCTCTTAAGAATCAAGAAATTGCTTCTACACGCGAAGCAGCGCGTCGATTTAATGTACCGAATTCAACCCTCTCTACGCGCCTTAAGGGTGTCCAAAACCGCGCGATTTCTCGCGCCAATTCACACAAATTAACGGATATCGAAGAGGAATCGCTTCAAAAATGGATTATCTCTCTTGATACCCGTGGAGCAGCGCCTCGGCCTTCTACTGTACGAGAAACTGCGAATCTTCTTCTCGCGGCCCGCGGAAGTATACCAGTTCAAATAGTCGGCGAGAAATGGGTCTATAACTTCGTGAAAAGGCATCCCGATCTTTTAACCCGATTCTCGAAGCGATATAACTACGAGCGCGCAAAATGCGAAGACCCTAAAGTTATTCGTGAATGGTTTTCTCTCGTCCAAAAAACGATCCTTTCGTACGGTATCGATTCCGACGATATCTACAACTTTGACGAGACCGGTTTCGCAATGGGCTTAATTGCGACCGCGAAGGTGATCACGAGAAGGGAATTCTACGGTCGGCGAGCACTTTTACAACCCGGAAATCGCGAGTGGGTTACCGCAATTGAATGTATAAACGCGTCGGGGTGGGCGCTTCCTCCGTGCGTGATTTTTAAGGGCAAAGTCTTCGTCGAGTCTTGGTTCGACGGCCTTCCGAAAGATTGGCGCCTCGAGGTTAGTCCGAACGGGTGGACTTCCGATGAAATTGGACTTCGGTGGCTCGAAAAGCTCTTTATTCCGTCTACTTCTTCGCGTACGAAGGGGAAGTATAGACTTTTGATACTCGACGGCCACGGAAGTCATTTAACCCCGAAATTCGACGAAATTTGTGAAAAAAACGATATTATTCCAATTTGTATGCCTCCGCATTCGTCTCACCTTTTACAGCCTCTCGATATTGGCTGTTTTGCGGTATTAAAGCGCTCGTATAGTCGGCTTATCGAAACGAAAATGCGGCTTAGGATCAACCATATCGATAAATTAGACTTCCTCGAAGCTTACCTATCCGCGCGAATCGAGGCATTTAAATCGGAGACTATTAAGAATTGCTTCGCCGCCGCCGGTTTAGTGCCTTACGACCCGGATCGAGTAATCTCGAAGCTCGATATTCGCCTTCGAACCCCGACCCCCCCTCCGAGCCGAGGGAGTGAATCGAGCCGTAATTTCACACCAAAAACCCCCTTTACCGAGAAACAACTACGTCGGCAAGCTTCCTCAATTAAAGCTTTACTTCGTACAAGATCGCGAAGTCCACCGAGCCCATCAGATCGCGCGTTAAATCAGCTTATCAAAGGCTGCCAGCTTGCAATGCATAACGCTATATTTCTAGCGAAGGAAAATAAGGAATTACGGGCCGAAAACGAGAAAAAAAAGAGAAAACGGACTCGGTCTACTAGGCAGATATCTCGAGAGCAAGGCCTATCAGTTTCAGAGGCTCTAGAGCTTATTCAGGTGGAAGAACCAGTAATTGAAGCGCCAATACCCCGTCAGCCAAAACCGCCTCCGGCACCTTTACAGCCGCGTACGAGGGCCTTACCGAAGTGTGGATCATGTGGAATTGAGGGTCATAAGAGAAATGCCTGTCCTAATAGACCTCGATTTTAGCTTATTGAATTTAATGGCGTTTTGGTTGAAATAATTGTATTTAAAAATAATTGGTTTGGATGGGTGTCCAGCTCGCTTACATGTCCAGCTCGCTTACCGAATACGTTACTGCGAGCGCACCATTGAGAAGATTAGATTAATATTATTCACACCAACAACTATTAGATAAGTGAAAAAGTATTTGCCCGACCTACACTCGACCTAGCAGGGAGTGTCCTTTTGGTCATCGCAGGTTGCGATGTCCGAGACCTAGAGTTGAAATTAAAGAACACGCTAATGGATACCCTAGCCAGCTATGCAGGGCTTTGAAGAAGTTACATTTCGACCATCAATAACTCTTGGTCAACCGTGTCAATATACAGGCTTGACTAAGCGGAATTGCGATACTTCCAAGGTGTAGAGACTATTGCATGCGGTTTGTCGAGACTGGCTGTGCAACAAATAAGGTAGTTTCTTGGTATTCACTATTGGTGCTTTTCCGAATAGGCGGCGAATATTGTAAGTCCGAGTGAGATGACCGTTTATGTTGTCCACATATATGATGGTGAGACGGTGATGCGGTCAAGCATGAGATCAATATGTCAGATATTAGGATTTACAACAAGTGTATGAGTAATGTCCTGGGCAAGACTTTCGTGGAAAATGTATTGAAGTAATCACAGTGAGTACATGTTTTCGACGAGGACAGAAACTCGCAAACGAGTTACAGCATGCCACAAAATTTCGGGCCTAGAATCAGATAGCAGCAAAGTGAAAATGAATTGGCAGCTGACTAGCCTTATGAGACTCTCCTCAGCTATACACAAAACAATGATACAATTTCCTGGTCTCAATTACTCTCCAAATTCAGAAAATTCAGAGCTGCTAGGAGTAATGCCAAGGCATACTGGGCATTTACCAGCGTGCCTTTTGTCTGCATCAGGATATAATCGAGGAAGATCTCGAACTTTGCCACTTGGTGGTTCGCAGTAGGCTCGATCGTGGCGCCCTTCAGACATAGTGCAACGCTGGACCGCAATGAAGAAGGTGCAGCCACAGCCATTCGGACCGTCGAAAGTCTTATACCGTAACCAACACATCTAATTGAGAAATTAGAATGAATGACAACCAATAAATGGCATGGAATTTGATACCTCCAAGTGAAAGACGCTTTTGCCGATAGATTGATAAGTGCTAGGATGTATCTCGTTGGAACTTTTAATACAGCATTCGAGTAGGGATCTATAGGACTATATATACTACCAGTACCTTCAAGCTTGAACGCGCGCACGGTTGTCGTTTATCACTCAATAAATCATTAGGGTACAATCCAACGGAAGGATGCCCACCTAGAAAGTAATGAGACTATTGGAGACTGAGCCTTTTGATCCCGTATTGCTTGTGGCCAATCAAACAAGTAACGTAATTCACATGCGAGCTGGACACACAAGCGAGCTGGACACCCCACCAAAAACGCGTTAGTTAATTAGATCTCTCTTCTTTAACCACCCACTATGCCACTAGACCTCGCTTTGGGTCGGGTTTGGGTACGACTTCAGGAACCGTACCCATGGGTCGGGTATGGACCCAAAACCCAAACCCAAACCCACGGGTTTACGGGTTCTTGGCGGGTACCCGCGGGTTACCCGCCAAGAACCCGTTTCAGCATAACTATCCTAAATAGGCCGTGCCAAGATGGATAAGGCTGCTGATTAAGTCAATTACATTACGGTTATTTACCTCTGTTCCAGTCACGTCTGCTGTTCTTTCCCGAAAGCCTCTCTTTCTTTTGTGAAATTTCAGGAAATTGCCTTGTTTTCAGAATAGTAAGTCGTGGTAATGTTATAGACATTGCTCTCGGCGTTTTTCTATATAATTGTGGTAGTGAAAAAAATGCTTGTTGGAATACTGCTCTGTAGATAGGAAATATATATATAAGACGTGCAGTGAACTCAGCGGATATTTATAACAAAGGCATCAAAGTTCTGACGGCCGTCACAAAAAGGGTGCCATAGACTATAAGCAATCGCACTAGTACTTTTGACGGCCGTCAGTTAATACGATTATTAAGTTATGGTGTTCTACAAAGCCTTATATACCGTACAAGCTTTTTTCGATGGCCGTCAGTACTTCGGGACCAACTTGAAGGGAATGTATTAAGTGTAGCGGGTAACCTATGGGTTTATGGGTTCTTGGCGGGTAACCCGCGGGTTACCCGTTCTGCATGCATGCGATAAACCAATTAACATGCCTTTTCTTCTTCCTGTGTAGGCCTTTATTGATATATCATCTTTTTGTCTTCGAAGAACAGGGGTATCGCGAGGCCCCCAAATATAAGTCTACGCGTTTTAGAATCTTCTGTAAGTCGTCTAACAGTCATCAGCGAGAAACCCTTCAATGTGTACAGTCCCTAATGTCTCAATTCACTAATGCCTACGCATCATCTGCGTATGACATAGACCTCCCACTACTAGATAACCTTCCAATTCTTCCTTCGGACGACCTTACCCCTGATCCATCGATTAGTCAACAGGCATTTCCTCCGGTCGCAAGCTCCGCAATCGACTCCGATTTCACACTACAAACCTTCTTGTCTCCGATTCCACCCAACCTCGAGACTGTTCGACCTAACCGTGTCACTCTATATGTGGTATATACTAAAGAAATGACTATCGAGTTCGTACAATAGTGGCTACAATCAGACTTTGGAAGAAAGAAGCGCCTACGCTGGGACTCACGGCACTTCTCTGATGTTTGGGATCATTTTGACCAGGTAGCCAGGGCTACTAATGGGGAACCGAAGGTAATGTGTAAGCTTTGCAAGGCTATTCTAAACCACCCAGGGCTTGGTGATGGGACTTCAACCATGAAGAAACATGTTGCAAGCTGCGGTGTAAAGAAGAGAGGCCCAAATATTAGGCAATTCATGCAAGCGGTATAATACCCTCTTTATCCTTATATACGTCGATTTTAATGATTTCTTAAGGCGCCAGTACCTTCTACCGATACCCCGTTTAGCCAAGAAAAGTGGGAATCATGTCTTCTTCGGTTTATTACTGAATCAAGACTACCATTCCAGCTCCTAGAGCACGCAGGCTTCCGGGATATTATAGCCATGGCCCAAAGAGCTCCTAAGGATGTCAATATTCCGTCTGCAAAGGTAGCACGGAGTCGACTACGCACTACAGTCTTCGAACGCCATCGGAAAATACTCGAGAGCTTGCCCGAAGATGGGAAAATCTCAATTGCCCTTGACTGTTGGACGTCCCCTTTTGCCCAAGCATTCATGGCAGTCACTGGATATTTCATTGACAAAGACTGGAACTATCGAGAGCTGCTTCTTGGATTTGAACCACTTCGTGGAGCACATTCTGGTGCTAATCTTAGTGCTATTCTACTTCGGCTTCTACGGAATCATAATCTGGCCGATCGAGTGCTTACTATCACTACCGATAATGCATCAAACAATAACACATTAGTGGCAAGTATTCAAGAATCGGTTCAGTCTCTTGATCTCGGTAATAGTACAGCAATCATTCGAGTTCCATGTATGGCCCACGTTATACAATTAAGTTTGAAGCAACTTCTCGGACAGATGAAGGCAGAACCAAAGAACAACACTGCCTAGGCCGAATGGACTGAATCCCAGGAACAGTCAGTTCGGGCTAGGCATCAGAAAAGGGAGATTATTGACACTCTGAACAAGGTTCGCCCCTGATTAATCTAGTAGATGTCTAATTCTAACATCGCATTAGCTTCGGGGCCTAGCGATCTTCATTAACGCGAGCCCCCAACGTCGTGAAGCTTTCCTGTCTCTTCAGACGGGTTCGAACGCTCTTGTTCCAATACAGGACGTCTGTACGCGCTAGAACTCGACATTCTTAATACTTCGCCGAGCTAAACGACTACAATCCTACTTAATTGAATTCTGTTCAAAGTATGGCTATCCCCACCTCCAGCTTGATTATAAGCAATGGCGTCAGATTGATTATCTACTCCTAATTACACAGCCATTCTTCCGATTTACGACTGCACTATCAAAGACAAAGGATGTCACTATCCACCTGATCTTTGCAATCTACAATAAGCTCTTTGATCATCTTGAAAAGTCAATCAGGCAGCTTGTAAGGAAGAATGTCGCCTGGAAAAAGCTTATGCTCACTGCTCTCCGCGCAGCCGAGGAAAAGCTAAGGCAGTACTATAGTAAGACGGAGGATATCCATGGTGATATCTTTGCTATTGGTACAATGCTTGCTCCGCACCTAAAGCTCCAGTTCTTCCGAAGTAGAGAATGGGGTGGTGGGCCTGAGTTAGTTACTCGATATCGACAGAGCTTTGAGGACTACTTTGAACCGTATAAGCAACGTCGGTTAAAAGAACAAACTAGCAGTGATCAAGAGCCTACTACGCAAGGCTTAAGCCTAGATCTTGATCAAATGTTCAGCCTCAACCAGGTATCTCAAGCTTGTCAGCAGAACGAACTTACAACATATCTTGATGGTGGTAAGTATACCTAGTCTTTATATTGTCAAACTTGGGTTAATCAATGTTCGTTAGCAACTACTGCTACTATGCCAGTTCGCGCGTTCTGGAAGGAGCACCAGGCTACATTTCCTATACTTGCAAAGCTCGCACGAGATATTCTCTCGATTCCTGCGACTGGCGCGGGCGTTGAGCGGCTGTTTAATACAGCGCGGGATATCTGTCACTATCGTCGCGGCTCACTGAAAGCTACAACAATTCAGGAAATCATGTTGTATCGTTACACGACCGAGTTTGAGGTCCAAGAAGACGTGATTGCTGTCTAGAAGGAGTACTTTTCTGAAGGCGATATAGAAGCGGATCATGAGGAGAGAGATAGTCCAGATGGACAACAGCTAGAAGATACAATTGAGCCAATTAGTGATAATGAGGAGGGGAACGAGGATGATACACAATCGGTTGTTATTCTTGTTCAAACCGAAGCAGCTGTGCAAGGTCATTCAGAAGGTTCTCTTGGAAAGAGGAGAAGGAGTATTGCATTGCAACAGGATACTGAGGGCCGTAAGGATGATGAAGAGCTAGAAGAGGATGATGTACCCCTACCTGAGACCCAACAGCGTGTCTCAGGAAGATCTCGAAAACGCCCACGGGTTTATGACGATCAGTTTATAGAGTATTAGTCTTTGATGAAATTGAAGCTATTCACACTTATTTTGCTATCCAGTATCTGTAAACGTGACTACCTGTAAGCAGAATACATATAAATACAGCCAAAAAAATGCACAATTTGTGTATGTCACGAGATTCTCCATGTTTGCACTGTTTATTAACCCGTGGGTAACCCGTGGGTCGGGTCGGGTATGACTATCAAAACCCATACCCGACCTCGGGTATAGACTTTGGACCCAAAACCCGCCAAGAAATGGGTATGGGTCGGGTAAAACCCGCTTACCCACGGGTATGGGCGAGGCCTATATGCCACCAATTCGTACTCAATCCTCTCAAAAACGTACGGAGCAAGAGGGTAGGATCTTATTAGCTATTCAGGCTATTCGGAAGCAAGAATTTACCTCTATTCGTGAAGCAGCACGCCAATTCAAACTACCGAATTCAACTCTCGCTACACGCCTTAATGGGGTTAAAAACCGCGTTGAATCTCGCGCAAATTTATACAAATTGACTGAAATTGAGGAGGAATCGCTTCGAAAATGGATTCTCTCAATGGATTCTCGTGGAGTAGCCCCTCGGCCTTCTACTATACGAGAAATAGCAGACTTACTACTCGCGGCGCGTGGATCTATCCCTCCTCCTTCGGTCGGCCAAAATTGGGTTACGAATTTCGTTAAAAGGCATTCTGACCTATCGGCCCGATTCTCGAGACGCTACGATTATTAGCGAGCAAAATGCGAAGACCCGAAAATCATTTCTGAATAGTTCTCTCTCGTTCAAAAAACGATTCTAACGTACGGTATCGATCTCGACGATATCTATAACTTTGACGAGACCGGGTTTGCAATAGGCTTAATTGCGACCGCAAAAGTTATTACGAGAAAGGAATTCTACGGTCGGAGATCGCTTTTACAGCCCGGAAATCGCGCGTGGGTGACTACAATCGAGTGTATAAACGCGTCAGGGTAGGCGCTTCCTCCGTATATCATTTTTAAGGGTAAAGTCCTTATTGAATCTTGGCTCGACGGCCTTCCGCTTGATTGGAGACTCGATATTAGTTCGAACGGGTGGACTTCCGACGAAATTAGCCTTCGGTGGCTTCAAAAGCAGTTTATTCCGTCTACTTCTTCGCGTACGAAAGGGAAGTATAGACTTTTGATACTCGACGGCCACGGAAGTCATTTAACCGCGAAATTCGACGAAATTTGCGAGAAGAACAATATTATCGCAATTTGTATGCCTCCGCACTCGTCTCACCTTTTACAGCCTCTCGATATTGGCTATTTTGCGGGGTTAAAGCGCGCGTACGGTCGGTTAGTCGAATCGAAAGTTCGGCTGAATATCAATCACGTCGATAAACTAGAATTCCTCGAAGCCTACCCGTCTGCCCGAAACGAGACATTTGAATCAAAGACTATTAAAAATAGCTTCGCCGCTACCGGTCTAATACCGTATAACCCCGATCGAGTGATTTCAAAGCTTGATATTCAGCTTCGAACCCCGACACCCCCCTCGAGCCGGGGAAGCGAGTGGTCGCCGAAAACGCCCTCGAACTACGTCCAATTACAAAAACAAGCTTCTTCAATAAAAGCCTTACTTAAACAACGCTCAAAAAGCCCACCGAGTCCGCTAAATTCCGCGATTAATCAGGTTTTAAAAGCCTGTCAAAGCACGATGCAATCAGCTGCCTTACTCGAGAAAGAAGTAAGCGATTTACGCGCTGAAAACGAGAAGAAGAGGCAAAAAAGGGCTCGTTCTACAAGGCAAATACCCTCCGGAGAAGGCCTCTCAGTTTTAGAGGCCTCTACTCTAATAGCGCAGTCAGAGCAAGCAGTTTTAGCACCATTGCCCCGCGAGGCAGAGCTAGCTCCGACACCTTCTCAGCCACGTACGAGAGCCTTACCGAAGTGTAGCGTTTGTGGAATTCAGGGTCATAGAATGACTACATGTCCTGATAGATCTCGAGTTTAATTCATTGAATTTAATGGCGTTTTGGTTGAGATAAATGCATTTAAAATTGATTGATTAGGTGGGGTGTCCAGCTCGCTTGTGTGTCCAGCTCGCATGTGAATTACGTTACTGAAAAGGCTGCCTTACGTAAGCGAAAACGACTCCTAGGGGCTCAGCCACTTATGAGCTTTCGCCTGAGACTGAACAGGCGGCTAGTGCGGAACAATGACAGACGTGTTCCATGTTCGCCTGTTTTCTCTGTCGTGCATAAGTTATACGGAGCAGTGATACTAACGCAAAATGCTTGATGACATCAGGAACCTCGTTGCTGGGTAATCATTGCCCCAACACCGGGCTGTATACTACAATAGGTGCAGATCTGAGAGGGAAGCTAGTATAGTATTTGCTGCAGCGCAACACTATACGGATTGAAAACAACTGGGCCCTGATTGCAGATGTTTCCCTTTTGCCTTTGCCGTAAGGCCATGCATAGGAAGCACTGGTCATTTCGCTTCGCTTAATGATAGCCCCCTTCGCAATGAAAAGCCACCACCTCCATTAATAATCAATATCACCATTCAACGAAGCAGGACTTGATCCTCGGCCTTCGTTGCGGATACATCATAATGTGAGACTGCATTAATACACTACACATCACATTGCATCACATCACATCACATCACATCACTTCACTTCACTTCACATCACTTCACATCACATCACATCACTTCACATCACATTACTTCACTTCACTTCACTTCACTTTACTCTACTTTACTTCACTTTACTTCACTTTACTTCACCGTTCTTCATATCACTTCTGTAAAGCACTTGTCTTTCCTTCACGTGTTACAAAATGTCCAATCTGTCTCTTGAGATGTTAGTGTATCTGATCGACACTACTTGGGGAAAGTTCTCAGACATTCTCGTGCCGCTCACCCACAATCAGCGGGGGAATATCAAAAGATGTTCGCAGGTGGTTGCAATGAACCCTTCGACTATTCACAAGAACGCCCGCAAAATGCGAGCGCACATTATTTTGAATGATATTTTGGGGAGTAGCGAAGAACTTTTCTTTCTTTGCGCATTGTCAGCCCAACCTACTATACTCGGCACCTTGAAATCGGATGCATATCTCGCCAGTCTCTTGCAATGGAGAAAAGGAAAGACCTGCCCAGAAGGACTGAAGTATGCAATCACGGACGCTTATTCTCTATTGCCAAAGAAGAAAGCCGCACGTAAGTGACCAGAAATAACCCACCCAGCTTGCCTCATAAAAATACTGATATACTCAAGATGATCCGGCATACCGAACGATCCTCCAAGAGGAAGATCTTGCCAACTTTATGAAAAGCTATTCTGGAATGCATAGATCATTTATGATCAGAATACCAGACAATATCAATGAAAACCCAGCCATTGAGATATCACGTGACATGTGCCAAGCTCTGATCAAATATGTTATGGAAAGGACACATGAAAGAATGAGGCCTGTCGAGGCAACTCAGGAACAAGGATAGATGTACAACACGGTGGGGTTACCATACAGCATGCATGACTGACCAGGGGATATGTTTGCTAAGACATAGCCGGTCTCTCCACGGCCAGTGTAGATAGCATGCACCTCTTCACCACCGCCAGTTATCTGCGCATAACCGCGTCCGCTACCCTTGTCAACCACAACTGCACACACGTTCGGCCATTGTTCATATTTGAAATCGTTTTCGCCGGTAGTTTCCGCGGGCGCAATTCGGACTTTGTCGTTCCCTGACATCTACTTGTGTCAATGCTTCACCAAGAAAATATAAACAAAGTGAAATAGAACAGAACAGAGGATTATGTACCATTGCCACAGCATGTTCGCGCAGATTATCCTTCTCATTTTCACTCCGGAACGAGCTCATTTGCGGACCGTCAGATGTGATCGTTGGCACTCGACAGAGGATTTGGGCTAGATGGAAAACACCTTTCAGAAACGATCAAAAAGCGGACGACACAGGGAGTAAGAAAAAAGTACGTTACCAGTCGGCACCTCAACCCTGGCTTGGAGTTGGAGATAGAGCGTACTTGCGAAGGTGGAAAGTTGAGTCAATGAGTCTCAGCCACAAACACTGCTGCTGAATGAGCTATAGATGTAAAACACCGTGGTGGTCTTTGGTGCCCGAAAAGATATCCTTTCCCAATTGTGAAAATGTCCCGAGGGGCAACATTTACCCCTCCGAGCATTTCCGTTTAGGTAATCAGTTCACGTGATGAAAGGGCGTGGTGGTTACGTGAGAATCAAGAGTAGTAACGTGATAACGTATTGCCCGAGCGACCGAATTGACCGAGCGGCCCTACCAAAAATCAAAAAACCTTCAATTTTTAACCACGACTAATGCCACAAAATTGACTCAAATTTTGCTATTTAATACGTGTAGGGCATTTAACATAGGTATGACCTTTAATCCCACATCCAGAGCAGGTGACCTGCCGCCTAACCGTAGGCATAGACGGTAAAGCAGGTTCTGCAGGTGGTTCTTCAGGCAACTCTTGCAAAGATATATCTTCACTGATACCATCATCCTCAACAACTACATCATCCTGACCATCCTCCCGACTCCCGAAAATACCCCTCTGGCTAGTGAACTTATGTTTGATGGCTCGTTTTTTGATCTGTTTCTTATTTGAAGCCTCCAATTGGTCGCAGCGATTCTGAAGAAAAATATGATGATGGACCACTTTTATGGTCATTTCATAGGTCCTCTCAATCTCCCGTTTGGTTGGTGAAGAAAGGATGGACGAAGAGGATTCCAGACCTTTTTTGATCCGAGATTGCGATTTTGAGAACTTTGAGAGAGTCCAGAGAGTATTTGGATCACTATCACTGCCAGAAGATAGTGGTCGCTTAGGAAGAATATCAAGAGGAGGAAGTTCATCCAGGCATACATTAAGCTTTTCCAAGACTCTACTAGCATTGAATGGTGCTAATCCAGTAGCTAAAAAGCTATTCTGGATAGTAGAGGTCTTAAAAGCTCCCTTTCTTGCATCTGCAATCAATTCAAGGAAATCTTCCTTATCAATAGAATTGACTCCATTCCGCATCATGGTTGAAACCGCTCCTCCATAAAGCCTCTTCAAAACCGAAAAACAACCCACATCCAAAGGTTGTAAAAGATGCGAGGCATGAGAAGGCATACAGATAGCAATAATATCATTTTCTTCACAAATTCGATCGAATTCAGGAGTTAAATGACTCCCATGACCATCAAGGACTAAGAGGCAGTATTTTCCAACTCTTTTCCCAATATTTGGAATAAACTGAGATTTCAACCACCATAAACCAATTTCATTTGTAGTCCAGCCATTTTTGCTCACAGTCAATCGAGATCCAGGTTGATTTGAATCAAGGGGGATGCGTAGATGTTCAGGAAAAAGTTTCCCCTTGAAAACGAAGAGTGGAGGATGAACACTTCCATCAGCTCTAATGCACTCAATTGAAGTCACCCACTCGCGATTCCCAGCTTGTAAGAGGGTTCTTTTCCCATGGTACTCAGCTGAGGTAATAATCCTTTGTGTGGTACCAACTCCCATGGCAAAACCAGACTCATCAAAGTTGAAAATATCATCCGAAGTGATACCCCATTTTTCAATGGTATTTTGGACCAAATCAAACCATGGTTTGATAATTCGAGGGTCCTCTGAAAGAGCCCTTTGATAGTCGTATTTTCGAGATAATCGTGTGGACAAATTTGGATGTCGTTTGACAAAGTGAGATGCCCAATCTCTACCAACAGTAGAGGGGATTGCTTTTTGGGCATGACGGAGTAAATTGGCCATATCTCTCAACATAGGCAATGTAAGAGCAGCACCCCTCGTATCCATATCCAAGAGCCATTTTTCAATCGATTGCTCTTCAACCTCAGAGAAAATAAAGCGATTGTGTCGTTTTTCAGAAGCAGCTTCACGCCCCTTAAGGCGGGCCTTCAAAGTTGAGACTGGTAAATCAAAAGACCGCGCAGCAGCTGCAGCAGAGGGATATTTACCATCTTTTATAGCTTTTATAGCTAATAAAAGACGACCCTCCTGTTCTAATAATTTTCTCCTTCGATCAGACCGTTGGGGGGCATTATCATTGTGGTAAACAAGAGATGTTAATTTTTGAGATGGCTTTTTGGTGGGGCCGCTCGGTCAATTCGGTCGCTCGGGCAATACGTTATCACGTTAATGGGGCTTGGTGATTGATTTGTATTGCGTCCTGGTCAGGGCGCATAACAGGGCGTTGATACTTCAATATGGAACAGGGTACCTGAACTTCCGTTGAGTGACTTTGGTGAAATTTACCTACAACTATTTGAGACTCATTTATGTAATCTTGATGCGAAGAGAGGAGAAAAGAAATAAGAGATGAAGATGACAAAAAAAATTCGAAACCATACCTGTCAACATTTTTCGCTTGTTCTCTGATGTGCTCTGGCCATGACAGGTGCAGAAGGATACTACACACTTCACCTCACTTCACCACACTTCACCTCACTTCACCTCACTTCACTTCACCTCACTTCACTTCACTTCACCCCACTTCACTTCACTTCACCCCACTTCACTCCATCCCACTTCACTTCACTTCACTTCATTTCACTTCACCCCACTTCACTCCATCCCACTTCACTTCATTTCACTTCATTTCACTTCATTTCACTTCATTTCACTTCATTTCACTTCATTTCACTTCATTTCACTTCATTTCACTCCATCCCACTTCATTTCACCCCACTTCACTTCACTTCACCCCACTTCACTTCACTTCACCCCACTTCACTTCACTTCACCCCACTTCACTCCATCCCACTTCACTTCACTTCACTTCATTTCACTTCACCCCACTTCACTCCATCCCACTTCACTTCATTTCACTTCATTTCACTTCATTTCACTCCATCCCACTTCACTTCACTTCACTTCACTTCACTTCACCTCACTTCACTCCACCCCACTTCACTTCACTTCACTTCATTCCACTTCAGCAGCAATCGCTGAAGTCCCAGAACTCTAGACGATGGCGGTCTAAATCACATGTGAGCTCCCAACTGTATTACTGAGGATCTATGGCTCGATGGAGCTAGTACCATTCAAGCGCGCGGCACCCTTTCCAAAAGCATCAACAATCTGTGCCCCGGATTGCTTCTCACCACCTGTAGAAGTAATCTTCTCTACATCCAATTCTATCGATGGCGTATCCTAGGTAGAAATCCAAGTATTTGTACGCTAGTTCTGCAAATGCGTCCGTATTGTAATGTTCACTCATAGAGAATAACGGAGGAAGATGAAGATTTACCCAAGTTTTCGGAAGTGTTCATTGATAGATGACCTCTGTATCAGAAATGCGCAATGATCGCCATAATGGGAACATAGACTATGTAATCTAGACCATCCGGGTAAGTCGGTAAAGCCTTTACCAAGATCTTGCTTTGACCTCCATTCAAAAGCAAATCCGTCGGATCGGCCTCACGCAGGAAACAACAACCATGTAGCAGCAAGCCCTGAAGTCGGAGAATCTTTGCCAATGATGACAACCGGGGTACCGTGTGAGACATTGGTACAATTCAGGGGTTATATATTGATAGCAGCCTCGTTGCCGTGGGCAATCCACTACACTGCCCTGCCGTGCCGACAAGGATCCTGCGAAGTGAATAGTTACCTGCCTCCATCAACAAACCAATTCATATTGAAGATTGAGACCCAATGGGCTTTCTCACCACACTTTGTGGGTGTTTCTTTTCTATTAATCTTATATTCTCGACCTGTCATCGGAGTACTTCTATTGTGTCCTTCTTGGGGAATGAGAACGATACACCGGGGCAAGGGACAGAGGCGGAGGTAAACGCTTTCGAAGGATCCATACAACCTCCATCACCTGTGCTAGCCAGCCTGTCTTATCCTTCACCTCGTGGTTCTACGGAGTTGATATCATTCAACTGTACACCACCTCTTCCGGAGGAATCGCCAGTCGAAAACACGTGGTTATGGCTTCCTTTTCCTTACAAGAGTAAGTCTTCATCGTGAATTATTATCAATGCTTCATACTAAGTGGACAGATTGATGGATCCCATAAAACCACACACCTGCGAATCCGCCCCGCATAATAATTTTAAAGGAATACAGAGGGGTGTTAGAGTGTCACCCCGTGGCTCAAACTTTCCTACTTTTCTATGCCAGGATGGACGATGGAAATCGCAAGGCTGTGCGTATTGAAATATGTCAAATATTGGAAGGTGACAGATCGATGCGCTTGCGGGACCGAAATATGAACCGCCTCGTCTGCGGAGTGGAGTTTCTTGGAAGATCGATATACGAGAAAGCGATAGCAGATGTAAGTTAGACGTATTTGATGATAGAATCCAAGCCATCGCAGACCGCCAAGATTGCCACAGTCCCAAAGCTAGTCATATCAAAACATAGTTCTACGTTTGGTGAGGATACTCCATCTGCTACGATGCCTCTTTACCACTGAATTTTGTGCCGCTAGGCGCCATGCTCGAGTGAAACCTGAGACCCAATCTAGGGCCACGCAGCTTGCATCTAGTACGGATGAGCGATCGGACATAGCAGATTCAGCGTTGTCATGCCTAAGCCAAAAGGGGTTACACTTAGAAGACACTCCAGTCTATTAAAGATGGCCCGGTTCCTACAAATCCAATTGTCAATATCTTCCTACAAGCACGTATTTGCGGAAATGACTTCCCGGCCTTTGGAACTTATACTTGAGACATTACACGATGTGATGAGAGACATACTCAAGTATGCCAAGAAGCAGTTCGTCTGCCCGTTATGCCTCAGTTCGTATTCTCGAGCCGATACTGCTTTCGGACACTGTCGGACGAAGGGAGAAGAGAAGGAGGAAATGAACGACCAAAAAATAGAGAGGTGCAAGATACACAGCGGAATCGGTTGTGTGAATACTGGAGGGGACATTCACAAGTTTCGACACTCTTTGGCTACCGCCTGCGCACGGAAAGAGATTACTATCGAAGATCTAGAACTGGATTTGCGTCCATCACATCGTCCAGCATATGGCTCCTGTCTTAAACGCGACTATATTCTGAAGATGATGGCCAGCGAAATCGAAGCAAGGATTGATATCCTGAGAATCATACTCGCTAAAGCTGGGATACATTACGTCTGTCCGTGCTGCTGGAGCGGATTCGCAACCTCTGAAAGCGTGTTGAAGCATTGTGGCAAAGGAAGCGATGTCAATCATCAAGGCCTTCTCTCAAAGGAGGTGAGGCCTTTCGCCGAGCTCTATGGGAGGCTTATGGAACAAAACATCGATTATACGGATTTGGACATTGATTACGATGGTCATGGGGTCCCGGACTTTCATCGATGCTTTGAACTCGACATAGTCTTGAAACACAAAAGTAAGTGGAAATTATATCTATAGCAAGAAAATCAAGCCCTAATACAGTCTACCAGGCCGGTATCACAAAAGACTGGTGTACAAAGAAGGCATGGGTTTTGGCTTTGGAAATGTGTATTTTCGCATTTTGGATGGAGATTTGTATATTTCACGAAAGTGATTGACTGGAATTTAATTCAGCATTTGAGCAAGCGTCATGAGCTACCAATTCAAACCAAATCAGGGAGATGATGGTAAATAGGATCTGCCGAGGTCTAAGGACTATGCATAGAATATGTGTTTCTCTCACAGTGAGTTGTGTGAATCTCAAGCTTCTATATGCCTTGTCGTTGCATCAAAGACTTAGATGCGAACATGATTGGTAACTGACAAACGAAGTCCAGTTGACCAGGAAAATGAATGTAGGCTGTAGAGGCTGTTATCCGTGTTCCTATCAGTTCCCGGTCAGCATGATGTGCACTGCCGCAACTTTTCAGTCCTGATTTCCTTGGTTTTGTTATTGGACCAAATGAGCGAACTCCATATCACATCATGCCAGGTACGTCCGATCCAAGCTACCAAATGGAGCAAATAATTGTCGCAATGGAAGATTGGTATTACAATAACGAACTGCGCGAATCGCTTTCTACATGATGCGAGGCGAGCTCATTGGTTTGGATTGACTGCCCCACCAGCTTTTGTGACATGGTGTTTGGAAATATCATGTAACAAAACAAGGGGCACCGATCAGAGAACTATGCCCCTTGTGGAAGTAGACCTGAAATTTTGTCTCCATGAATCTAGACCGATTAGCGCAGGTCACGGACTTCCAGTATCAATTACAAACGCCTCTTTAGCGACGCGCCGCATGGCCCGACTGGGATTCATGCACCGAAGGATTTCAGTGGGTACACCGATCACAATCTAGTACTTATCGCTGATGCACGTGCAAGGATTGATGCAAGCGATGCTCGGTCTCTCGGCTTGGAGCTAAGTTGACTGCAAGGTATATAACAATCGAATCCCAATTCTTAAAAGTTGCTGTACTATACGTCCAGGATGGATGCCAACGCCGAGTCTGCTAATTCCGAGAAGAGTATGTTCTTCGCTGACTTTCACTGACAGCTTTGGCTCCTTCACCTTGTCTTGCTTGATTGCATGCTAACCCAAGTTACTTTTAGTGTTAAAACCCGCCTGTTCAATTAGTTCATTTTTGAGTACGGCAACCACACAAGTAGGAACTTTATCAGATCCTCCAGTCAAAGATGAGCATCAAGACCAAAAGCCCCTGGAAGCCGACTCCAAAAAATGTTGGCGAGAGCTTGAAGTTAAGAACATGTTGCTCTCCGGGGACGAAAAGTCGATCAGTCGACTCCGTGAGTTCCGTCTTTATAATGACGCTTACGCCCAAATGGAGGGACTTCAACCTTTCTCCTCTCAGAAGGAAAGACTTGTTTTCCCCCAGAGCTGGGATTGGCGTTTTTCTCAGTCACTTCTTGAGGGCCCGGAGGCTACAGCTGCCAAGCTTGCCAAACAAAGTATCCGCAGATTCTCACAAATTCCTTTTGAAGAGTTGGTTCGAAGGGCGTGTGGACTTCCCTCGCAAGGAATTGACGATTTCCTTCGGGAATACGAGTTCCTCAAAGTGCACGTCTACAGCGCATTTACTCGAAACATTGAGCATCTCGAGCTTTTGGATCAATTGAAGGGAGTAGGTAGAGGCTGTCTCTTGGTGCATGTTCAAACTATTATCTGACAAACTATAGTGTCTGAATGAGATAGATGCGGATCCCTTTGTATGCACTGCAATTGAAAGGGTCTGTCAAGGTGTTGTGTCTCAGAGGAAACCACATGTGCCTTTGACCGAAGAGAAATCGGAGAATATGAAGCCTGAGCTAGACGAACGACTACAGTGGATCATCGACCCATTGCAGCGACTCCTCCAAAGCCCTGACACTGCCCAAAATGTACTACGGCAACTGAAGATTTTGAAAATTCGGTTTTCCAAACTTTACAGATCCCCTGAAGGATCTCCTGAAGCCACTTGGGGGGTATTCAGTACTGATACACTTTTCTTTGAACAAATTCAATGGAGTGACGTGTCTGACCTCGCCATGGCTCTGTCGAGAAAAGACCAAGATGTCTTTTCGCAATGTCTTGTGAACACTTTCTATGCAAAGGACCGTCATGCTCGGCGAGCACTAAACGCACGATGGAATTGCCTCAGTATTGCAGTTGAAGAATGTATGGTTGCCGAGGTCGATATATCTCGGAAAGTGGATCATCTCGCCCAGGTAGACCCGAAGCTATCCCACGTTGGTACATAATCTAACCAAGAAATGCAGGAGCTCTACCGTGTTCGCAACTACTATTCTCTGACTGCCATCGTCCAGGGTATCAAAGCAAGTGGCTTGCCGACAAAAGCCTTGAGAAACTTTGGGTACCTGATCAATTCTGAACATAATTACCAGAGGTATCAGCTACTCATGAAACACATGAACACCAGACCTGGAATTCACTTCCTCGTTCCTGCATTGAGTACCGCTGTCAGGGGTAACTTGGAGTTGGCTGATATGGTGATAAATGCGCATGCATGTTACTATGTCGAAGGATATCAACGCAATTCTTTGGTTCGTCTTTTCATTTCTTGCTTAGGACGTTGACACACAATGCTTTACCTGTACCTTACTTGTAGACAAGCTTTTCTGAATTTTTTTACAATTACGATTTTTTTAAGGTTACAAGGCAGAAAAACCATAGACTCCTGTTTGATTATTCTTACCCGCAGGCCCAATGAGATTCCTGGCCCTGGACCATGCATGTTTGATGAAAGATTACTCCCATGACATATTGTTGCATGACTAGATAAAATGCCTCAAAGTGATCTGAGTCTTACATATGGAGAGGCAGGAAAGAGATAGGGGAACCTAAGATTTGGCACACCCTTTCTTGACGCTGAAAGGCATAGGTCAGAGACAACAAACAATCAATCGAAACCAAATCTATTGATTTCCGTTCGGTTCGAACTACAGCGTAAGGTCAGAACTAACTTGGAAAGTGGAGCAGACATTCGTAAGGAAAGCAAACCTACAGGCCCCCTCAAATTGTGCTTGCTTTTGGGGCGTCGAATATTCGCGGGACCACCACTAGTGCGTCGACCCACCTGCAGTCGTATTTCCATCCTATAGTCTTTGCCTAGTTCCGGGTTAGTGGCTCATCAATCCACCGCTGCCTTCCACTTGTATTAAAGGCGGGCTACCATCCCGTCATTCACTGTGCGAAGAGCCTTCATGCAGGCCTCGCGCTTAACCATGGATACTTGGCATCCCCCATCAACTTCCACCTTGTTTACGCCTTACCATCCTCACTCGGCCACCTCCATCTCAGAGAATGCCGGCCCCCAATCCAGGCCCAGCTTTTCCAAGCTTCCGATGTACCCATACCCTCAACCGTCAGTCAAGCTTACTGAGCTCCCCCTCAAAAGCCAGCAAGCTCCCGATCTGGTAGACATCCTGGATGGACAAAGCCAACAACGTACGATGAGATCTCCGTCTAGATTACCGACTACTTGCTGATCCTTTGCAAAAAACCCAGAGACTTGAACAGTTCCCACCTTTCTTGTGTCAAATCTAGACTGCGGCATATCCTCTCCATTGGATATTGGGTCACATACCATATCCACAAATTGAGGATAATGGATATTGCTTCAATACCATATCCTCAATGGGGATATCCATGGATATCCACTTGGATATGAGGATATTTTGCGGATATCCGCACTAGCATAAATCATCTACTTGGAGGTAGTCATGTGCCTCTTATACAGCTTACCAATTTATTTTTCAGAACAAAAGATATACATGTTCGGTCATGACCATAATTCCGACCTTGTTTATCCTATTCGGCAATGAAATAATAAGAAATAGTCTTGTATTGAGCAACATATATCGCCTTTATCATTACTTACAGTATTAATCTCACTTTTAAATGTATTAGAGGATATAGGTGAGTTTTTGTTATTCTATAGTACTTTACCGTAGAAATATATATTTACTCTATATAGTAGTAGAGAATACTTTAGCTGAACTCAGTAGATACGATTGAAATCGCTGTTTATCTGTTGAATCTAATAAGCTCGATATGAAAAAAATGGTTTGATCTACCTTTAAAAGTGTATTAACTTCTTAAAGTGTAATTTGTATAACATTATGAAGAAATCTTGGTCGGAAGCTCTGATATTATAGACTTCTGATTTATTTTCCCTGAAATCAATGCCTGAGGATAATTGAGGATATATAGCGGATATCCGCACAGATATCCACGGATATCCACGGATATCCTCAATTGTCCTCAAATATCCGCACTAGTGATTAGTAACAGCCAATCATCGCCATTGAAAGTTCAAGATATGTGGAAAACGCGCCCGTGAGTCGTGACTTTGTTTGCTATACCCCTGATACTCCCAGCTAGTCTTACATGTACGTTTCTCTCTCTCTTTTTCTCTTAATGCCTATTCCTAGGTAACCCGTGATCAAGTACAATATGTCTTACTCACAGGCATCTCAGTCCCAGTACTCCTTCTACGCCGATTCAGATCTAGGTCTGAATCCCGACATACTTCATTCCGATGACATATCCGCTCTTATTAGCAGCCAGACTGTATTGACATCTGTGTCGCAAGTTTCATCTCTAACTGCACCTCTCTCGCTTCCTCGTGTTGGCCCCCCTCTTCAGCAGTACTGGGTCCTCTATTCCTCTAAGCCTAGTCGGGAGATGGATGAATCCCGGAAGAGCTTTGTAACTTGGTGGCTAAACACAGAGTTTGGATCAAAGCCAGATATACAAGACTCTATCCGTTGGGATGGAAAAAAGACGTCTAATATATGGGATAACTTCAATCAAGTTGCACATGAAAAGACTGGCAAGCCAAAAGTTATGTGTACAACATGTCTCTGTACCCTTGTTCATCCAAGATTCCGCCGTGCTGGTTCATCGCCAATGAATGCACATATCAAGGCAGGCTCCTGTACTCGGAAGCCTGTCCAGAAGATTGATCAGATGCTCAAACAAATGGTATGTTTTTCATCTATAACCTGGACTCTCAATATCTCTCTTACTTATCTTTATATACTATCCTAAAGCCGACTTTCCCACAAAACCCATCCTTCTCCCAGGAGCGTCTAGCAAAAGCGATACTAGACTTTATCTCTACCGCTCACCTACCTTTCCGAATCATTGAGCATACCCAATTCAAGGATCTAGTAGAGGTTATCCAACAAGCCCCGAGCAAGGTCAATATCCCATCTGCGCGAAGTATGCGGCGTTATCTCGACTCCACAGTCAAAAGCAGCCAAAAAGAGATTCTTAGAAGGCTTCCAGATAGGAGTCGCCTTTCAATAGCCCTTGATTGCTGGACGTCGCCATTCCAGCAAGCATTTATGGCTGTCACAGGTTATTTCCTTGATCAAGATTGGAATTACTGTGAAGTTCTTCTTGGATTTGAGCATCTTCACGGATCACATACGGGTGAGAATCTAAGTAAGACCGTGATTCAGCTTCTGACTGATCATGAAATCACCGACCGCGTATTATCCGTGACCACAGATAATGCAACTAATAATAACACCCTGATGATGAATATCCAAGAGACAATTCAGTCACAAAGCCGATCGGATACGTTGATCTTCCGAGTTCCATGTATTGCGCATGTGATCCAGTTAAGCTTGAATGAGCTTCTTGGGAAGCTGAAAGTGACGCCACCGAATAAAGAGATTGAGCTGGAGTGGTCTGATGAACGAACCCATTCATTTCAGACTAAACAATCTAGCTCAACTAGACAAATTGCGGATACTCTAAAAAAGGTGAATTACTTCTCATCCTTAGTCTTTTAATTCATACTAATAAAAAGTCTAAGATCCGAGGTCTTGCTGTGTTTATTAATGCAAGCCCACAACGCCGGGAGGCATTTATGGCCCTGCAAACTAAGGAGCCTCGTTTGATCCCTATCCAAGATGTCCAAACCCGATGGAACTCAACCTTTATGATGCTTAACCGTGCTAAAAGGCTACAACCATTTTATGATCAGTATTGTACACATCATCAATATCTCCACTTCAAACTTGATCAAGAAGAGTGGCGACAGATTGAATATCTTCTTCTTCTTACCAAGCCTTTCTTTGACTTCACTACTATGCTATCAAAGACTAGGGATGTTACTACACATAACATCTATAGTATTTATAACAAGCTTTTCTCTCACCTTGATGAAGCTGAGAGAAAATTGAAGAATAAAGGGGTTATCTGGAAGAAGAGTATGCTCCAGGCTCTTCAGACTGCAAAGAAGAAGCTATCAAAGTATTACACTGCTACTGATCATGAATCGTACGGTGAAATATATGCACTTGCAACGATCCTTTGCCCATCAAAAAAGCTTCGATATTTTGCATCAACAGACTGGCAAGGTGAAATTGACTACGTCAAACACTACCATGGAGTCCTTAAGCGAGAGTTTCATCGATATAAAGATATGCTTCATCATGATTCAGATACTATGGTCGTGCAAGATGCCACTGGAGAGGCCCGAGATGACGACTATTATGATCTTGATACCGCTTGCGCTTCTCAGAACCAGCCACAGGATAAGCTCTCAAAGCCTGAAGATGATGAGATTGCGAGGTATCTTGCCCGCGGGATTGAGAGACAAAAGCCCCGAGCATTCTGGAAAGAGCATGAGAACGAGTTTCCTATTCTTGCAAGAATGGCACGGGATATTCTTTCTATCCCAGCTAGTGGTGCAGGCGTTGAGCGATTATTCAATTGCGCTCGCGATATCTGCCACTATCGTCGTGGCCAATTGAAACCAAGTACGATCCGAGGATTGATGCTTCATCAGCTCGCCACTAAATTTGAAGTTGAGCAGAAGGAGTTTGAGGTTATAAAGGAGCATCTTTCCGCCGGAGAAGCTGTATTGTTAGATCAAGCTCGGAAACCAATACCCCAGCTTGAAACTGTCGAGCCTATTAGTGATAATGAAGAGGAGGAACAAGAGCTAGGCATTGAGGATACACAACGGATAGAAAGCTACGATGAGAACTCAGAAGACGGGAAGACTGATAATCGAAGTAAGCAACTACAGCTTAAACGATCAAGGAAACGATTATCCGAGGCTTCCGATGACGATGACGATGGCCTTCCAGAAATGCTAATAGATGAGGGCATACAAGGACGGTCGGGGCGGATTCGGAAGCAACCAAGATTACCTGATGGATTTCAGTTTGATCTCAGATAGTCTGCGTAACATGAATATGCTACAATTTTGTTTACCAAATTAAAATCTTCAATAATGATTACACTATGAGTACTTGAAAAATACAATAGAATCCGCATAAATAATGCACGCTCAAAAAGGTCATGAGTCTTGGCATGTTTGGCCTGTTTTATATCCATTGGATATCCTCAAATATCCGGAGGATATTGGGTTGCATACCATATCCACAAAATTGAGGATTGCGGATATTAGGTGACATACTATATCCGCAATCTGCGGAGAGGATATGTGGATATCCGTGGATATTGAGGATGTTGCCGCAGCCTAGTCAAATCCCTCATCCTATCCGCCTTTGAACCAGTCCGACTTCGGCGAACAAAATAATATCATCGGTCCCTCTCCCACCTGGCCTGGGCCAACCAGCAATTATGTCGGCAGTGAGATCATTTCGAGGCAAGGCGATGGGGGCTCGCAAGCATACTGCGAACTCTACTCGCAGGTTTTGGATTCCAGAGACTGGCAAGTCAAAATAGGAGAATTGTGGGAACTTTCGTCCACTGGTCCCATTTAGTATGCTGCTAACGTATTGTATTGCCTGCAGAGCTCAGAATGCTCGTGATGCACCAACTTCGGAATGCCTAAAAATTGAAGCTCAACTGTCAGCAAAGCCCCTACCCCATCCAAGCTACGTCCACCAACTACCGCCAAATACAACAATCAACTCATCTTGCAGCTTTTCCAACTCGGACCAATACCGTCCAATTCAACTGCCCCTTCAAAGCACATTGGGAACTGGGCAAGGTAATCACCGTGATGAGTAGCAGACGGGGCTCTATACTGACATCTTAAAAGAAGTGCAACCTCCTTCCCACAGTCAGCCCCATGGGCAAGCTACCCACGTTGCGAAAGCTAGGGAAAAAAGAAAAGCGGTCTCGGCTTTCCATGGAGAGTTGCCAATTGCTGGTGGCAGCAAAGATTCATTGAATGAAAGCGACCACAATGGTGATCTTGCAAAAGCGGGACGTCGCAAAGGCCGAAGGTAAACAAAACGAGCAAGACAGCATTTAAGTAGATCATCACTAATCCCAGGGGATGATTATAGAGTTAAACGAACTTCAAACCCTGACCCAATTCCAAACTCTACTTCTCCGCAGCGTGTCTCTCTGCAAATTCCTGAGCCGTCCCTATCAAAGCAATTGAGGGGATCTCGAGGAGCAAATGTACGTATCTGTGTACACTGCAGCAGGAGTTTTGGAAGAAAAGAAAATTTGGAGCGTCACATCCGAACCCGTAAGCAACCGTGGGACACCCCAAAATCTAGCTATTCTAACCGGTCATTATCAGACACCAAAGAGAAGCCATTTATTTGCTCCTGTGGGGAAAAGTTTGCTAGGAGAGATGGACTAAAGAGTCATGCCTCCCGCATGTCACACCAAGATGGGTTCACCTCGCCAAGCGGGCCGTCTGAGCCAATGTTTAAGGCTGAATCCCCGCCCCAGGCCCGAAATTGCAAAATTGCTCTAGAGAACTCGGAAACTTTTCAGGCTTCAGGCGACGAATCTGTGTATCATTCATTGATCAAGTTGGGCGTATCTGTCTCTCCACAGCATTATGAAATAGGGTTGCTGGACTCTGATCTCAATTCCTCCCCAGCCACGGTCTCGGATGCCTTACCGCCGTCATATATAGCATCACCACCCATCCATGAAGCGAAATCCTTGCCAGAGAAAATCGCAGCATTTCCTCTACATCACCCGATACCCTCGGCTCGGACGACATCTAATGGTCACCAAGGAAAGTTCGGTGCTGTGCAATATCAGCCCAGGGCGGACACTACACGTTTAAAGATAAAGTCTCTAACAGTCAGTATCCCTGGTCGTTCTGCAAACACCACGACACTAATATCTAGTATATAGACCATGCGTATCCAAGCTCCTTTTGAATGCGATACTTGCACTCGAGATACCAACGTATACCATGCCCTCAATCATATTCAATCGGAGATTCAATCGGTGGAGGACGGTCTTCATGATGCGGTCCTCCTGGCCATTCCTCTGGGAAAAAACCAGGTTGATCTAGCAGTTGAACAGAGCACTGTTAGTCGAATCAGAGACCACTTTACTGACATAAGTCATTTACGTCTGCTGAGCTCTGATCCTCTTTTCGCCGCCGAAATCGGTCGTTCTTCTGCAGAAACCGCATTCGCTGCTTTGACTCAAATGTGCTGTCAATACAACCTGGCACAGAGTTCAGTTCGTAAATCGAATGATCCACACCTCATCAACTGGTTTAAAACCCAAACAATTTGCATTAAAAGTCTTCAAGAGCACTATCAAAAGCAGTGCATCAACTTGGCCTGAAGGGCGGAAAAGCAGTTCAAGCGATCAAAGCAAGAATCCGCGCGGGGTCGTTACCATTGGGCTAGTGAGACTCGTGATTGCATTTACAAACAGCTTCTTTTCCCGTGATATCCTAATTCAATTGTTGTACCATGGACCAGGACAGCCCCGTAGGCACACACGTAACAGACTCTTAATATAGTCTTTGAACACCTGAGAGCGAAGAGGTTTCTGTTGAAACGAGTTGCTGAGCAAATTGTATATATCTGGGGCACTTTTCCGGTATGCCCATTTTTTCGCGAGCGTCATTGTCACTACTATCCACTATCAAGAGTGGTGGCTGGTGGTCGAAGTGGTCGGCCGTCGGGTTGCGCCAAAGAGAGGTCTGGCGGATTGGGATCCTGCCCACCTCTATAACAAGGCGTAGTAGGTTCGAATCCTATAGCCGCCGAGTTCTTATCCCTTCGGGGGTAGGGATGACCACATCGGAGGAGGGGAGGCTTGGATATCGCCCAGTGTATGGGAGAGTTTAGGGGGGTAATGGAGCATAGTTCTCATTCATGCCTCTCCCTTCGCATACTCTATGCTAAGTGTGGCACTGAATTTCCTAAGGTTTTTGAGACTTTTCCTTAGGGCCCACGTTACCCCGGTGGAGTGGTACGGAATTGTGATTAGTGCGATCCCACGCATAAGGAGAGCACCGCCTGTATCTAAGCCGGAGAAAGTCTGCATAGCGCCTAACAAGACAAGAGGGAAGCTTCATCAGACTATAATAGATCACATCATCATCATCATCATCATCATCATCATCATCCACTATCAAGAAGAACAGACTCACGTAGTCACAAGGCAGGCCGCAAGGGTAGCCATTTGGTTGCGGTTGATCGAGAAAAGATTGTCGCCTCACGAGCATCTTAATGCGTGGAAATAATATTAAGTACACCAAGAAGTTGCTTAGTTTGCAAATATACACTCAAGATACCGCCTCACCACAAAAACACCAACACATAAACCTCCTCCTCTTCTGCATCCGATATCTCCGAATAAAATCCTCTTATTCCACGTTTTCGTTTCGTCTATCTACGAACGCCTCCAATTCATTCCAGTGGCCCGCTCCCTATTCATGCCTCGATGGAAGCTCCATTTCATTTGGGCATGTATAAAAAGCGCCTGAGACACACAGCAGATATACCATGCGACATTCAGCTCAAGAATCAGATTCAAGGGTGGTTTTTTTCTTTGTATCTAACGACCTTGCCACACAGCTATGATTCCACCTCACTGTAACTGTAACTCACCCCAGAATGATCATGTGTAAATGCCACTATGCGATTTTGATCAACGGGTGAAAATGCGCCCCTCTGGTTCTCTCTGGCTGGTAATTTGCATGCCCTTTGTATCAAAGCGTTCGCGAAGAAAGCGGAAATTGACTTGTTGAGTTGTATGTTTTTCGATTATGGCGCTCTTTCCCCGAAGAAACTCATAGGCTATTCTGCGCCGGTCAACCACCTGTACATCAATGAGGCCACCAATTCGATTTTTGAGGAAAGCTGAGGGCCACCTGTTATTGGCAAGCGAGCCTCTTGTGGTATCGTGAAAGAGGCTTGGTTTGAAGCGGATATTAATACGGACGAATACGGCTTCTCGACATCAATGGGAGGACTCGACCCGGGGAGCTTTTTCGTGAGGTTGGATATTGTGGGCTATGTATAGATGGATGTCAGCATGATAGAAAAATTGAACGTTTCTCCAGTGACCAGGAGGTACACAGCTCACTCTGAAATTGACATGATGCAGTCGTGATTAGGCCAGAGGGGTCTGGACCCCATGTTTCATCTCACAGTCAATGCCAGAGACAGTTGGCAGTGTGCAAAAGGAAGCTGTGCGGACAGAAAGAAGCTGCTCTGCGAAGAATGCTTTGTGCCTGAGTGTAAGTAGTCTGAGTTGAGGTGGTACACTCCATGTGCCGCCATGTTGTCCACAGTATTGATTGCTCATGCCTTCTCACACGTAAACTGGCCACTGTGTGAACTGGTTGCGAAGAAAAGCTTGCATCATACGTCCATCGTCAAGGTTGTCAGCCCTGCATCTTTGCAACCAATCTCTTGCTTGGGTAAAGGTCTGGATCGGGACGGACAAAGGTGTTCCGGCTAGCTCACGCTGCCCCCTTCAGCACCCGATCTCGGATTACCCAATCCATCCCACCAAAACCCTGTGTACTTTCAGCCAATGAAGAAAGGAAGACATCTTGGGGAGACTTTGCCCTCTATTCTCTTCATATATTCAGGTAAGATTCAGGTCTTTGCTTTTCGTCATCTCAAACAAACTGATTGTTTTCCCGTGGATTGCTTCGTTCCTAAGAAACCTTGAGCTGACACAACCATATTCTCGTGTATAATGGAAGCTTCGCGCATCAGAGGATAATCTTCCAGCTCAGCTGATCTCGAAGAGCTCAACCCACCAACGCTTCATGGTGCCTCGCGTCAAGCCTTCACGCGATTGAAACCGGCTGGTCATTCAGCATACACACAGCAGCGGAAGCCCCTTTCACCTAACAGTACTTGATCGAGCACAACAGCCTCAAAAACAGTTAGGCTACTGAAACACAGAGGGAAAAATAATCTACTCGGCACCACGGTTGCTAAAATGCACGATGTTTGGTATTCCGGGTCTGTTTCTCTTCCTGTGTTTTTGTCGTGAGCAATGCCTTTCGTCTTCTGTTGAGTACAACATGACTGATACTTTCAATTGGTTCTATCACAGAAAATTAAAGCGTCCCAGAGTACATTACGCACTGTCTTCGCCATGGTTACCAATACCTACAACGGTCCTTTCGAAAGCATCATTTCGGTTCCCTAATCCCACGGTCTTAGCCCTCTCCCCGACTCGCTCAATAACTATTGTCCAGCTCTCGAGATATGGGTGCAATCAATGGAAAACAAAGCGAATTATTTATTTTTCTCTTGGCTGGTCGAAAGAGATCAGGGGACGGAATCGGCTACCACCGAAACCCTCAATGTCTGTCGGAAGGCCATAACCCATTTGCGGAGACCGGTATCTCGTTGAAGTAGGAGGGGGGTATATTCGGGTTATTTCTTGGCTTTATATTTTTTCAACACGTCCACAGGGTTTCTAGTCTCATGCTCGTCTTGTTCTCAATATCAAGTCAAGTTCGGTCATGCACATCCCGTAAAACAGTAACGGCCTTCGCGTCAACGCCCCATATCGCGATGACTGTCTTGTAAAGATAAGGATTCAGTGCTGGCTCAGGATTGGACTCCAACAACTTCTCTGTCATTGCTGTTGTCAATTCCAAAACCATGCTTTGATCCGTGATTTGCTGCGAATGGTCCATTGAGCATTTATAACAGCTCATGTAAACATAAATGTCACCGCCATAAGGATAAGCCCACTCCCACATTCTGAGATTTCCACATTGGACAGTTCCATTCACATCAGGAAAAGAAGACGTGAAGTTTTCCCCACAGGTCATGCAAACGATAGTGGTAAGCTTGTCTTGAGTACCAGCATATCCAACGACCGCTTTGATAAGAGATCTGGCATATTCATTCACGTCAGGCATCCGCTCGTCCATTTTTGCAAACAGACCGGTGACTGAGCTTTCTGTGGTCAATATCGCTCTCTTATGACAGTTGTTGTCCTGGGAACTCACACCCATAGGCCGAAGAGTTAGTTACTCTATCAAGGAAAGTCTCTGATTCTACAAGGCTCCTTCTGGGGCAGCAGGGTTTTTGTGAAGGTTCACCAGGCTTGTCAGTAGAAAGAGAGTGTGCTACTGCAGGGTGGAACTCCCATTCAGAAAATTGGATCGACGGTCAGTGCTCTTACCAAGACCCATTCAGCTAAGCAGGGGTATTATGGTATGGTCTCATGCTAGTTACAGGATGCTCCACAGTATCCTAGCTTGTAACTTACGTACTTTTGTGTTATAGCCGAGGTGGAGACCAAATTCAGTTATGGCAAAGCTCACCGAGTTGGCGACAATGCCGAACTAGTTTATGTTCAAATTCAGTGCCCTTTTCCTCCGTGTGTCTTTCCAACCTGCATGTCTGAGGACCAAATCTCCGACGAATTTTGCCCTGGATCCACTTAATACCTCTATTATATTTTCTTGTTATTAGCTATTTGGAATACATCTTGGGATACAATTAGCTCATGCGTTCAGGCACTCATCCAGCGACAATTGCTTTTGACGAAGTGACAATGGCAATTCATACAAAGTAAGGAGTGGCAGCTGAATTTCTGTCCCCTTGGAGCGCATGCTGATGACATTCGCTCGCCAGTGCCAGTGCTGCTGAACCAAAACTTGTGGCAGCGTCACATAATTCTCGCCTACCTGGTAAGACCTTAACCACTGTATTTCGAGCCACTACTGAGACTTGCAGGCCCTCCTTGGTCCTCTCTGTCAAACTATTTGCATTCGCAATTTGATCCCCCTCAACTGTCAGCCCATTGTTCCAGCTCCTGCCAAGAACCTGAACAACACCGCGGCTTTGGCCAAACGCAATCTTTGTCAGTACTTCTCTGTCCACAAAAATATCTTTGGCTTAGAAAACTCAAAACTCCTATAGGTTACCAGTCAACATGTGAGTAGAGTAAATTTCATGAAGATGTTTCCATCTTACAACAGCACAGGAGTCATTCATCCAACAACTTCCATGCACCCTTCGCGGTAACCAGAATATCGGCAGACTATTCGCAACAGATGCATACTCTTGGCTACAAGCCTCAAAGTTCCGTGAGCCTTTGGAATAGAACCCTTCCCGACCAGCTAGCCTCAAGCGCTTGGTCCTCAGCTATCCCCGTGTCCGCCCTACCAGGAATCAGTACTGTGATGTGTCAAAGCCAGAGAGACAATTTTGATCACCGTTTTTCACACCAGCCTTCAAATTTCCGAGGTCATGGCGGTATCAGTTTCAATACCGGGATCAATTCTCAGCTGGCCTCTGAAGATATTTCTTCTATTCGGCAATCGAAGAAAAAACGCCAGACTACCAATGTATGCCGGGAGGGTGACTGTAAGGGCCGATCTTTCTCAACTTTCAGCAATCTTCTCCGTCACGAAAGAGAAAGACATCGCCACAGCGACAAAGTATCATGCAACTTGTGTGGCAGCACGTTTACTCGCACGACCGCTCTCAATGTTCACCAAAAGAACAAGGTTTGCTTAAAATCTAAGCAAAAGGGGTTCTAAACCTCAATGATCATCTTCGGGTTTTCAGCCATGCGACATTACACAAAGATTATTCCAAAACTAGCTTCCTATCCTAACGAATCAGTTTGTATTTCTTCATGAGGATCTCCTTTATGGGATTTCTATGACATACCGTAAAACAAACTGTTTGGCACTTATTGCACAGTAAATAGGTTACGAGGTGGCCGATTTTTCTTGGTGATAGGTGGCTTCCAGCCTAGAAGGATACCATCATTTTACTCAAGAGGCGACTAGTCCTTTGCATAGTATTTCCTGGGATTTCATAGGTTCTAACTGCACAAATTATCTCTGTACCAATTATTTGTTTATTTCACGCTTCCGGCTTCACTGTTCCGACTCGCTCCCACGTCACCTGCTCGACTGATTCGATAAATATCATTTCTTTGGGGCCATCTTTGTGTCCCTGAGTCTCCGATAACCATCTTAAGAATGTTACAACATCATCATGGGCTTTGTTGACTTTGACGATCTGAGGCTTTCCAACACCACAGCAGAGACTGCATTGTGTCTCGCTCGAAGTGACATCCCCGTGAGAATATTTGGAAGCTGTGTAGCTGGTGTTCTCAGACAGAACAAGACCTTCTAGTTGTCATTATCCCGAGCATTGCCATTGTGTCCAGTGAAGCAGAGCTACTAACCCATTTTGGATGCCATTATGGTCTGAAAGCGAGCGGCGAACACTAAACAGTGTACCGGGTGGGAATCAGCGAAGGGTGAGAACTGAAATAAACGTCTTGAAGCTGCAGGCCCTGACGCTGTTTATATTCGACACATTGTACTGAAATCAACGGTACAAGATTGACTGGGTGGCAAATGAACATTGGATGATTACCTCTCTGATTGTTGGACTTAATTCTAACCGATGTGACACGTAAAAAGACTTGCATACGCTACTTATGGTCACAAACCAATATGTGTCTAGCTCGTAGACCAGTCTCTTCTGATCACCATGAACTAGCCGATTTGGTTTTTTTTTTTTTTTTTTTTTTTTGGTAGTAGTCACATGGCTCTAGTAATTCCTCTGAAGGAGAGCAATGGGTGCTTGGGAACCTGCATATCGCCCAGACAGTTGATTTCACAGCTAGACTAAATTACGAATCCGTGCCCAGCCTAGTGAGATGTGGTTTATAATCCAGCTCAGACACGAAGTCCAATGGCAACGAACACAAACATAGGGTAATGTTACCAAGAATCCATGTTGAAATATTACGGAGCAAGGTCTCGTGTCATGTGGTGGGCGATCGTAATACGATCCCAAGCCTCATGAATGCCACTGTATCCCAAGTTCTTTCCGCTTTTCCACACTGGTGTGAATGATTGCGCTAATACGATTACCGAAACAAAGAGGACGAAACACGCGGCTAGAACACAACATGATCAGTCGCCGAATAAGCAATTTATACTCACAAAACATTTCATTAATTTGCTTGTTCAGCGTGTGCAGAGGTGTATACTATGTCCCCGCAATCGCGAATTATTTGTCGAGCTGGGCGAGAACGCAGAAGTCCCAGGAGTATCGATAGGGCCGGGACGAAGTTGACGCTCTTGGGCACAGCATATTCAACGGTAATTCATTGGTTATCAATCATTGGAACGCAAATATAAGGGTAAGTTGACTAATGACAGGGAGTAGAGCTTGGCTTTAACCTCGTTCCTGGGAGCCAAATGATCCACTTCACAGGGTCAATTCAAATAAACAGCTCCACCCACATGTTAATTTACATGTGTTCTTGCAATTTTTAACTGCTTGATCTTACCCTTCCTCAATACTTTTGCTGGCTTTTAGTGATTGATATCACCTTTCTCGCTTTCCGCCTCTTAACACAGAGTTTTTTTCATATCGCATCCGTTTCATGTCATTGAATATTGCCTCGTGTTGTTGCGCTTCATCATGTGCACAGAAACCTTTGTCTTCAAAGATCCAGAGCGCTACCAGAGTATGTCGACATTGACTTCGGAGTTTATTCCACCATCAAAGTTTACTACGCCATCAGAGTCCGATACACACTGTGCTTCGCTTGCAAGTTCTCTGCCTTTTTCTCTAGCCACCTCCACAGTGGACTACTTCGAAGATCAATGTTTAATCGCCAACCCTTCCTATGAAGACAGCAGCAATGTTTGTTGGGACACACTGGACAACTTCCAGAGCGATATACACTCTCTAGCACCTCAGAGCCATATTCAGTGGCCATCAACACCTCTGCTGCCCTTGTTCTGGGCTGGGAATGAATATACTTTCAATGGTAGGAATTTTGGTTTTGGGGACAAACGCTATTACTGAAGGCTAACGCACTAATAGAATCAGCCCACAACGCCGAAGCTACGCTGGTCTGCAATCCAGCGGATATAGTCTTGCCCCAATCATCCGTTCCTTCCCAGGCCAAACGCCGGGCGGATGAGACCACTGGATGTCATGTGTCTGCTGGTGATAATCCCCCTGCAACCTCACGTTTTTCCCAAAGTCCACATTTCTCAAACATTCTCGACACTCTACCTCAAATCGAACCGGATTTAGACCTTGACCCAACCTTGACGAAGGAAAATATCTGGAAGACTTGCAGTACGCTTATATATGATGCTGTCGATCCCACTTTTCCTGATGGCACCGTCATGCCACCGCACTGGATATTTTCGAATCAAATAGAGAATAGCCTTGACTATCCTCGGGAACAATCGCTTGCTCGGCCTCTGTCACAACACCCATATGAAAACCTTGCCTTTACCAAATCAGGGGATTGGGGTTTCTGTTGTTTCTCAAATGAACCAGAGCCACGAGATTATGGATCCCCGTCGACGCTTCACCAATTTTTTGCTCTTGGCAATAAGCAATCAGACAATGTTGGCCTTCTCCATCCGAATGACACCGGCATTATTCCGCTTGGGGAAATGCAGGAATCACATTATCCAACGACGAAAGAAGCTTCCTTGACTGGGTTTGATGATACTGTTCGCAGTGACCAAGCTGTCCAGTATGACTGTAGCTTTATTAGTCCATACACTGGAGAACCTTGCAAAGACATCTGCTCCCGAGTATATGACTAATTTCTTCCTACAAAATCGGTCGCTTGGGAATATGGGCAACTATCATGTGCCGTTTTCCATCCAACAAGAGGGCAAAAATGGGCAGATTGTCAAAGCGCACATGTGAAAGGCAATGAGAAAGATGATGTAGAATGATATTTCTAAGTACGAAAAGCTACCTTATTGATGGACCTCTAGTCTTTAGTGCTTAAGGCCAGCATGGACATAGTGAAATGTGGCGGCCATCTATCTAGGTTCTACGGTGTATCTGTCTAGATTGCATGCAGTTTGTAGCTTAAATTCTCTAAAACTGTTCAGATAATGTTGAACAAAAAGAAGCCGCCCCGTGTCATAGACACGGTCAAACAGCGGTATGAGGTGCAGGACTATTCAGGTGCTCCAACAGATACATGTACCATAAAGACCATCAGTGCTCCTTTTCTTCTTTGTTGATGCTTTTGATCGGCACTTCCCGCTTGGGTTTCTTGTGCCGCCCTTTCATTTAGGCCAAAGAGCGACTAAATAATGAGGATTTCCAACAACCTCATGCCTGCACCAAAGTCTATGCAGTGAGTTCCACAGGTGATTATAAAGGTCGAGTAAGACTTTGTTTTGACTATTCGGTATATGAGTTGCGCCTAGCTTGCAAATCCGGAGTAGGCGCTTATAAGTTTATTTCAAGAAGGAAAGAATGATATTAAACAATTTCCTCATCGCCCTCTTTAGTGGGACCTACGTCGTCGCCGCTCCGCTAGACCTCTGTTTGGAAGCATCAGAAGCTCCCACTGAATTTATTTGGAGCACGACTCAAATAACGTACACGATTACTGTCATCCCAACAAGCTCCCCAGCTATCAGAATTGCAGCCCAGCAGACAAAACAGGCTGCTTATTCTTTCTCTGATGCTGGAGTATTCGAGCGTCACGTATCAATGCATCTCTCTTCGTTTTCTCTAGACTCAAGTCCGACGGCTGTTCCAGCTCCAGGTCAAGATCAAGGTCTATATTCCGCGAAAACAGCAAGTCCTATAAGCTACGGTTACAGTGGCCCATGCTCTAAGTCAAATGCTTGCAAAGGCGATGTAACATTTTACGACACCGCTAGCGATGCATCTTCGCCTAGTTCATGTGGAGTAACCAACAATGGCGAGGCTGACTTCGTTCTTGCATTGCCGCAGGGTATTATGAGAACAGGTGACTGTGGAAGAACTGTTCATATTGATTATGAAGGACAGAAGTGTACTGGCGTTGTTGTCGATAAATGTATGGGATGTGATAACAAATCCATTGATGTTTCCAAAGCTCTATTTCGAAAGTTCTCGCCTTTGGAGAAGGGTCGCCTGTTTGGCGTAGAGTGGTTTATTGAATCGGGGCTTGATTATGGCAAATAGCGTGATGAGGTCCTTGAAGGCGAGCAGATTGGATCTGATATATCACCACTAAAAAGAATGGATGAACCATTTTCAGCTAGAAGCATTAAAACTATATTGCAGGTACAGAGACACAATGGTCGATCCAGGCCGAAAATCCGACATGTGAAAGCATGTTCCGTGATATTCTGGGGATACTTGGACGCGCTTCATATACAGCATTTTTACTCCTGTAATAGGCGATATTCTTGTCACTGGTCTGCGATAGCTATACCGTCATGTGTAGGTCTCGAGAAAAGGGCTAGTTGAGGATCCGTCCAAGAAAACTAGGAGAATGGTTTGGGTCCATGGCCTCGATTGGATCAATGCTTTGCATATCCCCAACGTCGGAGCATCCGACTTGAGCCCTGAGCGCAGTCCATCGGGGTTGGCTCAGTGAGGAAGATCTGCTTGGCTTTGTTGCTTGAGCAGGTCGTACCAGTGGCTGCTTTCGCCGAGAAAGCCTTTCCGCTTTGTCTGGTTCTTTAGAGCCCAAATCAGTTTCCGTATCGAGCGAGATACAAGGCGCTCGTGAGTCCTCAACACCGTTTGTTAGAGAAATTTGTGCCGTTGTGTCCGACTGAGTAGGTTCTATCTCTGGGACACCATCAAGCGTACCCCATTCAGCGGTGTTCATTGACATATCATGCTGAATATCAGTGTGAGAAGCATTTCCAGGTCGCCTCGATTGGGGCTCTGTTTGCGCCGGGACAAACTCTGTAGCGCTTTCAGGAGTCGGATAAGTGACGTTCAGCGGAGAGACCACAGCCAGTAGATATTCCGGGTTGGAAGCAGAACCAAATGAGCTCTCATTGCAGTCAGAGGTCTTCGTCGTTTGGTAGTATGAGGTATCGTGAGGAAGTGAAAGTTTCCCTTGGCGTCGAAGAGCCTTCTTTCGCTTGCTCTTTTCCTTGCCCTTTCTTTGATACCAAACAGCGTAGATACTGCTATGTTTCCGACGGTGACCAAAATCTCGTTCAAATTCAAGCTCGATTTGTTTCTTAGAAAGATGTTTTCGAGCCTCAAACCATGTAGGAACAATATCCTTTTCATAAGGGTCCCATGCTTTGCCGTTGTTAGCTGAGGGGCCCCCATATGTCAGCTTCATGTTCCGTTTTTCTTAATTTGCTGCTCTCGTACCCAAGTTCTTCGTTCCGCCCTTTGACGAGCTGGTATTTTGCGACTCAGTCACCACATGCTCCGGATAATCCGGAACTTGGACTTCTGGAATCATGCTTTCTTGAGAAGCTATCACAATAAACATGAATGAGCGATGTTTCTGTTAGGGGCCAAATGAATGTGTTGACACATACAAAGTGAGTTCGCCTTTTCCTTCAATTTCTCAAGTAAGTATTTGCTTGTTTCCACCACTAAAGCAAAGTTATCAGTATCTTGACTTCAAGAGGTAGAAGGAACAGCATACATTCCAACGCGATCTGGTTCCATGAAGTAATTTCCGAAGTTGCGAGAGAAAGTGTCTCCCTTTCCATTTGCACATCAGGTTCGTGAGACAAAGGATGGACAAGCTGCTGAATAATGCCGGGTAGGAGGATGTTGTGATCAAACTGGGATAATCCCACCGTAGCCCTTCGGCTAGAGATCCAGAGATGATAGGTCCCATCCTCTTGGGGCACAGGGTTGTAATTGGCAGCAGCGACATCAGACCAAGTGATGTTGTCTTCACATGCGCCGTCGACTTCGATTAATTGCGGTTGTGGGCTTTTGAAGAGTGCATCTATGTTCTTGGCCATAGTGTTGCTCATGAGGGGAAGTCCGAGGTGTCGAGCAAGATGCATATCCTCATCAAGTACCCTCCTATAAGACAAAGAGAGTTCAAGGATGGAGCAAAGCTGCTCTTGTGAAGGAAGAAAATGTCTCCTTCGCAGATCTTCATTGCAGTCCAGGAAGGATGGTAATTTGTAATCTTTGGATGTTGGCTCCTCAGAAGTGGCGGCCAAGCCACTGACAACTTCCATGTTCAGCGTAAATAAAGGAAACAAGGATATGAATACAGAAGGAGATTGAAGGGCCCGTGGATCCGAAGCGCAGGTCCAAATAAAACAAAATCAAATCAGGCTGGCGTGCGCACCTTTATAGGGTATTCTGTCGAACTGAGGGGTGGTATTTTACCACTAAGAACAGGGATATTCATCAAGTACCCATTCTGTCTCTGTCTCTGTATGGTAAACGGGGTACGCTCGGCATACCAGCGCCGTAACACGCTAGGAACGACTCCTGAGATCTGTTAACGCTTCAACAGCAAGATCCAGATAGAACAACATCAATGCATCTCAATGGGACACCTCAATACTAGCACATACCAGTATCTGTCAATCCGACATATTCTCCAGGGGCTACTTCGAAACGAGCATATCACGTGCGAGGACCAGAAATACAATCTAGCGAGGTAGTATCGATCATGGCATATTTCCGATCAAACAGCCCAAAATTAGAAGGGACGTAAACGTGTTCAAGTTTCGAATACATATAGACATTAATTTTGTGAAACAGGATCGCTGGCAATTGTTCAATTCTCTCTGGCCTTATCTATTACCCTTCAACGAAATGCCGTGGATATCATCGGAGGATCATTCATTCCCGACCCACCCTCGTCTAAGAGCCCTTAGCAGCCCTTCGGCGGCACTCGATTATTTGAGGCTTTATGCCATGTACCGATTGGGGATAGCAGCTTGTCTGAGTCGGTTTTCTCAACTTAACGAAGACTGGATTGCTGGAAGCTGGTTCGCCATTGGACATGCAGAAAGGTTTGAAAGTACATCCTTTAGCGAGGGAAGTTGAATGATTGGCTTCTTGTTAAAAACCGTCCCGCCGCTCCTCTCTGACATGTCACTGACAGAAAAGCTCTCACTTTGGATGCTAACGCAAGATGAAGAATTCTCGGGACGATGTGAGGAGAATATAGTTCCGGCGCGGCGAGCGATCTCCTTATCCCCTAGCTCCCAAAACATACCCTCTGCTGCGCGCGGCGGAACATCCATACTCTTAGCTATTCTTAACCATAAACCCGATCCATGTCTGAATGAGGCAATGAAAAATTCAGTATCATAGAAGTATCACAAACAGACCACTGGCATACCTAAGATACTGTCGCGCCAACTGGGTTTTCTTTTCGTCGTCCCAATTGTCCCATCGCTCCAAATAATTTTGATAACGGAGACGGCAAGCAGTAGGGCTTCTCTCATTAAAATGCTTGCTGATGGATAACCATCCAACACGTTGATTTCGAAGCTGAACAATTGTCTTGTCTTCTTCTGGTGACCAGGCCTTTCGGGATGTGAGATTATGGGCGGTGGGCTTCTGTACTCTCGTGGGGAAGAAAGGTAGAACAGGGGCTTTTCGCATGTTGATGGTGCGCACCGAACATGGTGATCGATCAGAGACAGAAAAAGGAGAATTGGACGAATCCGGTTGGTACAAGTGGCATGGTGTATGATACATCTTGATAAGTTGAAAGATTGGGAAGATGAGAGAGGCCGAGAAATACAACAGGGCGTAAATTGTTGCTGCGGCTAAAAGAACAGTGGACTTCCTCAACCTTATAGTCCATATTGGTCATCGGGGCCTGTGCAGCGGTTGTTGGTGGGTTCCGCCTTCAATCTCTATCTGTTTTTTTTTTCCCTCTACACGAATGGTTAATTTAGCCAAGCTGTTAAAAGCGCGTATTTAGTACAGCAAATGATCAGAGAAATGTTGTTGAACAACATGGGCAAGTTTCATAGAGAAAGGTGACGAACCGAGAGAGTGGTCAAATACCACTAGGACCCTTTGGGACAGGCTTATTCATCGTTCACCCAATTCCCCCTAGTATTTGTACGGTATTCCGGGCACATTCGGAAGTACGGTGTTGTAACACGCCGAAGCTTATTTGTATAGACCCCTGAGATCGTTCAACCGATCTTGAACACCTACAATCAATCACCTGATTCTATTGGACATGTTCAGTACCAGCCAGTACATCAATTCCTCATCCTGACATAATGTTATATCGCAGTGCTCAAGAAACAGTCCCAAAAAACAGTCCTTCCTGTCTCTCGGGGTGTCTGTCTCTCCATTTTCTACAGTATGGATGGATGGATGCATTCATTCACGCTGACCCCTCGTCGAAACGATATGCAGCCTACCACTACTATATATATCTCTATCCGTACATGTATCGTGTACCACTTCCTAAGCGAACTTAGAGCCTCGCCGAGGCCTGCCGTGGCCTCTGTGCCGTCGTTGTGTTTATGCAGCCCTCATGGCGCGCGGCTTTGAAACCGTTGCGATGCTTCAGCGAAGTCCAAGACAGCCTCCACTGTCTTGGTCCGTGAAGCACTATCAATCTTACCTCTTCCTTCTTCTCCTGGTCCCCCCAACAGTGTTGATATGTTGTTGAACGCGTCACCAACCTTGGTTCGCAGCTCCCTCCTCAGTCTTCTCAATCGTGGGCAATCTAACAACACGTGGTGAACGCTTTCCCGTTCGCCACAGACGCACAGATTGTCGTCTCGGAATCGGAAGGCCTTTGCGTATGTTGACAACCAGCAGTGTCCGGTTCGCAACTGCGTTAATAAGTACGCTCGATTTCTAGGCAGAGAGCCGTAGAGCCGTCTGGTGTACTTGGCCGGCAGTGTGTTGTCGACCTGACGCAGATGGGCGCCGGTGCTCGACTCGTTCCATTCTTTCTTCCATTGGGCGTGGATCCCTTGCCTAATGTGTGCTCTCTCGCGTGATAGCAAAAAGCAGAACGGGTGTGTTTTTCCCGGTATGGCTGCCTCTTTGGCTAGTAAATCGGCAGTGTCGTTCCCGGGGATTTCGCAATGTCCGGGTATCCACTGTAGTCGAATCGATGTGCCGTGGGTCTTAGTATTCCTGGCTGCTTGCAGAATGGCATGGATGATCTGTTGTCCCGACTTGTTCCCGGGATTCTGGACTGCTTGCAGGGCCGACTTGCTGTCACTGAGAATAGTGGCAGATCTCACCCGCGTATGGGATGTTCTCCAGTGTCGGAGGGCGACCTTGTTGATAACGTTGATGGCCCAAAAGACATTAAGTAGCTTCGACAGGTCTACTTGCATAGACCACTACCCCAGTTTTTTACCCGATAAATGAGGCTTCTGGTCTTTTGAGGTTCACCACACCTCTCACCCTGGGTGTCTCTCAGTTTGCTCCTTAAGCATACATCACGGGCGAGCCAACTAGGACGACACCGCTTCAACCGACCAATGTCGATCTCAGGCCCCCAGTGCGAGTGGGGTAGTTGACTCCCGGCTTTTTGTACACCGACACGCGCATCCGTCCTCTCGGGCTATACAGACAGTCTCTTGGCAGGCCCCGACCCTGCCGCAGTGGCTGCCATTGTACACCACGCCCCGCGAGAGATTTCACTCTCGTTTCGCGTTACCTGAGGAGGTCTCCCTCCGCCAGGCCGACCGTGTCTTGCAGAAAGTCCTCCATACGCTCCATCCGGCAGTATATGTCGGTTGCTCTCCACTAACCAAGCTTGGTCCCCGGTGTCTGAACAGGATCGACGGGTTGCCCGTGGCGAAGCCTTAACGAGTCCTGCCGACTGCCACCAGTCAAATACCAATATTCTCCAGATTGCCCGTGTGTCTCCCAAGAGGGTGCCCGTGTCTCGGTGGTGCCCGTGTCCCGAAGAGCACTCGCCCTGAAGCTTGCCCGTGGCTGAGCCTTAACGAGGTCTCCAGCGAGCGCTCTCTCCGAGCCTTAACGAGTTCGAGTCTTAACGAGGCCTCTGGGCCTTGAACGAGGTCTGTCCGATATCAGCTTGACTGCCTGTGTCACCGGTTCACTACCGCCTCGCCGCATCTCGCACGATGCGATCCCAGACCGTATGCAAGCTCAGGGGTGTCCTGTCTTCTCCTTAGGCGACACCACTTCCACTGGTAATGCAAGACCAGTATCGGGCCCGAGTGCGAGTCAGGTAAGGAGAAGTCGGATGGTTTTCATATGCCGTTATCCCCTGATTTTGGTGTGGTTGTGCGGTCGCTTCCCGCACCGGGCCGGACCGCACAACCACGGCGGATTCAATTCGGTCTCCCCAACGGGGATATACACCGGACACCACGAGAAGGTAAGAATCCATCGTCCCAGCAGCCTGGCAAGGACTGCTGCCCAGTGCGAGCTCACTGGGGGCCATTTTCTACAGTATGGATGGATGGATGATTTCATTTACGCTGACCCCTCGTCGAACGATATGCAGCCTACCACTACTATATATATCTTCCTATGTACATAGACCGTGTACCACTTCCTAAGCGAACTATGAGCCTCGCCGAGGCCTGCCGTGGCCTCTGTGCCGTCATTATATTTATGCTGCCCTCATGGCGCGCGGCTTTGAAACCGTTGCGATGCTTCAGCAAAATCCAAGACGGCCTCCACCGTTTTGGACCGCGAAGCACTATCAATCTTACCTCTTCCTTCCTCACCAGGTCCTCCTAACAGAGTCGAGATGCTGTTAAACGCGTCACCAACCTTTTCTCGAAGCTTTCTCCTTAATCCTCCCAGTCCTGGACAATCCAACAACACGTGGTGGACACTCTCCCGTTCGCCACAGACGCACCGGTCATCATCTCGGAATCGGAACGCCTTGGCGTATGTTGACAACCAGCTGTGTCCAGTTCGCAGCTGTGTCAGCAGGTACGCTCGGTTTCTAGGAAGAGATCCGTAGAGCCGTCTGGTGTACTTGGCCGGCAGTGTGTTGTCGATCTGGCGGAGATGGACGCCGGTGCCTGACTCGCTCCATTCCTTCTTCCATTGGGTGTGGATCCCTTGCCTAATGCGTGCTCTCTCGCGTGACAGCAAAGAGCAGAATGGGTGCGTTTTTCCCGGTATAGCCGCCTCTTTGGCTAGCTGATCTGCAGTGTCGTTCCCAGGTATTTCGCAATGTCCGGGGATCCACTGTAGTCGAATCGATGTGCCGTGAGTCTTGGTGTTCCTGGCTGCTTGTAGAATGGCGTGGATGATCTGTTGTCCCGACTTGTTCCCGGGGTTCTGAACTGCTTGCAGGGCCGACTTGCTGTCACTGAGAATAGTGGCAATTCGCACCCGCGTATGGGAGGTCCTCCAGTGACGGAGAGCAATCTTGTTGATGATGTTGATGGCGTACAGGATCCCAATGAGCTCGGCGGCGTGAACCGACCATCGCTCCATAGGTCCAACCTGAACTTGCATGCTGTCGGTTGTTTCCAGCGATTCATCGAGCACGGTAGCTGCGGCACCTAGGTGACCTTCTCGTCCCGAGGCGTCCGAGTACACCACGATGTCCGCGGTTGACCGTGCAGCCTCGGCTCTTTCTAGCGCGGTCTCTCTGTCCGATTCAATCTCGATTTCTGAGAAGGCTTCTTTTCGCCACGGTGGTAGCGGGGTTGGGTCAATCATTTCGATTTCCTGCAGTCTCTCCAGGTTCATGGTTTTCAAGGCTTCTGATAGCGGGAACCGAGCGAACGATCCACGATTGTTGCGTCTTCTCTGCGCCCGGCGTAGGGCGCTCCATATTGGATGTTTTTGGGGTAGGGTATGAAGTCTGGTGATGGTATTTTGTGCACGGTAGCGCAGACGGAGATGAGTTGGCAGTACATGTGCTTCTACGTCGAGTGTGGTTGTTGCCACTGTTCGAAAGGCTGATAGGACCCGGATGAGAGCCGCTCGTTGCACGGTGCGGAGGTGACGTAGATGGGTCTTATCTCGAAGTGGATCATGCCAGACGGTTGAGGCGTAGTCGACAACCGGTGTGACGCACGCTTCGTAGAGCTGTCGCATCTGCTCTGGGCGGAGCTGTCGCAATCCGCCAAGCGCGATGTTGACCTTAGTGGCTCGTTTAACGGCTTGCTGTACGTGTTCCTTCCACCGAAGCTCATGATCGAAGATTACCCCTAAGAGCTTGGCCGTTGTAGATGGCTTGATGACATTGCCATTCATGATAAGCTGGCCCTGGCTCTGTTCTTTTCTTTTTCGGGTAATGTGAATGAGTTCGGTCTTTTCTGCAGCGAAGCAGGACCCAGTTCTCTGAGCCCAGGCTTCAATCCGGGGTATGTCTTCGGACTGGATTTTGGCCAGATTCTCTGCGGCACTCCAGCCAACTCGCCAGCGGAAGTAGTCATCAATGAAGGCGGATGCCCCACCGTGAAAATCGACCGGCTGGTCGACTAGATCGCAGTTGAAGAATGCAAAGAGGATAGGTGACAGCGGAGAGCCTTGTGCGAGCCCGGCATTTTCTAGCGGTACCACCTCGGTTTGGTAATCGTCGAACCCAATGCTAGCCTGGCGCCCGCTCATGAAGCTCGCGATCCACCTTCGGGCCACCGAGGGGATACCCTTGGACTGGAGGCGAATATCCAGGC